ACGCGTCCTTGAGCACAGTGAACGCAGAGCGCGCGCGATCGTCGAATGAGAAGGGACGTGGGGGAATGGTTTTGGTAAGTTCAGTGAGTGGGAGCGTGTTATGGGCACCATGCGTACGCCTACCCTTTTTCCTTCCCCCTCGTCATCTCCGTCACGGACTATGCCTCGTGCCCTCAGGGGCTACTGTAACACCACCCCTATCCCCTGCCTCCTGCTGCTGCGCAGCCTTGCCTCGGACATACACACGCCTCATGGCAACCTCGCGGTACCACATCCCCTTACACGCCATTACCATGACTCGTACGGACTCGTTGTACATACACCGCTACCTCACCCCTCGCGCACCGTGGCCTCAAGGCCTTTGTACTTATAAGAGGGACGACGCAGCATAGCGCTCCCCATCTTTCGACCTCTTGTATAGCTACGTCCTCTGGCCTAGTGCCAATCTACTCTCTTGCTCGCCTTCTACCTCGCTCGCTCGCCAGTTCACTCGATAGTGCGCTGTGCTCACTCGCGTCGGCATCAAGAGATCTCTCACGGACATAACCACTCGGCGTCTAGGCCTCGTTCCCGACGGAACTCGGACTTCGACGTAACAGAGTGCAATGCGCGAGAACGCGGGGATGAAACAGCGGTAGAAATTTGCGAAACCCAAGAAGGACTGAACGTCCTTGACAGTCGTGGGTTCAAGGCCAGTCGGTGATGGTGTCGAGCTTGGCGGGGTTCATGCGGACGCCGTCAGCGAATTTCGCGTCTCGTAGCTTGTCTAGGATCAGACGAACGTGGCGTTCATGCTCTTCTGGCGTGGCTGAAAAGATTAGAATATCGTCCAAATAGACAACACAGAAAATATCAAGATACTTGTGTAACACGTCTTGGATGAATGATTGGAAAGCGGCGGGAGCATTGGTGAGACCGTACGGCATGACTAAGTGTTTGAAAAGGCCAAGGGGTGTGCGGAAGGCGGTCTTCCATTCGTCGCCGTCCTTGATGCGAACGTGAGAGTACGCGGACTTGAGGTCGAGGACGGTGAAGATCTTGGAACCTTGAACACGGTCGGGAAGGTCGTTGATGAGCGGAAGAGGGTAGTGATTCTTGCGCGTGATGGCGTTGAGACCACGGAAGTCTACACAGAGGCGTAGCTCACTGGTCTTCTTTCAGGTGAAGAGGACGGGAGCGGCAGCGGAGGAGGTGGAACGGCGGATGTGGCCGCGCTTGAGATTGTCGGCAAGATGCTTGGCCAGAGCATCGCGCTCGGTGACGCCGAGGCGATAGAGAGGGCCGAAAGGTGGTGAGGTATCGGGGTTGAGATTAATGTTGACATCGTAAGGACGGTGTGGGGGGAGGTGGTTAAACTCAGCGGGATTGAAAACTGTCTCTTGATAAGCCCGATACTGAGGTGGTATGGATTCTCGAATGGTGTCCCACTCAGCGGGGTCCATGATGGCATCATAGTGTTGTTGGAAGGCGTCGGAGAGGTCGGAGGAAACCGCATGGCTAGTGGGGTCGAAGGTGAAGGAGGATAGTACGCACGTAAGATCGTTACGAAGGACTTTGGCGAACTTCTTGGCTGTGAGCGTCCTAATGTGGTGTCGAAATGGTGATGTGCGAGAGATTGGGGATGAGGGGCAACCAAAGCCATCCGGACCCGAACGAGATGACGAAAGGCGACCGAAGCCATCCAACGTGACTGAGGACGAAGAGGCGACATGGTTCAGAGGGATCGCGGCCGTGTGGAGCGAAGTTGAGACGTCGTCCGGTGAGAGTGCGGGGATCTTGAGAGATGAATGGAAGTCGGACTCGTGAGAGGCGAAGTCGTGAGAAGAGGAGTCATGAGAGGAGGATTTTTGGAGTGGCGAAGACAATGGAGTAGGAGAATTAGAGCGAGAGAGATGTGCATGAGGAGAACAGTGTAAAGTAAGTAACATACGAGACCAATCAATGTCAGGGTTGTGTTTGCGGAGCCAGTCGAGACCGAGAATGATAGGATAAGAAACAGAAACTATAGAAGGTACGAGAATTTCAGAATGATGGTTTTTCAAAGACGGTTTTTGGTGTTTTTGGTGTATAGTAAGAGAGATAATAGATTCTTGAGTAACAAGTCCGGAGGCGATAGGGCGATCATCAACTGCAACTATAGGAACTGGAATGGCTTTGTTTTGTTTAGGAATAGAATGGCGACGTACGAAATCATGAGAAATAACGGAATGTGAAGCACCTGAGTCGATCATAGCGTAAGTGTGAATGGATGTCCGATTTGGAAGAGAAATAGAGACAGGAACAAGGAAATGCTGAGGCGAAAAAAGAGAGGTACCGGAAGCGAAGAGAAATTGTGGAGGAGCAGAGGGAGATGGAGAGGGAGGGAGAGAGGGAACTGGAGTTGAGGAAGTGGAAGCCGGCGGAGGTTTGTTCTTTGTGCGACTGTTGATGCTCCGTTCATCAGCCGGTAGTCACACGAACGAAGGGGCGAAGGATCTTACCCTTTCGCCACGAAGGACGGCTTCACCGGCGCACTCGATGCATGAGCAGCACGCGCGATGTTGTGCACCTTCGCGGCGTCAGAGAGATTAGGGCATTGGGCAGCGAGTTCTTAAAGTAGACTATTTTCATAGACTCTGTGAGATCGACATGTGTGAGAAGTGCGAGGAACTGCGCCTTGTACGACGAGCAGGCGCCTCGCTGACAGAGGGACTGGAGCTTGCGCAGGGACGAATTTGTGAGATTGGAGTCCCCGAAATGACCACGTAAGTCCTGGAAGAATGTGTCGGTGCTCATGAGGGCGTAGGGACGGGACTTGATGACCGCGTTGAACCACTCTTTCGGAGAGCCGGGACCGAGGAAGGTGGCAATGTACACAATGCGTCGACGAAGATCGGGGAGTGAGTCGCCCTGGAGCTCAAGTGCCGCATTCATCGAATGAATGAAGGGCTCGACCTCCGCAGCCTTACCTGAAAACATCTCCGGCTGTTTGAAACGTGGAACCGGAGGAGGCTTGGGTGCGGAGTGGGCGAAATTGAGCTGTTGCACCGTGTTTGTGAGTGTCGCCATGTTCGTTGTGAGTTCGTGGATCATGCGAGCATAGACGACAGAGGGATCTTCCGGAGCCCCGAATGGGTGAAGGGGGTCGACGGCGGCTTTGTGTCCATCGGCGAAGGGATCAGGGTGGAAGGGGTTGTTTGATCCAAAGTTTGGACCAGGCTGTTGCTCTTGTTGCTGCTGCTGAGCGACGAGCTGAGCGGCGAGCTGAGGATCAACAGCGTGCTGGGATGCGTTCGGGTTCGACATAGCGACGTAGCGGCGTGCCGGGATAGTGAAGCGAACAAACTGTGAGGATCGCACGAAGAGACGAGAAGACGAAGGCCGAAAAGACTGTGTTGTTCGCTGCTCGAATACAGTGTGTGCGCGGAGACTAAGTACTGCTGTAAACAGGAGTACGGAGACTGGAGAATGCGTGCATCGTAATGAACGCTGTCATGGGCATGGCGAGAACACGGAATGTAAGGTAATACAATGAAGACAAAGAATGAATGTAGAGTAATACAATGAAGACAAAGAATGAATGTAGAGTAATACAATGAAGACAAAGAATGAATGTAGAGTAATACAATGAACAGTCGCATGAGAGAACGGAACGGACGCGAGCGCTGAGCTGTGCGTAGCCAGGCCCATGACATAGGGGTACTCGAGGGGTGTCCTGTCGAGCCTGGGTGTTCTGTGTGGAGTCCGTGTTGACTGTTCTTCTATTGTGTTCTGCTATCGAGCAGTTCACAACCTTCTGTCCTGGTAGATGGGTCCTCTGCACTTGAATAAGTAGAGGGTTCAATCTTTCGACCTAATGTTACGTCGAAGTCCGAGTTCCGTCGGGAACGAGGCCTAGACGCCGGGTGGTTATGTTCGTGAGAAGTCTCTTGATGCTGACGCGAGAGAGCACGGTGCACTATCGAGTGGACCGGCGAGCGAGCGAGGTGGAAGGCAAGCAAGAGAGTCAATTGGCACTAGGCCAGAGAGGACATAGCTATACAGGAGGTCGAAAGATGGGGAGCGCTATGCTGCGTCGTCCCTCTTATAAGTACAGAGGCCTCGAGGCCGTGGTGCGTAAGTGATGAGGTAGCGGAAATGTACAAGGTGTGTCCATACGAGTCATGGCTGCGGTACACGAGGGGTGTGTGTGTTGTGAGGTCGCCATGAGGTGGATGCATGTCCGAGAGTGGCTGCGCAGCAGCATGAAACAGGGTTTGAAATGGAGATGAGAGCAGTGATGGTACAGAGTCAGCAAGCATGAGGCGTAGTCCGAGAAGTAGAGGGAGGAGGAGAGGGAAATGGTAGGCATACGCATGGTGTCCGTAACAAGTGCAAATTAGCGCCCAATGCTGTAAAGTACGAAACTTACACTATGATGATGAACTTGTTGATGTCTAGGATGCCTGCAATGTGGGCTGGTGCATGTTGGGTGCATGCTCTGTGTTACTTCGTACTTTCTTTCACCCATTTGTGAGCTTATCATAAGACATTGTGTATGTGGGGAGAGGAAGAGACCCACTTGGGGCAACATGATGTGCTCGTAGTGGGACAGAGAGTGTTCATGGTTCCAAATGAGAGTCCGAAGCACCGGTTTATGCACTTCACAATGACATACAGTGGTGTCTGCCCATCTATTTCTGTGGTTGGTTCTGAACACTCTAACAACCCAAAATAATATGCAAAATCTACACATCAGTGTATGCACTATGCACTAGTAACATTTATGCATAAATGGCTGGTAACATGCATGGTTCAGGGCCTGGTGTATGCACAATGACAATTTATGCACAATGACCTTATGCATTATGAACTTAACGACTGTATGGTCATAGCTGTGTAGTTACATGTACCCCGTATGCTTCCTTCAATTTGAGTCGGCCCGGGTGTAGCCGGCGCCTCTGCACCGCAAGCAGGCCACTGCCCTGCGCCCACCACACGCACCGCACCTCCTCCCTCCCACCACCACCTCCGCTCCTCCCATGTCTACGAAACAGGACCGCACAACTACAGAGCGACATGCAAAGACTCTCCGCGAGTTGCTGAAGCTGCCGGACAACAAGACATGTGCTGACTGCAAGCGCAATGGTGCGCCTCTCAAAACCTTTATGTGGGTTTGACTGATTCACCGTCCTCAGATCCTCGCTGGGCCTCTTGGAATCTGTGAGTTTCCACCCATCTTGATGGTGAGCTCAAACCCATAACCTCACTTACAGCGGGGTCTTCCTTTGTATCCGATGCTCCGGCGTCCACCGCTCTATGGGTACCCACATCAGCAAAGTCAAGTCCGTCGACCTCGATGTCTGGACACCCGAGCAGATGGCCGTGAGTCTCGTCTTTATTCTTGGCGCGGTGTGTGTTTTAAACTCCCTGTATCGCCCCAGTCGATCCAAAAGTGGGGCAACCGGAGAGCAAACGCATACTGGGAGGCCCACCTCAGACAAGGCCACGTCCCACCCGACCAGTACGTCCGCACCCCCTCCTCCTCCCGCGCCCGCGATCTCACATCGCACCCCTCGCTCTCCCCGCACCCCTTCGCCCGCGCAGCAAGATGGACTCGTACATCCGCTCCAAGTACGAGTCCCGCCGCTGGGCACGCGAGGGCCCGCCCGCCGACGACCCCTCCGTGTACGACGGCGATGCGCCCGCGCCCGTCCCCACCGCTGCCCCCACGCCCGCCGCACCGACCCACCAGGCCCGCACCCCTTCCGTCTCCTCCGTCTCCTCCGTGAGCGCGCGGACGACGCAGACCCAGCCCCAGCCGCGCCAGCTGCTCTCCACCGCCCTCGCGGCCTCGCGCCAGAGCCCCGCCCCGCCCTCGCTCACGCCCCCGCCGCGCAGCCCTCTCCAGCTGCCGCCCCGCCCAGCCGGCCTCGGCCGCCGTCGACCTCTTCTCGCTCGACTTCCACGCCCCCACGAACGCGTCCCCTGCCTCCACCCCCGCGGCAGCCGGGCAGCCACAGAAGGACGTCCGGGCGGAGATCATGTCCCTCTTCTCCACTGCCGCGCCCGCGCAGAACGCGTTTGCTCAGCAGCAGCAGCAGCAGCAGCAGCAGCCCGCGCAGAACGCGTGGGCCGCGCAGCCGCAGGGCCAGTTCGGCGGCATGCAGATGGGCGGCGCGGCGGGCATGAACATGAACATGAGCGGCATGGGCGGAATGGGCGGCATGCAACCGCAGGCGAACGTGTGGGGCCAGCAGGCCCAGCAGCAGCAACCGACGAGCATGATGGGCAACGCCGGCGTCGGGATGTGGGGCGCCAGCTCTGGCTGGACCGCACCCCAGCAGCAACAGGCCCAGCAGCAGTCGAACATATGGGCGACGCCCGCGCCTGCCGGCCAGGCGAACCTGTTATCGACGGGCGACGTGTGGGGTATGCCCACGGCGGGGACGGCGGCGAACGGCGCTGCTGCGCAGAAGAAGGACGACGCGTTCGCCGACATCTGGGGCGGGTTCAAGTAGGCGGAACCGTTCAACGGCAAGTTCGGAAGCTTGGAGCCTGGGGTTCCCTAGACGTACGGTGGCGCGTAGACCCACTAGTACCTCGCCCTGCGTTTTTGTCAACCGGTACAATTACACCTGACTGCACATGCCCTGTACGCTTGTAATTGTACACATCCGTATCCTCATTCCCGTCCACACCCCGTCTTATTTTGAGGGTATCGCGATTACGCCAAGCCAAGGTCCTAAACCCACCGTCAGCGTCAACTCCAGCACGCACCGCACCACCGCGTCTTACCTTCTCGATCAACCGCCGCGCGATCGGGTGGAACGCGAGCTTGTTCGCGTTGAATACCTCGACCGCGAGCTCGCGGTTCGCCCGCGCGATCGCGCGGAACGTCGGGCGACAGAACTTCATGCGCCCCGCGAGGATGCCCGTGCCGTCGTTGCCCGTGACCCACTTGGCCGCCGGCGCCGCGTACCCCTTCGCGGACGGAGACGCGGGATCAAGCAGCGCGACCTCGTAGAAGCGCCAGCGGAGCTCCGCGTTCGTGGACGAGGCGAGCGAGTAGACCTCGCCGAGTAGATTGATGTGGCTCGAGGGGAGGGCGGGGAAGGACTGAAGGCGTTCGAGGAAGACGACTGCACGGAGAAAAGAGGGGGCGGAGGTCAGCCGAGTCGTAGGCGTGGCGAGCGCGAGCAGGATGGACGTACTCTTTTGGTTGGCGTTGAACTTTTCGACGTCGCTCGCGCTGAAGGAGAGCTTGGAGACTTCCTCAGAACGTACGGCGTCCCACTTCGCGGCCAAGGCATACGCGTCCGTCGCAAGGGATAGATCGTACTCCATCTCGTCCGGAAGCTCAAGGCCCTCTCCGTAGAACCATTCCTGAAAGCACCGGAGATGAGGGCGTTTGTGTCGAATAGAAAACACCGAGACAACGTACATCCCACTTGATTCCATCCAGAGCCTTGATCTTCTCCTCGCCTCCATGCTTGCTCCAGTATCCGTACAAATGCTCCTTCCACTGCTCCGTAGTGATACTCTTGCCCATGAACGTGTGCACGTAGTCGTACACGTACGGAAGGAATACGTCCAGCCCGCCGAGCGTGCGCTCGAGGTGGAGGATGAAGTTCGAGCCCTTCTCGTACGGCACGGTGCTGTACGCGTCGTCCGGGTCCTCGCCCTCGTCAAAGTTGATGACGAGGCGCTGATACTTGGGCTTGTTCACGTACTGCTTGAGCGCTTGCTTGAGCGAGTTGTACCCGATGAGGAAGGAGAAACCACGGTCGGCGGGCGTGTGCAGACGCTCGAGGAGGACACGCTCCATGTAGGTCGTCCAACCCTCGTTCAGCCAGAAGTGGGTCGAGTTGGCTTGGCTGTGAAGATAAGACGGTCAGGACCGCGTAACGGAATCGAGAGGACCGATGGAACTCACGTAACGCCGTTGCCGAACCAAGAATGCGTGAGCTCGTGGACAACGACGTCAACGAGGGTGCGGTCACCGACGAGAAGGGCTGTTTGAGCGTAAGCATGTATGCGATGCATCTTGCAACCCTGGACCTACTAGGCGTGAGGAACGTCAAACAAGCGTTCTCCATTCCACCGTAGGGGAAGGATGGAGGCAGTACGAGGACATCGTAAACACCGAAGCGGTACGGTGGCAGGATCGTCTCGGCCGTAGACAGGAACCTGTGGTGCATACAGTCAATCCACCATGCCGGGCTGATGGAAGAAAAAGCTGACCTGCCGACATCCTCGCTGAACTCCCAGTAAGCAGCGTCAATGAGCTCAGGCTCGGCCCAGATGCCGATATTCCAGTCCTTGCCCTCGACTTTGGGAAACGCGCGGTAGCGGAAGTTGCCGGCCGCGATAGCGATGAGGTATGTGGGGATGGGTATAGGCTGCAGCGCAGACGATTTGCATGCGGTGAAGAGAAGAGCCAAGACGGACACACCTGTTTGTACTCGTAAACGACGGCATCCTTGCCAATCTCCTTCCCATCGTGTGCGGGGCCCGTTGACGGAGGAGAGACGCGGATAGCAGAGAGCAATGTGGGAAGGACGGAAGCGACTTTGGCAGTGTAGGTCTGGCCGGCGGTCGGGTGATGCGGAGAGTGAGGGGAGCATGGACACGCACTATCTTCGCGGAGGCGGTATCCTGGAGGGGGGCCATGCTGCGGGCATAGATGGGCTGGCACTGGCTAAACATGAACGGGAAGGTCTTTCCCTGCGTTTGCCTGCGATGTGCGGAGATCAGAATCGGGTTGAAGGCGCATGATCGGTGAGACGGACTGCTTGTCGAGCCATTGGACGGCGGCGCACTCGTGGGTGGTGCTGTAGTGGACGGTGAGGTGGACCTTGTCGCCCGCCTGGCGGTTGATGGGCAGGCGGATGCTGAGCGGTGCACCCATGACCTCATGGTGCTTGCCGAGCGTGAACTGCAGCGGCAGTCAGCGGGCGGAGGCCAAGGAGCGACCAAGAGCATACATCGCCTGGCCGGCCCTCGACGATCACTTTGGTGACATCGAGATACTGGGTGTCAAATCTGGCGAGCGGGCGGTGAGAGGCGAGATGAAGAGCATGCTGGGCTGGGTACGTACACAACCTGCTGCACACCGGGGGTGTTCACGCGGAGAGTGTGTGTCGCGGTGCCGGAGATGGTCTGTGTCTGGAAGTCGAGGGTCCAGTCGAAATCGACGTGCTCGGAGACGACGTCGTGCCAGTTTGACTGGGATGCGGCATCGATGGGCAGCACGGCAGCGGACATGGCGGCGCGAGGCTGGGCGTAGCAAGACGGTGGCCGTCGCGTCTGGGCGGGCGAGGCTGGGGTGAGCTCTCGATCATATCGGTCGCTAATCTACGCGCCTTAGAATAATTATTTGCCGCGGTTGCCTCCTCGTGCCGCGCGCAGACACTTAGTGTTCCCTCCTGAGCCTCCTCCATGGCCCCCAAGGCTGACAAGATCGGCTCACTGCTATTCTGCCCCACCTGCGGCACCCTCCTCAACCTCCCCCAGGACGGCGAGTTCGAGGTTCTCTGCGAGCAATGCGGCCACATTGAGCCCGCCGGCTGTGCGTCAAGCCCGTCCCGACCGCATCCACTGCACGCTGACCGCGCCCGCCAGCGTACGAGAACATCGAGATCGTCACCAGCTCGCACCCGGAGGCCTTCCCATCCCCGCTCCGGCAAAAGCGCAAGACGCAGACGAAGGTGCACGCCGCAAACGAAGACCTGCTCAAGGTCGGCTATCGCCTCGTGTTTATCTCCCTGCTCCTCGCCTGACCACCCCCATCGCCCGGCAGGTGACGGAGAAGTGCCCGGAATGCGGACACATGGAGGCCTACTCCAAGGAGGCACAGGTGCGTCGTCCTTCACCCGCTCGCCCATGCCAAGCGCGCCAACCGACGGGGCTCGCAGCTTCGGAGCGCGGACGAGGGCTCGACGATCTTCTACACGGTGCGTGCGCCTCGCATATCCGACGAGAGCACGGCGGACTCACCTCGCGCGCACGCCCCCGCAGTGCGTCAAATGCAAATTTGGCTGGCGAGTCAACAACTAGAGCCGGCGCCGGAATCCGTGCACACCAATCCCGCGTGTCCGCCATCTGAGCCCATGCGGCCGCAGCCAGGCGCGTTCGATTGCTACACGTACACGCCAACAGAGCAGAAGAGGGCCACGACGCCGAAACCGCCCAACACGCTCGCCGTGGACGCGACAGCCAGCTCCCGGGCCGGGATGCTCGCTTTGGGCAGGCTGGGTGAAGGAGACGAGGGAGGTGTGAGCCAGGGTGTAGCACGGCAAGTAGCTGAGAAAAACATACGTCGAAAAGTAGAATGCGAGGCTGAAGGTGGCACTGAGGAGCACGAATGCGAGATAGGGAAGGAGAGCGACGGGGACCGCGGGCGCGAACGCCGGGACGGCCTTGTGCAGCGCCTGTGGAACGGTGAGCGGGGAGAGAGGACGAGGAGGGTGCGGCGGACCTGAATGCTGGCGTAGTCGTCCATGGGGGCGGAGGAGAGATCTGGAGCCGCCGTTGCGGGGCGCGGTGGGCAGGCTGACGGCCGTCCTGACGCACGCGTGGCGCGGGCAAACACGCGTCATCAAAGCCCATATCAACCCGTCGCGCTCCCTCTGCCCTCTCCTCCTATCCACCACCTTCCCCACCCACACGCCCCGCACACGACCGCTCACGCCCACGGTATGTCCCCCTCTGCCCCCCGTCTCCCGTCCCCGTGCACGGCGTTCAACCGCCCGCCACTGCCAGATGTCTGCCACCCAAAAAGTCCAGCAACACCCCGCCTTCATCCAGGCCCAAGACAAGGCCAACTACTACGTTAACCAACTCGACAAGGAGGTTCGTGCTCGTTTTCTCCGCCCCCTCACACGGCGGGCGGGCTTGATTGCAGTATGAGACTGATTGGGCGACTGCGGCTGCCAGCTGTCCAAGTACCCGCTCCTCAACACTTTCGAGCAGCGCACGCAGGTGCCCAAGAGCTATGCCTTCCTCGGAGCCTCCGCTCTCCTCGTCCTCCTCCACTCGGTGAACGCCTTCGCCGCCCCGATCTCGAACCTCGTTGGCTGGGCCATGCCCGCCTACCTCTCGATCAAGGCCCTCGAGAGCCCCGGCCACCAGGACGACATGCAGTGGCTCACCTACTGGGTCATTTTCGGCTTCTTCACCTTCCTCGAGTCCTTCGCCGGCCGCATCGTCCTCTACTACCTCCCCTGGTACTTTGCCTTCAAGAGCCTCTTCATCCTCTGGCTCCAGCTGCCGCAGTTCCGCGTGAGTTATTTTATCGGCGTCTGTTGCCATCTTGCGTCATGGCGTCTCGCTGACGGCATGTGTTTGTTCTCTCCCAGGGCGCGCAAATGCTCTACGGCACCGTCGTCCGCCCCGTCTTCGCCAACCTGAACGGCAAGGCCACTCACGCCCCCACCCAGTCGGAGCCCGTCACCGCCGACGGCCTCCGGGACCGCGTTGGGTCTTCGGAGTAAACGTCTGACTTAGACCGCGTCCGTTCCCGTTGTTTCCGCTTCTCGCCTGACTCGGACGTTCGTTATCATAGTAAATGGCTGTACGAGGGGCTCGGTTGCTTGCGACAATAACCTTGATCACGCGTATCTCTTTCCTGTCTGTCTTGTTTTCAGCGCGGGGAGTGGAGGAGCATGGTGTGCAGTACCTTATGACCCTTACGGTGATGTAAATCAGTACTCGGCGACCCGGTAATCGACCGCGACGTTGCGCTGTGCTACACGATTAACCGTGCGTGAAGGACGTTACTCTGCGGCCCGCCCACGAAGCTTGAAGGTTATGTCGGCGTGTACTCCGTCACAGGGCTCGTCGCCCGGTGTTCAAGCACGGACCGTCTTTACACCCAAGTGCTCCTTCCAGCCAACCACCCTCATCGATCGCCATGATGCACAGGCCCGCAAGGGCTGCCGCATGTCCAGGTATCTCGCCCACTACACAACAGAGCTCAACCGGGCAAAGCTGCCAAGTCACCGCTTCCGCTTTCTACCGTCTTCCCCTCGGACGCAAAACCTGAACCGCAGGCCACGCGGCGTCCGCGCCGCACGATCTGTGCGACGACGCGCAAACGGTCCCCGCCAGCAGACGTCTCGAGGCGGTTCGCTCTGCGCCCCCCACCGTCCCAATCGGCGGTCCTCCTCGAACCAAGCGTCGGCGCGCCTGGCATTGAGACCGTAAGAGCGCGACTCGGGCATGGAAGCTCGACAGACACACGCGTGGCACGCAGGGGTTCCCGTTCGGGCGCGGTGGAGGCTCGGGGTGGTTCGGTGGTGGAACGAGCGGAAGACGCGGGGGCTATGTGTGCGGGTACGGTTGCGGGGGGCGTGCGGTGGTCGAGTAGAGTACGCGAGGCAAAATAAACGAAGTTCAGCCCAATAAAGTGCGCGGGAATATAAACGAGAGATCCCAAAGTACTTATCAACGGGGCGGGTAGAAGGGACGTCGTGGGAGGGAGACGCGGGGGGCGCGGGGGTGAGGCCTTGAGGGATGAAGTGTGATGGTCGCGCAAAGGGCAGAGACGCGAGGACAAAGAATAATGCGTTGATCGCTGTCGTGAGACAATGTAAGGCTGGAAGCTATATACTACTGTAGACAGGAGCTTGCAGAAGACCTAGAATCACGGAGACGGTCATGGGAATGGCGTAGAGTAATACAGTGGAGAACATGAGTCGAAGGCCAAGAGAACGTACAGTAATAGGAGCGTCGTGAATAGCAGAAAAGAGTATGCAGATAGCGGAACGCGTGGATAGCATCGGCGCGAGCAGATAGCGATGCGTGGGCGCGCATATGGACTATGGCCAGGCCCATGACACCATCCCCTCTTCAAGGAGCAGCATCAGAGGTCGAGGCGAAGTGGCGGTCTTGAGATGCGGCCAGCGCGAGTGGTCGTGCGCGCGGGCGGCACGTAGTTGTCGACGAGATTGATGCGTGGGGCCGGTGGCGGCGATGGCGAACACGGAGACACCTGAGGTGCGCGCGCGACGATTTGAGAGAGCGGGGGAGGAGGCGAAGGTGACGCGCGCGCGGGCGCGATTGACGTGATAGCGCTAGCTGGAAAGGAAGAAATTTTGTCGAATATAATGGGGTGAGGGCGCGGTGCACGCGGGTGACGACGATGAAACCGTTCGACGAGCTCGTGAACCGCATCGTCAAATGGAAGGTCGCAGAGCGCGAGCCAAACACGTTCATCGAAAGAAGGGGAATGCATGAAGGAGACAAGATAATCGTAGCGCTTACCGATGCGCCTACAGTCGTGTATCTCCGCGATCGTTGTCGACGGATCTTCAGGTAATTGCAGGCATGCGGGTTGAGCGTGTGCGTGAAACTCGGAGGGATCGTGGTAGGACTCGAGAAGAGCGGTGTTGAATACGGGATGAAGGCGCGAGAGGTACGGAGGCAATCGAAGCTCGTACGCAGATGGCCCAATCTTGCGTCTGATGGGGAAGGGACCGAGACGGCGGTGATCGAGTTTGTCGGATGGTCGGGTGGTGGTGATATTGCGGCGAAGCAACCAGACAAGTCGTCCGACAGGATAGTCGGGGTCAGGAATAGCGCGAAGATCATGATACTTAGCTTGAATGCATTGGGCGTTGGCGAGCTCAGCGCGCAGTTCGGCGTGTACGATGTCGAGACGCTGTGCAAGGTCGGCAGCAGCGGGAACATTGGAAGGCGCAGTGAGTGAAGGCTGAAAGGTGGGATGGTAGCCGAGGTTTGCGTAGAATGGGGATTGACAAGTTGAAGTGTTTTCGAGATTGTTGAAAGCGAATTCTGCAAGAGGAAGGTAATCGACCCAGTCATCCTGCTGATAGGACGTGTATGCACGAAGGTACGTTTCGAGAGTCTGATTAGTACGCTCCGTGAGACCATCTGTCTGCGGATGATATGCAGTGGAAGGTTTGAGATCGATCTGCAAAGACGAAGCAATAGCGCGCCAAAAATGAGAAACAAAAACGCTGCCGCGGTCAGAAACTATGGAGTCAGGAAGACCGTGGTAGCGAAAAACGCGATCGAGAAAGAGGGAAGCAAGAGCGGGAGCGTCAATAGTCTCATTACAAGGAAGGAAATGCGCGGCGCGCGTGAGTCTGTCACAGATAACCAAAATGGAATCATACCCGTGTGAGCGCGGTAGCTTGACGATGAAATCCATCGTGATAGCGCGCCAAGGACGGTCGGGGATTTCGAGAGGCTGGAGTAGACCGAATGGCTTGTGTCGCGGTGTCTTGATACGAGCGCACGTATCGCACGCCTCGCAGTACCGACGGACATAAGTCGTGACGCCAGGCCACGAATAGTCGCGCGAAACGAGAGCGAGGGTGCGCGTGCGGCCAGGGTGACCAGCAGCGGGGACGTTGTGGCGGGCATGCAGAATATCAGAACGAAGAGAAAAGGGAACATACAAGCGGCCTTTGTGAAAAACGAGATCCTTTTGAACGGAGAAGTCGTCATCTCCTCGCGCGACGGCCTCGCGCCAAACATCATCGGACGCGAAAGCGGCTTGAAAACGCGCAAGAAGATCTGCGTTGTCAAGAGAAATCACGGTAAGTGCAGCCTGAGCAGACAGAGACGACACCGAAAGGGATGATGTGTGCCTCTCTGTGAGGAGCGTTTGATGCTGTCCTGTCAGGACATCATCCCCTCTTCGAGGGACGAAGTCCGCGCGTCGTGACGGCGCGTCAGCGATGTTCGCGGAACCGGGCGCCCAATTGAGGTGGAAGTCGTAGTCGGAAAGAAACATTGACCATCGTGCTTGGCGACGGTTGAGAGGTTGGGTTTGCATGAAGTATTCGAGGTTGCGGTGATCGGAAATGACAGTGATGGGGTGTGGTGAGCCGAGGAGCCATGCACGCATGTCGCGGAACGTGTCGACGATGGCGAGAAGCTCCTTGTCGTGGACTTCGTAATTGATCTCAGCGGGCGAGAGCTTGCGAGAGAAGAAGCCGACGGGATGAAGGGAGCCAGAATCGTCAGGTTGCTGGAGAACGCCGGCAATCGCAAAGTCGGAGGCGTCGGTGATGACAGTGCAAGGGCGGTGGGGGGAAAAGTGTTGGAGGACAGGTGCGGTGACGAAAGCGTCCTTGAGCGCGGCGAACGCAGCGCGCGCGGGGTCGTCGAGGTGAAAGGGTTGGGGAGAGGAAGAAGGCTTGGTGAGTAGGGTGAGAGGAAGAACGATACGCGAGAATGCGGGAATGAAACGACGATAGAAATTGGCAAACCCTAAAAACGATTGAACGTCTTTGATAGACGCAGGTTCTGGCCAATCAGTAATGGTGTCGAGCTTGTGTGGGTTCATGCGAACACCGTCAGCACTGATAATAAACCCAAGAAACTCAACGGCAGTCTTATGCCACTCGCATTTGCGCGGGTTGGCATAGAGCTTTGCACCGCGAAGCTTGTCGAGGATAAGACGAACATGTTGTTCGTGCTCTTCAGGTGAAGCTGAAAAGATCAGAATGTCGTCAAGATAAACGACGCAAAAGATATCCAGATACTCGTGCAACACATCTTGGATGAAGGATTGGAAGGCAGCGGGCGCGTTTGTGAGACCGTACGGCATCACCAGATGCTCGAACAGGCCGAGTGGCGTCCGAAACGCTGTCTTCCATTCATCGCCCTCCTTAATACGTACGTGGGAGTAGGCGGACTTGAGATCGAGTACCGAAAACATCTTGGATCCTTGAACACGGTCGAGGAGATCGTTGACAAGAGGAAGGGGGTAGCGATTCTTGCGAGTGATGGTGTTGAGACCACGGAAGTCGACACAGAGGCGAAGTTCGCCGGTCTTCTTGCGCGTGAACAGAACGGGCGCAGCGGCAGAGGACGTGGAGCGACGGATGTGACCACGCTTGAGGTTGTCGGCAAGGTGCTTTGCAAGGGCGTCGCGTTCGTCGATACCAAGGCGGTAGAGCGGACCAAAGGGTGGTGAGGTGTCGGGATCGAGATTGATATCGACGTCGTAAGGACGGTGTGGGGGGAGATGGTCGAATTCTGCAGGGTTGAATACAGAGTCTTGGTAGGTACGGTACTGCGGCGGGATGGACTCTCGAATAGTGTCCCACTCGGCGGGGTCCGCGACGGCATCGTAGTGAGTGCGAAACGCGTCGGAGAGGTCGGAGGAGACCGCGCGGGTAGTGGGGTCGAAAGAGAACGAAGAAAGTACGCACGTAGGATCGTCGCGAATGGCCTTGAGAAATTTCTTGGCTGAGAGCGTCCGAATATGGCGTCGGCATGGCGGCGTGCGAGGAATCGGGGATTGGGGGCGACCGAAGCCATCCGAACCCGAACGGAGAAGCGAGGGGCGACCGGAGCCATCCAACGCGTCGATGGACGAAGAGGCGACATGGGAGTGGGGGATCGCGGCCGCGTGGAGCGACGTTGAGACGTCGTCCGGAGAGAGTGCGGGGATCTTGAGGGAAGTGTCGAAATCGGAGTCATGGAAAGCGGCATGGGAGTGGGGCGAAGACGGGCGGGTGGGGGAAGTGGACGTAAGGTGGGCGTGAGAGATGCAATGTAACGTAAGGAGCATGCGGGACCAATCAATGTCGGGATTGTGTTTTCGGAGCCAGTCAAGACCGAGAATGATGGGATATGATACAGAGACTACAGAGGGTACAATGATTTCAGAATGACGGTTTTTCGTGGACGATTTTTGTTGTATAGTAAGAGAGATGATAGATTCTTGAGTAACTAAACCGGAGGCGATAGGGCGATCATCAACTGCAACAATAGGAACGGGAATGGCTTTATTTCTTTTAGGAATGGAATGGCGACGTACGAAATCATGAGAGATGACAGAATGCGAAGCACCGGAGTCAATCATGGCATATGTATGTATAGGTACACGATTTGGAAGGGAAATAGAAATGGGAACGAAGAAATGCTGAGGAGAAAAGAGAGAAGTACCGGAAGCGAAAAGAAACTGAGGCGGAGAGGAAGGGAATGAGAATGGGGATGTTTGCGGGGATGCGAGTTCGGATACCGGCAGGATTTTGCGTTGTGCGCGACTGTTGATGCCCCGTTCATCAGCCGGTAGTCGCGTGAACGAAGGAGCGGGGGATCTTACCCTTTCGCCGCGAAGGACGGCTTCGCCGGCGCGTGCGAGGCATCTGCAGCGCGCGCAGCGTTGCGCGCCTTCGCGGCGTCAGAGAGGTTAGGGCATTGGGCACCAATGTGCCCTTCGTGACCGCAGTAGCGGCACAGTCCGAGGTCATGGCGACGCTTCTTCTCGGCGTCGGTGAGGGGCGCACGAGGAACGCGAAGCGCGTCGACCTGCATAGGGACGGCGGTCGACGAGGCGGGCGCGGAGGCAGCAGTGGATGTGGCAGAATGCATGATGGAGGTGGCAGGGGTGGAGGTGGACTTGCCATTCTTGCCATTGCTACTCGGGTGCGTGGACTGATAAGCACGCTCCGCAAGCCGCGCAGAGTGCTGTTCATCGTCAATGTCGACGCAGAGTTCGGCGAGGTCGAAGAGTGTGGTAGGCTGGTTGTGGCGACCGCGTCCGGCAAGCATGTTCCGAACTTCGGGCTTGAGTCCATTTTTGAAGTGGACGATCTTCGTGGACTCGGTGAGATCGACGTGAGTGAGTAGTGTAAGGAACTGGGCTTTGTAAGCCGAGCAGGCACCCCGTTGACGGAGGGACTGAAGCTTGCGCAGGGATGAGTTGGTGAGGTCCGAGTCGCCGAAGTGGCCGCGCAAATCTTGGAAGAATGCGTCGGTGCTGACAAGCGCGTAGGGGCGTGACTTGCAGACGGCGTCGAACCACTCCTTGGGTGCACCAGGACCGAGGAAGGTGGCAATGTACACAATGCTGCGTCGAAGATCGGGGAGGGAGTCACCTTGCAGCTCAAGTGCGGCATTCATAGAGTGAATGAATGGTTCCACCTCGGATGCCTTACCAGTGAACATCTCCGGCTGCTTGAAGCGCGGAACTGGAGGGGGCTTCGGGGCAGAGTGCGTGACGGTCAGATGCTGGACCGTGTTGGTAAGCGTTGCCATGTTCGAGGTGAGCTCATGGATCATTCGCGCATAAACGACGGAGGGATCTTCTGGCTGTCCGAAGGGATGGTGGGGATCGACAGCGTGTCCGTCGGCGAAGGGATCAGGATGGAATGGATTGTTGGAACCAATGACAGGTCCTTGAGGCTGCACAGGGGGCTGCTGAGCGGCGAGCTGGGGGTCGACGACGTACTGCGGAACAGCCTGCGACTGGGGGAATCCAAACATGTTCGACATGACGGCGTGACGGCGTGCCGGGAAAGGGAGGGAAAGTAGGAAGCGATCAAACTGTGATGGTCGCGCAAAGGGCAGAGACGCGAGGACAAAGAATAATGCGTTGATCGCTGTCGTGAGACAATGTAAGGCTGGAAGCTATATACTACTGTAGACAGGAGCTTGCAGAAGACCTAGAATCACGGAGACGGTCATGGGAATGGCGTAGAGTAATACAGTGGAGAACATGAGTCGAAGGCCAAGAGAACGTACAGTAATAGGAGCGTCGTGAATAGCAGAAAAGAGTATGCAGATAGCGGAACGCGTGGATAGCATCGGCGCGAGCAGATAGCGATGCGTGGGCGCGCATATGGACTATGGCCAGGCCCATGACATGAAGGACGAGGATAATGCGCAAGCTATAATCCAAAACCATAACTAACCTAGGTAGTAGTACATAAACGTCGCGCGCATAATACGCAAGGTCAAAAGGGTCACTAAAAACCAGAGCCAAGGTCAAACGGGCCGCGACGTCCAAAGACGAGTGAGTCGGTGCGAGATGAGGTGGAGCGAGGGGTAAAATATACAACAGCGGAACAGCAAGGACAATTGATACTGGCGGACGAGACAGCGATGCAGTAGTATAGGATAGAGATTCGGGGGGCGAGGCGAGCGGCGGACGAGACCAGGGATTAAGAGGAAGACGCGTTATAGATAAGGATGTTTTGGACCTTGCAGGATGACTTGAGTCGGGTGATCATCCTTGATCTCTTCGTTGCGACTTCTCTTGTTCTCTCCGATACTGGAGATACGTCCTGTGGGAGCGTTGCGCGATTAGATAACACAGCAGAGAGGCTAGGCCGCGGTCGCGTGACGCGGAAACACGAATGCAGCGGAAGTGGACAGTACTTACAGCTCGTCCATTTCTCGACTGCTGTCTTTTACGCGCATGTGGATCATCGGCAGTGCGAACACGAGACCCGCGACAAGCAGGACCCACGTCGAGATGAAGAGGTTCATGAACCTGGGCGCAAAGCGCGCACGTCAGCATCCTGTCGACCAAGCTCCGCATGAGCAGCTTCGACGGAACTCACGGGACCTTCACGGCGTCTGCGCGCCAAACCCCTGCTGCGCCGGCCGACTGGAGCGATTTGTCTGCAAACAAAAACAAGGGCCGCGAGGGCCGCAAATGGCAAGAGGCGGGTTCGGGGAGAGCGTCCATCAGACGCGGACGGATCAGAAGAGCGCAAAGGGACAGCAGACGGGAAAGGCAGGTGCAGGGGCGGTCAGCGGGGTGCGCGCAATGAAAGAAGCGTGAGGTAGGCACGCACAGAATCCGGAGAAGTTGGCGAGTTTGGCCGGGTCGTTGGACATCGCGCCCATGAACCAGTACGCGGTCGTTTGCCACATCGAGTCGAGGAGACCACAGACGATGTAAAGCCACATGCGGCTCACGTACACGCCCTCGTGGATGTCGATCTTGTCGCTCACTGTGTCTCGAGTGTACCCTCTGTAGGAGCCTGTTAGGCCAACCACCTACAAAAACAACGTGGAAAGGCAAATACCTTTGATAGAATAAGGCCCAGACATGAACGACGAAGACCATCACCATGAGAATGCACCAGCCCGCGAATGCCCGGAACCGACGCGAGAGGCCGCGCTGGTCCAAGAGGAAGCCGATGGAGACCGACCCGATGATCTGGGAGAGCCAGTAGACAAGGTTGTTGAGGGCGCGGGCTCGGATAGTAAAGAGCGCGCCATTGTAGTCGTTGAATTCTGTCCTTCAAATTAGCGGGGTATCCTTCGTGTTTCCTGTGAGGGACATACGCCATGTGTAGAACCAATTGCTGGCAAAAAACATGGGGAAGAGAAGGATGATCCAGGGGTCGGTGCGGAGGGTGAACCAGAGGCCGTAAAACTCGGACCTCCAGGACGGATGGCGGAAAGTGACAACCCGGGTCCCGTCCGAGCGGATCATCTTTGTGGGGTTTGCCATGAGCAAAGGGATCACGACGCCTATCCCGGTCAAGACCAGGAAGCCGATCTAAGGAAAGAGGGTGGTGATGAGCCAGGGTCGGAAGCCGAGAAGAGAAGACGTACGTATGTCCCATTGGCGACTAGACCCAGGGAAACGGGTCAGCGGCGTTGGATCAACGGGAAGGGATCGCGGGCGGAGTGCTCACCGCTGTTAGACTAGCATCAAACGCAGGGTGAGTCGAGGTGGGGCGCGACACAGGACGGGGAGACGCACGGTGTTGTCAAAGTTCTCGCCGAGGGAGACGGCAGCGCCGACGACGCCTCCGAGGTTGAAGATGGACCAGAAGATGGCGATGAACATGCCCTTCTGCTGCTCGGTGGGGTAGGCGAGCATGAGGGAGCCCTGGGCGGTCCAGAGGAGGCCGGCACTGATGCCGAGGTACGCGCCCGCAGCGATAACGAACGCGCCGACGCCATGGTGGATGTTGTACGCCCTGCGCGCGGTGAGCGGGGCGGAGGGGGACGAAGCGGAGGAGGACGCACAGGTAGGAGCCAATGTAGAGCGCGTACCCAGTCGTGCCGAGGAGGAGGGTGAGCCGCGAGCCGAGCACATTGTTGATCGACCTGTCCCCCGCCGCAGTCAGTCCTCGTCCCTCCCAGCCCTCGCTCGACGGCGCGCACGGTCTCGCTCCGTCCCCTCTGCCTCCCCTCCGCGTACCCGCGCTCCGCCCGTTGTCCGCCGCACCGCCCGACTGTGCGCGGCGCGCGCGCCATTCTCGTCGGCCTCACACGGAGAGCCCTGGCACGCGGAAGAGGATGACGTGAGACTCACCCGGAGAAGAAGGCGGCGACGGCAAAGGTGGCATAGAGCGTGCTGTTCGCGTTCGCGCTCGTGGTGGGGTCGACCATGCCGCCGCCGCCGAGGCCGTTGAGGGCATTGAAGAGGCCAGGGCCCATGAAGCAGACGAAGCCGAGGAAGACGACCTGGATGACGGGGTTGTAGTACACGGCGCGGAAGCCGGTGTACTGCTGGTGGAGCTCGGGCTCCGCGCAGTGAATCACGCTCGCCGCGTCGTCGTACGAGTCCGCGCGGGTGGCGGACGGGGCGGACGCGCGGGTGGCGTGCAGGTCGTCGTCGCGGCCGGCGTAGACGGGGGGTGGTGCGCGCGCGTACATGTCCTCATAGTCTTGCGAGTCGTGGTCGTGGCTGCGGTCGAAGGAGCGGGGGCGAGGGCCTTCGTCCGAGTGCCGGTGTCGGGGCGCACGACCGCTGGGCATGGTCGCGCGCTGGGAGCGCGGCTCGATGGGCGGGGAGAGAGCGGAGGCCTGGGGAGGGCCGGTCAGAGGCGGGGCGTGTCCTCGATCGCGCCAGTCCGGACAGCAGGCGGGGGCGGGCGGAGTGGGGGTCGGGGGAGGAGGGAAAGCAAAGGAAAGGAATGCGAGGCGGGGGCGGGGGCGGGGGCGGGGGAGCAAGGGCGATCTTGGCCGGCTCGCCCCGTCTGGGTCAGCCTCGTCCTCTCCCTCCTCCGCTTGCCCGCCAACCCCGCCACAATCAGACTCCATCGCTCGCCAACCAGCTCGCCCAGGCTCGCCCTCGCAGCTGTTCCCCGTCGTCTGCTGACCGCGCTCGTCCCCGTCCGCATGACTGCACGCACCACCGGTCTTTCGACGCCCTTCTTTTGCCTTTCTTTGTCCGTTGTAACCTACTTCGACGCGGCGCATTCGAACGTGCTGACACTCGACCAAGACTAGTGCTGCTTCAGCCGTTAGGCCTCTTGACAGAGCCGTATGTCTATTATTACTAACGACTTGTACAACACCGTCCGTCCGAGACGCGGATATTGGACAAGCTCCCAGAACCGACATGAGAGCGCGCCAAGTTGTTGTGATGGCATCTGTCGATGGCGAGAGCTTGCAGCTCCCGGTCTCCCGCGGTCCAGCCCAACGCGGCTGTCTAGTTTATCAGTCTGAGATCTGAGACGGCCTTCTTCTACTAGCCTCTAAGTACTAGGCACTGTTGCGGAAGCGGTCGCGGACGTCGAAGATGGAGGGACACAATCCATCCTCTCGTTCACCGGCTAGACATCTGAGCGGAGCCACAGCCTGCAGTGAACCCGACCAAAATCGCTCAAAGACAACACCATCGTACAATACACAGCGTTGCAAAAGAACGATCCGTCAAAGCAACGTCATCGTGTCCAACTCGTCTCCAAGCAACATCTTTACCGGCAGGTCAGGGTTTACGGCCCCAGAATCCACCCCACACTTCATATTTTCGCGTATGTTCATGTCCAAGTCGAAATGGGGCTTCATTCGAGGCCAATGGGCCGGATCACACCAGATCTTCTGCGCGAGCGGAAGGGTCTCGTTGAGCATGTCCAGAGTTCGCATCAGGCGCCTGACGGGAAATCCAGCGTTGTACTGATTGTGGAACGCGCAGTGCAAATACCCTAGGCACAGGTCTGTGAGCCTCGGATCCCGACAAGATCAGCAGCGGGAATATAGACCCACAGGCACGGTGCCCGTCGTCCTGAGGATGCATGAACGCCGCTTGCTTATAGTCCGCGGCGGCTCGGAGGAAGAGGTCGACGGCCGCCGACTCGTTACCCTCTGCCTTAAGCTTTTTGGCTTTCTGGTCGTAAACACGGCCTCGGAGGCTGTAAAAGGGCGTGTCAGATGAAGGGGTTGTCGTCGTACCTGCTGATGGCACTGACCTATAGGCTAAACCCTTCGGATACGGGTAGAATGCATACCAAAAACCCGGGGGTTCGCCACGGGCCACTGCTGCCGCTGCCCCCTCCGTCCCAATAGGAACGTCTTTGAGCTCTTCGATAATCTCGTTTGCGCCGGCAATCGCCTCTTCCAGAGGGATGGTGTGCGTTGTGACGGTGTTGACCTCCTTCGCCAGCTGCATTCAATGGTGAGAAACGTATCGTAATGCTGAGCGGGGATGATGAGATACTCGCCTTCATGTATTGGTTCAACCTCATGGCCTATACTCCGCGGATATAAGTCGGCTCGAATATGGCACCTCGCTCGTGCAAAGGGACGTCTTTGTACTTCTCCGCTCCCCACTTTAGAACCTCCAGCGCAGAGGTGAAGACGTCGAGGCCAGCGGTAATATTGCTCTCCCAGCAATCGGCCATGAACCCGCGAAAGATCCAACCTCTGTTGACTGTCAGAACGGTAGGGTACAACGTCAGTGAAGAAGAGGTCACCTCACTGTAATCGACAAAGCAGGCCGAACTGAGGACCAGCCTTCTTTCTCGAGTCTTCTCGGGACCTCTTTCATCACTCTCTGGGCGCCGAACTGCAACCACGCGTTCATGTTGCGGGCTTGCGTGGCCACTATCATCGAGGTGCATATCAGCCGTACAAGCGCGCTTCGTACCGCAGACATACCTTGCTTTTCAAACATCTCGAAGATATTGGTTGGCATTGGCATACGAACGATCCGAAATTCGGCCACCAGGGCGTCTGTGAAGCATTCGAGGATCTGTGAACACATGAATGAGATGCGACAAGGAGTCGACACCGACATGCACACCTCAGTGCACATGATCCACTGCCGCTGCCCTGACGTCCTTCAGCGAGACGAGCAGCTGCGAGCTGGTCGAGCGACCTTTGCCAGTGCTATCAGAGACGTCAGTCGACTGTATCGACTTGTCTATAAAGGCGGAAACGCACGAGATCCGCGTAATGCAGAATCCATGCCTTAGTTGGGAGACGACGGTGAGCATCGAAACAACGGGGGGTGTTCAGAGCGCTCACCGAGCTGCCCCAATTCTGATCGCGTTTCAGTCCAGGGATCATGTCGTTCGCCAGCAACCACGGAAGATTGCTGTTGCCCGAGACCTCCATGGCCTCAGGCACGGGCAGCTCGTTTGGTTTGTGGCGCGCGATTCTGGCCTCTAGTGCGGCGAGGTCGGACTGATACTGCTTGCGCTGCTTTGCCTGGACTGGTGTGGGGTTGTCGGTTGGAAGGACGGCGATCGCATGTTTCCACGAGTGAATGGCATCCGTGTTTCTGCCTAGGCTCTATGTGGCAGAACGCAGACCCGATCCCATTAGTGAGAGCATCAGCGGGTGGAGACAAGGTCGACTGACGAGTGCAGCGGCTGCCCTGCGTCCCCACGCTTTGGCATAGGTAGGGTCGAGCTCGGTTGCCTTGAGTGCCGGGATGATGATCAAGGGCTCTGTGAGGAGTGTTCGAGGCAGACACCGACCTTTGTGGCATCGTCGGTGGCATCGAGGTACCTGTGATCGCACACGGCCGTCAGAAAGTGCGTCGGATGGGAGAGTGGAACGGACCTGTTCAGCCCGTACGCACACGCGGCGCGGTTGGAGTACAGGACTGCGTTCTTTGGATCGAGCTTGATGGCGGCCGAGTACTTGGCATGGGCGGCGCCAAAGTCGCTCTTGAAGTAGAGCGCGTTGCCCTCGGTCTCGAGTGCGACAGCGTCCGCGCGGGAGTCCGCCATCGTCGTAGTCGGGAGTCAAGGGACGTGGAGGGCGGGCGGGAGGGCTGGCTATATGCGCCCGCCGCACCACTTTTGACGGCAACTAGCCTTGCGCCGACGCTCGTTGAGGACCTTCACGTGTCGAGCAGGCCTGCTTCAGGCATTCGGGGAAGAGGCGGGCGAGCAAAGATCAGTGTGTGGGGGCGGAAATGCCACGAAATTGAACAGCCATTGAACGCCTTCAAGACGGAGCACCAGGGAGGAGCACGCAGAGCATCGCCGGGGTCTGCAATAAGATTACATCCAACAGTTACAACAAGACGCCAGCAGCAGGCCTCCCTCGCGCAACTCACGCATACTGCAGAGAGACCGATGAATGACTCAACAGAATGAGACAAGCGAAGGAACTCACCCTCGTGAACGTGCCCATCGTCATGAACGTCTCCTTCCTCTGCGGCCCGTCCTTGGACGCGTACAGGCTCTTCACCGCCTCGCTCATCCCCGCCTTCCGCTTCGCCTCCTCCTTCGCCAGCTCCTGCGTCACCCCCCGGCTCGCCGCCGCGATGCTCGGGTTCGTCGCTTTCTTTGCCGGGGGCTCCGCCTCCGCCGCCTCCGCCGCCTCTGCCTTCCGCTTCTTCCCCTTCCCCTTGCCCTTCGCCGGCTCCAGCAGCCGCTTCGCCTCCATCCGCGTGCGCACCTCCAGCTCCAGCTCCGGCCCCGGGTTCAGCACCACCACGTCCGCGCTCCTGGCGTACTTGGTCCCGCAGTTCGGGCACAGGTCCAGCACCTCCGCCTTCTCCTTCTCCTTCTCCCCTCCGCGCTCGGCGACTTGGACGCGGGGATGGGCCCGGCGACGGCGCGGAGGCCCGCCTGCGAGAAGACGCAGCCGCAGGGAGCGAGGTAGACGAACGGCTGCACGCCGTTCATCTCCTTGAAGTTCAGTGGGCAGACGTACGCCGCGTGCTGGTGAGCGGACTCTGCCGTGCCCGCGCTCGACGTCTTTGCGGCGTTTGGGGTGAGTTTCAGCGTTTTCACGTCCTGCAGCGGAGTGAGGAGCTGCGACAAGTAGAAGAGGGATGGGACGCACCTTCATGGACCGGATGTGCCCACATACGATCTCGCCTTCCGCCCCGAAGTGATTTCGATCTAGAAGGAACTCCAGTATTGCATCCTTGATGTAGAGCTTGCCCAGTGGACATGATACGATCGGTTGTTGGAGCGGACGCTATAGCGAGGTTGTAAGCGGCAGCTAGACAGAATGACACAGGCATAGGATGTACCTTTGAGAGCGCGCAGAAGAACCACATTGCACGGACCTGGTTGGCCCTGTCTGCCTGCTCGGCCTGGACGAAGAGTCGGGATGCAGTTGCGACAATATCGGAGGGGAACTCACTTTGGGCTTGCTCCTGACGAGATCTCGCCTGTCCGGGATGCTTCCTCCATCATTACCCATGGTGCGACAAAGAGTGGTAAGGAGTGGTGGTGGTCCGACGGAGAGTCGGGATCGGCACCGGGCGCCAGGCGAAGAGTGGACGCGATGGGTGCTGACTAAGCGGACGCTGCTGAGCAGGCGGGCGGCCAAAGTGGTTGTCTTGTGCGGGCAGCCGGACGGGGAGGACAAGAGTCGAGACAAGGAGCCTATGTCGACCTTTCTTTCCACCTACCCTGCACTACCCCGCTATCCGTCATAGCAGCGCAATGCTGCAGGAACTGTCTCATATGGACCGCATCACACAGCTCCAAGATGAGATCCAGCAAGCAAGTCCCCCCGCGTCCTCTCCCGCCCCGCACCCCGCTCACCCGCCCCCGCCTCTGCGCGCAGCTACTGACAATCATGTCGAGCACGATCGCGTACCTCACCTCGCGCGCCAACTTCCTCCAGGTCAGCCAGGACGTGCCGGTCACCAAGTCGCGCAACGCGGAAAAGTACGACGCGTCGGATGTTTTCGAAGGTGCGGCTCTCTGCCTCCTCGGGCCCGTCCCTGCGTGTTTCACGCTCTCCCCTCCCGCGCGCAGCGAACAAGAAGGAGCTCGTGACGGACCTCATCGTCAAGGCGAAGCAGGTCGAGTTTCTCATCCAGTCCCTCCCCGAGCCAGATCCAGAGGAGCAGCAGGTGCGTCCGCCACAACCGCGCGTTGCGCGCGTCACGCTCAAGGCCGAGGGCCCTGCAGGTGGAACGGTTGCAGGCGCTAGAGGAGGAGATGAATGAGGCGAACGAGGAGTACGTGCAGGCGGTCGGCCGAGCCAGTGAGTCCTCCCTCCCCAACCACCCGCGCGGCGCTGAGCGGCCCAGAGCGCCTGCACGCGCAGATCTGCGACGTGCTCCGGACGATGCTGGACGAGCCCGAGATCGTCAAGGACGAGGCGGGCTGAAGCGCTGAGGGCGCGAGCAGGGGCGCGGGGTCAGAGGCGTGTGCATGTATCGCTGCTTGTATGTACAGACCGCGGGGGAAGCACTGGGAAGCATGGATCCTAACCGAGTGCGCACCGTGTGCAGAAGTGGGACGCGGGCGCGGCGCGGGGCGCGCCAAACGCGGTGGTTGCAGCTTCGTTCGCCTCCCAACCTCTCCCTCCCCTCCCGCCACTTCCCTCTGCGATTCAGCTAGGTCTCCACTCATCTCGCGATGGCGGGACGGCTCAAGAACGCGCCCCCGGCCCAGTACTCGGAAGCGGCCGACATCCACATGAACACGGCTAAAGGCCTGACCGCCGTCGGCCTGCCCGATGTGCGCATGGACACTGCACGAGGCATGGCCGGCATGACCATCAACGACATCCATATGGACACCGCAAAGGCCCCCGGCACCACCCTCAAGCTGGCCTCAAGATGTGGGAGAAGGAGCTCGTCGACTCGCCCGAGGTCCGCAGGAAGGCCACCGTCGCCCAGCTCTGTGAGTCGCCCGTCTCTCTCCTCGTTCGCGCCGCCGTCCCGCCCCCCCCTGCCCCGCTCGCTCTCTGCCATCAGATCTCCCTCCGATCTCCCATCGCGCCGTCCACCGTCCCCTCTCCCGCTCTCGCCCCACTGCCTGCTCAACCCTCCTCCAGACTTCCTCGACTATTACTTCAACCTCCTCGGCTACATCGCCGCCCGCAAAGAACGCCGCGCGCTCTTCGACAAGGACACCGCCAAACGGGGGCTCACCCAGACCGAGTGCGACAAAGAGTTCAAGTCTACCGCGGCCGCGAGCGCACCCTCCTCCGCAAGCGCCGCGTCAAGCTCCGCGTCGACCAATTCACGATCATCGCCCAGGTCGGCCAGGGAGGCTATGGCGAGGTCTTCCTCGCGCGTAAGACGGACACGCGCGAGGTCTGCGCGCTCAAGAAGATGAAGAAGCGGACCCTCTTCAGATGGACGAGGTGAGTGGCTCGCCCGACGCCCCGTGTCTTCCCCGATCCGACGCCCCCTGGTCCAAGGTCCGCCATGTGCTCGTCGAGCGCGACATCCTCACCGCGACCAAGACGCCATGGCTCGTGCGGCTGCTATACGCCTTCCAGGACCCCCAGCACGTCTACCTCGCGATGGAATACGTCCCGGGTGGCGACTTCCGGACCCTGCTCAACAACGCCGGAGTGCTCAAGGAGGAGATCGCGCGGTTCTACATCAGCGAGATGTTCGTGGGCGTGCACGAGCTGCACAAGCTTGGGTACATCCACCGAGATCTCAAGCCCGAGGTGTGTGATGTACGAACAATATACGGCTGCATCGGCCTCATAAAACCTTCGGTCAGAATTTCCTGCTCGACAGCACGGGTCATGTCAAGTTGACCGACTTCGGTCTGGCAACTGGTGCGCTCAACCCGCAGCGGATCGAGTCCATGAAGCTCAGGTCAACGATATGTGCTTTATTGACCCTGCGGTTACTCACACGTCTCACAGCTTGACAAAGTCAAGGAAAACGAGGTCGTTCACCGCTCGACGCTCGAGCGACGATCCATCTACCGCTCGATTCGCCAGCAGGTCCCTCGCTATGCGGACTCGATCGTCGGTTCCCCCGACTACATGGCCCCAGAGGTGCTCCGCGGCAAGCCATACTCGTTCTCCGTCGACTTCTGGTCTCTCGGCTGCATTCTGTTCGAGTTCCTCGCCGGCTTCCCGCCGTTCAGCGGCCGGACACCCGAAGAAACCTGGACGAACCTCGACAAATGGCCGACGGTGCTTCGGCGGCCCGAGTACGACGCGCCGGAGGACCAGGTGTTCAACCTGACCGACGTCGCCTGGGACGGTATCACCAGGTCCGTGCGCGACAGCCTCCCGCGAAGCCGTCCGTTGATCCGCGCCCCCGCTTTCTTCCAGGCTGATCGCACACGCGAGCGTGCGGTACGCGACGCTGGGCGACGTGCGCGAGCACCCGTTCTTCCAAGGCGTGCAGTGGGACGACCTGCGGGCGACCGACCCGCCGTACGTGCCCGAGCTGACGGGGGACGACGACGCGGGGTACTACGACGACTTCACGAACGAGGCGGACATGGAGAAGTACGCGAGGTGATCGAGAAGCAGAAACATGTGGAGCGCGTGAAGGAGAAGGAGGAGCCGCTCGCGCGCGGGGTCTGGGTCGGGTTCACGTTCCGCAAGAACGGGCCCATGGCGCTCGGCGGCGCGCGCGCGTTTGGGGGCGACGACGATGGGGCGATGGCCACCATCTTCTGAAGCCCCATTGGTTTATTGCTTTGCTTGCTGCTGTCAGAGTAGAGTGTTTGAATGGAGCACGGGGCGCTGCTGAGGCTCGCTACAGATGAGGCGGCGTTCGACTGTGGGACGACAAACGAGCCTTCCTGATGCCTAGCTTCCGTTGGAAAGTGCGAATGAGGATTTTCGAGCCCTTGCCAAGCCAGAGCGCCGGTTAACCGTTCGGGTGGTGTGCAAGACTGACTACGGCGTCGTGTTCCGCGACGACGAGAGTGGTTGCGATGCCAATCACCTGCCGGGACGACCGATTGCGTCCTCCGGAGACCTTCTCGCAGAACACAGGCGGTGCAGCTCATTGCCGTCCATTGTTTGTCCATGATCTATAAGCTCCTCGCCAGGTCTGCAGGAGCCCCAGCTCAAGCACACGCTTAGTCGAGTGCCATCTCATCTCTTCCAACGCTGCGCGTTGCTTTTTGTATCGATTCAACCTATCCCTTGTAGCATCCTTCTTATTTTACCCCCACTCGCGTCCACCGCACCTTCAACATGAGGTTCACTTCTGCTTTCTTCGTCCTCGCCGCGGGCATCGCGGCCGTCTCCTCCGCGCCTCTCCTTTCCGGTCCGAAAAACGCTCGCGCGCCGGCTCTCCAGTACGCACCCTCCTCGCGCTCTTTACACTGCCACCACTGACTTGCTTTCTTTGCAGCGATGCCGTCGTGGCGCGCGCCGACTCGGCCTCGGCCTCGGCCTCTTCGTCTCTCGCGTCCGCGGTCTCGAGCGCGTCCGTGTCGTCGGCCTCCTCCACCGCCAACGTGACGGCGCCTCCGCCCCCTCCAGCAGCGAACGCCACGGCACCCCCGCCTCCTCCCGCCGCGAACGGGACGGCACCCCCGCCTCCTCCCGACGTCAACGGTACCGCACCCCCGCCTCCTCCGGCCGCCAACGGGACCGCGCCCCCGCCACCCGCCCTCAACGGGACCGCACCCCCTGCGGACAACCTCACGGCTCCCCCGCCGCCGGGCAACCGCATTGAGCTGGGGCCTGCGCAGGGCAAGCTCGCGGATCCTGCTGCTGCCGCCAACGGCACCGCTCCCCCTCCTCCTCCAGCGGCCAACGGTACCGCGCCTCCTCCTCCTCTGGCCGCCAACGGTACCGCCCCCCCTCCCCCTCCTGCCGCCAACGGTACTGCGCCCCCTCCTCCCCCGGACGTCAACGGTACCGCACCCCTTCCTCCTCCGGCTGCCAACGGTACCGCACCTCCTCCTCCTCCGGCCGCCAACGGCACCGCGCCGCCGCCTCCGACTGACACCGCGCCCCCTCAAGAGGCCTCGTCGACCGCGATTGACACCACGACCACCGGTACCACCGCCGCCACGGACTCCACGGCCGCTACGAGCTCTGCAGCGGCCACCGGTACGGGCTCGGTCGCTGTCACCTCTGACGCCGCGTCCTCCTCCGCCGCCGCGACCGACGCTGCCAGCGCCAGGCGCCGTAGCTCCCGCCTCGGCCGCCGCCGTCTCTGAGAGACCAAGGTCCACGGGGCGGCGATTGTTGAAGAGTCGTCCAGCGGGCTCGCCCGCCGCGTGCATAACGCGGCCGTAGCTACAGCACAGCTACAATCAGGATGGGACTGCGAGGGTTGTGGAGGCTAGGATAGATCGAGGATGGAGGCTCGATGGCGCCGGGTCGCCCGAAGGGTCGTAGATTGGCTCGGGCTTAGATGTGGACTTTCTCTGCGAGACGGACCGTCAGTGCACAGCTGTGCACCCGTCTATACCACGCGGATCCAATTGTTGAAACGGTGGACGCGATATAATTGCCTCTTCATCATATGATGTTCGCCGGGGAGACCTGAGGGACAAGATTACACCAACCGTCTAGAGTTTATGGGAGCGTACCTCCGGTAATATGTGTGCAAAGAGACGGTGTATGATGTCGTAGCACACCCGGTGGCCGGTAATCGAGACCGCTCAGGAAGTGCCCACGCTAGGGCGGTCAATTGACACCAGAAGCCATCTCTCCTAACAGTTTTTCTCTAATCTGTATTAACTTCATCTGTGCGTCTCGCCTCTCCTGCAGGGCGTGCCGCGCAAGTTCGATGTTCTGTTTGCGTAGTCAGCACACCTGCTTACCCAGAAGTACTCGACGTAGCTCACCGGGGGAAGTCCTTGGAAAGTTTCGACACGTGCCCTCTTCTCCTTCAAGGCCTGTTCCTCCCTTTTCAGCTGTTTCCTGAGCGCGACCAGGTCCGAGATCGTCACGGGTGGTTCCTCTGGCATGTCGTGCTAGTATTTATGAGCTCCTAATGACGGAAAAAATGTCAATGGGCAACAAACCTTGAGGTCATCAAACTCCCTCTGGTACTCTTTGCCTTTAGCCAAGAGCGCTGCCTTCTGTCTCTCCAGGCTAGACACAGTGTCACCGGTACTCGTTGATTCCAACCGTCGTAGCCACCTGTTCGCGTTGAGCACAGCCGTGCTTCATCGAAGTCTTGCCGAATGCACATACTCTTCAAGGAGGTGATCTTCATGGAGAGTAGACGCGAGCATCTCCATGAGCTGTTCCTCAGCATACTGCATTTTGATAGAAGAACAGGCGGCTTGCGCATAATCCTCTTCGAGCGCATCGATTGCGGAGGAGTATCTGTTGTGGACGTTAGTGGACGTCTAGAAGAATAAAAAGCGGGCAGCGCGCTTGCTCACGAGGTATATGAAAGATCGTCGACACCGAGTGCATCTGCGATGTCTACGAGGGCATCCACGTACTGCCCCGCATCTGGAGTAAGTTCCAAGTCACGGAGATGTTCATATTGACGACCTATATGCTAATGGGTATCGGAAACCCGAAAAGCACAGACTTGGAGAGTATGTCTACCTTTGAGAGCGTAGTAGCGAGCCTCAGGAGGTTGAGAAGAAGAAGATCCTTCTGCATCCATTGCGCTTTTCCGCAATAGTGCGCGACGCGTGGCGGGTGGTTAGTGGTGGTGGGAGAGGAACAGCTCGGGCCAGGGACCAGGAGACGCCTTGACGCGTGGGCGTGATCTAAGCGAGAGGCGCGGCCATGACGGTCCCAGCCCTCGTCCTCCCGTCCTCATCTCCCTCTCCTCCTCCACGTCGACGCCCGCCCCCGATGGCCGACGCCAGAGCACGCGCAGAAGCCCGCCGCAAGGCCATCCTCGCCCGCGGCAGCGACCGCCTCTCTCGCATCACCACCTCCGCCCGCGGCGAGGACGGTGCCGCGTATATGCACGACCGTACGCCCGTCCCTCCCCCGTCCATCGTCCTGCCTGCTGACCGTCGTCGCCCGCAGCCGCCCCCCTCCCCGGTCGCGCAGGCCTGACCGACTTTGTAGGCGAGACCTCCAACATGCCGACCCCACCCCTCGCGCCCCGCGCCGCCAGCATGCCCGCCCCTTCCGCCACGTCTCCCTTCCAGGCCGCCGGGCTCGGCGCCGCACCCCCCGACCCCTCCGTCTGGTCCGAAGAGCAGCAGCAGCAGTTCATGAGCGCCCTCCTCGGCGCCGCCGCGTCCGGCCGCTTCCCCACCGACCTAAACTCGAGCGCAAGCGCAAGCACACACTCCTTGCCTGCGCCACGTCCGCGCGTGGCCTCCTCGGCCTCGTCCACCGCCGGCTCCACGACCGTCGTCGCGGATCCCCCGGAAGCCTCGCTCCCCGCGGACGACCCGATGTCCGCGCTCATGGCCGCGCTAGGCGGCGGGAACGGCGGCGGGGGTGCGCCGCCTGCGTTCCCTTTCCCGGGCGCAGGGATGATGCCACCCCAGATGGCCCCACCAAAACCCAAGACGCTCCTCCAGAGGCTCATGCCCCTCGTACACGTCGTGTGCGCGTGGGTGCTGCTCACGTACTTTGTACTGTGGAAGGAGCCGGAGGCGTACGAGATCAAGACGCACGGAACCTCCGCGATGGAGGGCCTCTGGAGTCGATGGGCAGATCTCAGCTGGAAAGCCCCAGACGACGGCTGGGGGGTCCAGGCAGTGGTGAGTCAGGTCCCCTCGTTTCCTGCGGCCCGCGTTGCTCATTGCCACGTAGCCATTCTTCTGGGCATTCACCACTCTCGCGCTCGTCTTGCACACATGGCGCATATTCACCAACCTTGTACGTCACGTCACCCTTATTTCATGTACGCATGGCAAACTCTCCCTGCAGGACCCTGTGCAACCACCAATGCTCCTTGCACTCGCACTCCCTGTGCTCCCACCCCCACTACCCGCGGTCATCACAAACGGGCTGAAATACCTCCAAATTGGAGGGGTATTCCTCGACGACATGTCAGCACTCCTAGTCGGCATTGGGATGCTGATCTGGGTCGCAACATGGTTTGCGACCTGAGTGTAGAGTTGGCCTCAGTCCATCGGGTGTATTGTCGTGTACCAATTCCATGGGTAGCCCCAAGTGCGGTGCGGTGGGTGTGATTGCGTACGAATAGTCGTGAATAAGGTACAGTAGGGTGGGAACACTCAGCTGCCAATGCGCCCGCAGACGGATCTCATGGCAGCACGGCCGCGGCCCCCGTCTTCTTTTGCGGCCGTGGCACCGACATAGGCGTCGGCGGCGCATTGGGGTTCTCGGCCTTCCACTGCTGCCACCAAGGCCCGGCGGCGACGTCCATGAGCTCGCTGAATATGGTATTCGACCACTTGCCCTCCATGTTCACGGTGTGCGTGGTGCCGTTCTCTATAGGATCCGGGAACGCAGGTTGAGAGCGGGCGAGGACCAGGCAAAGACCAGCACGCACCGAGCTCTACGACCATTTTTGGCTCCAGGGTGTCCTCCTTCGTCACGGGCAGCCTGTCCACCTTGATGTCCAGGGAGGGGTTCGCGTGGCGTATCCGCGGAAGGTCGTCCTTCACAAAATGTCTGCGCGCGTGCATTCCTGTCAGCTCAACATAGCAGCTGCGACAGAAGCCTGGGCGAGACGGACCGTGCACCGAAGTGGTTGTTCCGGGACGCATACGTGAGGTGGAGGCTCTTCAGGTTCGTGAGCACCGGACGCGGCTCCTGCTTGAGGTGCGCCAAGATTTGGGACAGACGAGAAGGCGGGGGGATATTTCTCCACTTGCGTGCCATGATGGAGTTCGCGGAGGGAGAGAACGAGCAGCGAGAGAGACAGAGCACGAACGAGAGACTGGAGCAGGCGAGAGAGGCGAGCGTGAGCAGCAGCCACGACGGTATGGGCGCTCGAACAGGCGTCTGGACGCGTCGGGCCTCAATCGGGCTTTCCTGAGCCTCTCGCCGTCTTGCCTTCGACCATACATCTCCTCTTTCCATCGCTCTTACCGCACCATGGACGAATCTCTTATTTCTCGGAGGCCGAAGCGCAGCACTGCTGGAAACCGCATGGAGGCTGCCCTCGCCGAATTTAAGGAAGAAGACCTGGGTATGGACGTCGAAGAGGACGAGGATTTCGCCATCGGCAAAGGTCCGCCTCCCGGTCCCATACACCGCGACACTGCTTGCTGATACAGACCCACAGACGAAGAAGACCTGTTCGAGTCTGACTTCGAGTCCACCGACGAAGAAGGCGCACAGGAAGACGTCGATGCTGTCGCCGAGAAGCTCATCCGCCAGGAGGAGTCGCAGGTCCGCAAGGTAAGCAATGCACGTCTCGTTCCATGACGCTCGAAGTGAAAAATGATGCAGTGGCATCCATAGACTTCCCGGACGCAGCTTGAGCGCGTCACCGCGCTCGCCCACGCTCGACAAGCCGCGACATTCAATCCCGCTGCCTCCGCCCCACCTCCGCCTGAGAAACCGAAAGGGGAGAAGAAACTCAACAGACGCGTCTCTCTTGGATTTGCGGTCAACGCTGAAACAGGGGAGGTCCTTGAAGCTGGTGGAGAGGCGGACGAGGCCAGTACTCCCGTCTCGGCGATTGGAAGGAGGCACAGTCTCCGCGCGCAAACGCTCGCGAATACATCAGCAACATTCAGCAGGGCGCGAGATGAAGTCAGAAAGGTGCGTGGAGTAACCATAGCCTTAGGGTTCACGTCTTCACTTGGCTTTGCAGCAATCGTCAATTCCGAAGAGGGCCAAAGTGGTAGTCAAAGCTCCTACGCAAGCTGAGCTCATTGCTCAAGCACTGGACATGGAGGAGGGCAACATCGATGAACACAAGAACTATCTTGCCAATGAGGAGGAGAAGCGGAAAAGAGCACGCGTCGTGCGCCAAAGCGTGCAGGGCCCTCTTCTGCGTTGGGTGAGCAAAAAGGATGAGGACACCATACTGGTACAGCCGCCTGCTCCTCCACCGCCACCCCCCGCGCCCGCCCCTCCGCCACCCAATCCATACATGTACTATTATGCCCCGCCGATCCCGTATCCTCCCAACGCAAATCCATCCCCATTCGGCACTGTTCAATTCACACCTGGGCCGATGTTCTCCAGCCCAGACCAACAATTACCGTTCCCTCAATGGCCTCCACCTCCTCCACCTCCGGCTTTCCAAAACGTTTCTTCAATGACTACCACGTTCCCAGTCGCTCCGCCGACCATAGCACCCACACCTGGCCCTTCATTTGCGCTCCCTCCTGTGCCGTCTTCTTCAGCACCTCCGCCATTTGAAGCCCCACCGCCCGTGCCTCCCGAACCAGCTCCAGCTCCACCGCCTATTGAGAAGAAAGTGGATGCTGGGAAGCAGTTTGTGGTGCATGAACTATCGCAGGGGGAGAAGGCTACTCGTCCATTATGGGCCAACACCATGAACGCAATGTTCGGAGAGAACGACTGGGAGAATATGCGCGTGTACACATCGAAAGGGCGTCCTCTTGGCAAGTCACGAGAGTCCTTTCCTCTTCCTAAGGGGCTACTGACCGGGTCTTACAGCACGTCCAACTCAGACATGTGCCATCACGGGAAGGCCTGCAAAGTACCTGGACCCACGGACAAACACACCGTTCGCGAGCCTAGAAGCGTATTTGACGATTGGCAAGATCATGAGGCACGAGTACACATGGAACCCCGTCCTCGAGTGTTACGTCGGGCAAGAAGGGAGTATTTTTGCGAACAACGGCATTTAGGGCAAGCTTTTACCGTTGTACGATTGGACCATCCTGTATTATCCGCAGCGCGTTGTGGACTGAATGCGATCCTGCTTGTGTCGCGCTCACGTGATCGAGATCCCTTCCCAGCTCGTTCGGTCTTCTGCCAGCTTGTTCCCTCTACTTCCCCATGTCCACCACCACGACAACAACCGGCCTACGTCTTCGCGCCCGACAACGAGCGTGTCTCGTCCCCGGACTCCTCGCTCTCGCCCTAACACTGCGCGCCCGCTCACCGCGACTTCTTCAAGGCACGAGTCGAGCCACATTATTGCGGTGATCGAAGGCCGCGGGGTTGCCCGCGAGGTCGGCATAGCATGCCTCGACAAGGACACAGGACGGGTCAATCTGGTGCAAGTGAGTCGCATATACCCACTCCGCGTCGCGGTACCGACGGCCCTCACAGCTCGCGGACTGCCCGACGTACGTGAAGACGCTGCACCAGATGCACCTGCACTATCCGTCCATCGTGCTCGTGCCGGACACGTTTGTGTCCCTGTCAGACTCGCACGCGGCCAGCGGAAAGAAGCCACAGACGACGTCGCTGCTGGTGCAGTATATCATGGACGAGTTTGAGGGGGTGTCCATCGAGCCCGTGATGCGCAAGTATTGGAGCGACAACGCAGGTGAGCCGTTTTGTAGGCCTATTACTTGGCATCGTTTAACCGTGTGCAGGGCTCGACTTCGTCAACCAGCTGATGGTGGAAGACGACGAACGGGCTGCAACTCTGGTTGCTGTCTCTAACAAGTGAGTATATGCGCTTGACATCCTGTTAAACTCAACGGTTTCGTCAGATACTACGCACTATCCGCTGCCAGTGCTCTGTTCAAGTATGCTGAGCTTCGATTGAACACGAGGTTTGCCGCGGCTTCGCTGCGTATCAAGTTCGCTCAAGTGGATGGCACGATGATGATCGACTCGGATTCTGCACGCAATCTGGAACTTGTGGGGAATATGACTGGAAGAAAGAACGCCCATAGCCTGTTCGGGTGAGTCGTCTGCTTTGTCTTTTGGGCTATCGAACACTGACTGGGGCCAGTTTGTTGAACCACACCTACACCGCAATGGGCGCAAGACTTCTTCGTGTCAACATCCTTGCCCCAATAACAGGTATGAATACAACCGATGGCTTAGCTTGTCACTAACTGGTCATCGTAGTCCGGGCTTCCTTGGATGCACGTCTGGATGTTGTAGAAGGTATTTCACCTGTCGCCAGATGACAGCCTGGTTTCTTACACTTGACAGAACTGATCCAAACGGAATATCGCTTCACCGAGATCAAGTCCGCGCTCAAAGCGCTGAACAAGATGGACTTTGACAAACTGATCTCGGCGGTATGTTCATATACAGCCACTGGCATACCCACGTACTGAAGCCGTCTTAGCTCGCCTCTTCCGAAGTCCGCGACACCAGCACTGCCAAGACGGCGTCCTCGCGAGTCGCCCAGATGCTTGTTCTGCGTAACGTCGTCCAAACAATGCCGAAGCTCGCAGCCGCGCTGGAAGGCAGCAGGTCCCAACTACTTCAAATCATCGCTGCGGTACGATTTAATTATCGTTTGCGTCACCCCGGTTGTCCTGCTAACGAACCACCAGATGATCTCGGACAGACGGTTGGCGAATATCGACGCGTTGATTTGTCGCAGCTTGAACGAAGAAGCTACTCCGGCCAAGGTGGGTGTCAACTAGCATTTATTCACTGAACCATGCGAACATCGAGTCAGGGTGGTCTGAATGCAGTTAATTCTCGAGTATATGCGGTACGCGTAAGTATTTTCACGGTCACTGGCGCACACAAGTTGTCTCACTTCCTTTACAGGCCAACTTCAATCGCCTGCTGGACGTTGCGCGCGAAACGTACAAGGAAAATGTTGGAGATATCTACGCCTTGCGCAACCGACTCGTGGATGAACACGGCCTGCCAATCACACTCGTCTATCGCGACGGTGACGGTGGCTTCGTGCTTGCTCTCAAGAAATCAGACCTAGAGAACGACGGCGGTCAAATGCCTACAGGTTTCGTCGACATGACAGCACAGAAAGGCCGATGGGTGTTTTCTAGCATTGAGCTGGTAGGTCAAAGCATTGAACCCCAGAATGATGGGGCTTATATCACACAGAAGAAGCGCAACGCTAGGATGAAGGATGCATTGGACGAGACGTTGATTTTAAGTAACAAGTTAGTGGCTTTGCGCTGCTACGCAACTTCATTCTTACAATCGTTCGTAGGATTATTCAAGATCTCACAGATGAGATTGTGGTTGACATAGGTGCATTGTACAAAGCCTCGGAAGCCGTTGCGCTGCTAGATGTTTTGTGGTCGTTCGCTCATGCATCAATCCGTACGTTACCAAACTCCTCTCTCCGATCTTCCTCTCACCACGCGAATGACAGTACGCAACTACAGTACGCATACAGGATGTTTCTGGGTGACTGCCTCTCACCAGACGTATTAGCCCGTCCGGAGTTCACTGGAACTCTTGCCATCAAGGCTGGGCGTCATCCAGTGCTTGAAACTGTCCAGTCGGCTGGAGCAACCGTGGCTAACGACGTCTACTGCTGCGAAGCTTCGTCTTTCCAGATTGTCCAAGGTCCCAAGTACGTGCGATTGATGCAGAGCACCATGTGCACTGATCTGGAATGACGAGATAGCATGTCGGGCAAAACGACTTATCTGAAACAAATTGCGCTTTTGACTGTCATGGCTTTGTGCGGCTGCTTTATCCCGGCGGAGTACGGGTCCTTCAGGCGAGTACCAGTTTGCCGTGGCAGCGTTATCTCGTCAAACTCATTCGTGGTTGTTATGACAGAATTCATGACAGTCTCCTCACACGACTCTCCAATGATGACGACTTGGAGAAGAGCCTGAGCACCTTCGCGAATGAGATGGCTTCCTCGGCAATGATATTGGGTATGCGGGACCAATACATGCCGCGCTGCATTCTAACCTCATCCTTGTAGGTCTCGCCACACAAAACACCCTTGTTTTGATCGACGAAGTGGGCCGTGGTACATCCGTCAGAGAAGGAGTTGGGATATCTCATGCCATAGCAGAAGAGCTTATCAAACTCAAGGTCCGTTTCTAACTCCACTTCCTAGGTATCCACGATTTTGACGAGCAGGGGTAGGCGTTTGTCTTCTTTGCAACGTAAGCCCATTGCGGCGCGTTTCATGACCTCCTACCACCATCTGTTCACAGCCACTTCACCGAGCTCACGACAACTCTGTCGCGTCATCCCTCCGTTGTCAAGTAAGCGGTGTTAATCCTCGACGAGAGAGGAAAGAAATTGACGAACGATCACAGCCTACATTTGTCCGTCCATGTGGGATATCTCAGTTCATCTTGTATGCCAGGTTCTGAACGACGCTCCAGAGGTCGGCATCTACAACTTCCAAGTTCGGCTTGACCTTCCACTACAAGTGAGTACATTCAGGTTATGACCTCCGTGCATTCAGTAATGTTTTACCACAGAATATTAGACGGTGCCCAAGATGACTTGGCTCACTACGGCAAGTCCAGTGTATTCTTTGCCACGACAAACGCTCACGGTGATGCATTTAGGGCTTGACCTCGCCAAGTTGGCAGACTTGCCTGCGCCAGTGATCACTGAGGCACGACGGGTAGCTGAATATCTTAGCGACAAAGAGGCACGGGAGCAACAGGAAAGTCGGTCGCACAAGCTCACCATTCGACGAAAGGCGCTGCTGAAAGTGAGTTCTTGTTGAGTCTCGGCACTGTTAGCGACTAACTTGGCTTTTTAGTTGAAAACACAACTTGGGCAAGCCCTCGATCATTCAACACTGCCAGACGAGGAGCTGGCGCACTACCTCCTACGCGTGCAGAAGGATATCACAGCCGTGTTGAAAGAAACTATGTAACGTCGTAACGAGTCATTGGAATGAAGCATATCCGTTCTTGCCCTCGACCACTCCGAAAGCGGCCCCACCCTTGCCAAAGAACTTTCTGATATCGCCTACGAGAGCCTCCGGGACTTCATACGCGGCGAAGTGGCCCCCACGCTCGTGCAGCTCCGACTCGAACTGGAGGTTGCCCAGCGTCTGTAACCATCTGCAGGAATCCGTCAGTCGAACGTCTCGCTCGAGGAATCGGCACCCGCCGTACTTCTTCGGGCTGTAATGGAGGTCCTTGTAGTGCGACATGCCGAAGGGGATCGACGTCCACTTGACGTTGGTGACGACGGGGTACGCCCAGCACCCGGTCATCTCCTTGTAGATCCTCACCGACGCCGCCGGGCCCGCGCGCGAGAACCAGTAGATGGACACCCACTCGAGCACTGCACGCCCCGGGTCAGCCAGCGCTCGAGCCTACTTAGGACCGCAAACCGTCGACGTCGACGGACCTTCGTCGTCCTCCCACCGGCACCCGTCGCTCCACCCGACCAGCTTCTCGTAGATCCACGCGAGCAGTCCCGCGGGCGAGTCCGCGAGCGCGGTGCCGACCGTCTGCGGCTTCGTGCCCTGCTCGAACGCGTACCCGCCGCCGGTGGCCTCGAACGCCCTCGTGCGCGCGAGGCCCTCGCGCTCGCGCGCGGTGTAGGGCGTGGGCAGGTTCGCGAGGTACAGCCGTGGGGACTGGGCGAGCGTCGGGGGCCGGGCGCTGCCACGAGGCCTCGGTCAGCTGGCGGGAGCGGGGCGGGCACGCGGAGGGGGGCAGGCGCACTGGGGGAAGTTGGAGAGCCACGCTTTGAGGTTCGTGTGGGCGTAGAATGTGCTGAGGTACGCCGAGACCTGTGCCGCCGGTCAGTCGACGGCACAGAGGGGCGCGGAAGCACTGCTCAGGAGACGGACGGACATAGTGACCCCAGTCTCCTCCCTGGACGACTGCACATCCGTCAGCATGTGGGGAGTGCCCGACACGGAAGCGCGACCGTACCGTACTGGTCGTATCCCAGGCTGATCATGAGCTTGTTCGCCGCCTGCGCCGAGCACACACGCGTGAGCACGTCGCGGTGTCGGTCATGGCCCACAGCCGCACCCACTCACTTCGGCGTACTGGCGGTGCGCGAACCCCTTCTTCTTCGGGTTTTCCGAGAACCCAAAGCCAGGCAGGCTCGGCGCGACCACGTGGAAGCTCGGATGGTCCGCCGACTTCGCGGTCAGCAGCGGCAGCATCTTCCGCACCTCCAAGAAGTGTCCGGGCCCTGGAGCAGATCGCCGTGCGCACATCAGGAGCGCGGACTCCCACTGGCGGCTCTCCCGAGACTCACATCCGTGCACAAAGAGCAGCGGGACAGCGTTCTTCTCTTCGCTCTTTTGGTGGAGGTAATGGATGTTGAGCGTCCCAAAGCCCTCGACCTCGATGTCGCGCGTGAACTGGGGCAGCGCGTTGATGGCCGCTTCGGACTCGCGCCAGTCAAAGCCGTCCTGCCAGCGCGCGACGAGGCGTTTCACGTCCGCGAGGGGCACGCCGTACTCCCAACCGGCTTCGTCGAGCTCGTCGGGGAAGCGGGTGTTCTTGAGCTTCTGTCTGAGGAGGTTGAGGTCTGCGTCTGGGACGTTCAGCGTGAACGGCTGTTCCTTCGACGTGTCCCCAGCCATGGCGTGTAGTGACGGGACAAAAGGGGGAGTCACAAGGAGTCGAATACCTCTTAAATGGTCCGAGTTCGCCGCGTTAGCCGAGGCCATGCTGCGCCTGTGCACCGAACGGACGGAAGAGTGCTTACAAACACGACATCACCAAGCACCACACTACGGCAGCGACGTCATCGCGAGCCGAGTCGTCGGGCAAGGGCGGTCGAGAGAAGGCGTGAGACGCGTTGACCGCGCCGAAGTAGCATCCTTGTAGTGTTATGTACATGGGAGCCGCTGCCCCGTTCAACCTACAGCGCTCATTTTAAAAAAAATTTTGGTCGTCCTCGTTGAAACCCCTCGGATGGTAGGTGTACAAGAGCCAAATCTACACTTTGGGACCGGGTTCGCGGATCGAGGGGAGCGGGGCGTCAACTACACAGATGCCCCAGGGGCGAGCACAGCTAGAGTACAGCGCTCTTCATATGTATATCATGCTCCAGCCATCTACGTGTCTTTCCATTCTAGAATGCGCTGCGCTTCTGCAAGATCTCTTGGTAATTCTTCAGGTCCTCGCAAATCAGGTCGAACCTGTGTCCGAATCAGCAAACAGTCGACAGACCATCGTCAAACACGACTGACGTGACGAAGACAAACTTGAGGTTCTCATAATGGTACTCCGGGTAGTTCTCCGCGATCGTCTTGATCAACTCGTCGAACACGATCTGCCGGACGCGTCGGAGCAGGCCCATGCCTCGTCGGACGCGGGAGCACTCACCTGGTATCCGTCCCTGTTCAGATGCAGGCCGTCAGTCATGAACTTCTTCAGCGCGGCCTCCTCCCGCCCGGCCGCGTCGTAGATCGTGGTCCAGAGGTCGACGACGGGCACGCCCTCGGCCGCGCCGAGCTCCTTCGCAGCCGTGGCGTACGCCCGCGTCGTCTCGAAGTCGCGGTCCATCACGTTCCCGCGCTCGGCCTGGCGCACGCCCCACTGGTGCGTGTTCACCGGCGGGGCGGTCATGAGCACGATCCGGGTGTCTGGCGAGTGGCGCGGGGAGTCGGGCGAGCGCACGGCGGCGACGAGGTGGGCGAGGTTGGCCTTGTAGCGCTCGAGCGGGACGTGCTGGTCCCGCACGGGGAGCGCGGCGTCGTTCGCGCCGAACCAGATCACGAGCAGGCGGACCTTGGGCAGGTGCTGCTGCTGCTCCTTGGTGGCGAAGAGCTGGGAGGCTGAGGGTGAGTGGGCGAGTGGGAGTGCAGCTGGGCGGCGGGGGACACGGACCTGATCGAAGACGGGGAGAATCCAGTCGGTGTTGTAGCCGCTGAAGCCGCGGTTCACCACGTCCATCTTACGGTTGTACACATCTGGGAGGGGCGAGCACGTTAGGCGATCGCTTATCCCGTGCGTACTAGATCTGGGGGGAACGTACGGGCGAGCTGGGCGGCGAACCCATTGAATTCGTACCCGCCCTGGGTGAGGGAATCGCCGAGGAGCATTATGCTGTCTTGCACGTACGCCGCCATTGTCTTCTCTGGCTCACTACCTAGTACTAGTTGGCGGGCAGAGTCCGAGTCGACGGACGGACGATGCGATACCGTCTCCGGCCCGCTCGCCGTCTGAACGCCACGGGAACTGCCATCAGGCGCCGAGGAGGGTCCCTCTCGAGAAGTACGCTCCCAAGAAGTGCATGGGTCCTGGGGCAGATCGCCGCAAGTCAGGAGCGCGGACTCCCAGCGACCGTACCGAGACTCATATCCGTGCCGTCGGGCATGCTGGGTAGCATCCTTGTAGCTTTACATGTGAGTTACTGTCCCCGTTCGATCCACAGCACGGCACTCAAGCATACCCACTCCGCCCCTCCACCGCTCCATACGCCGCGCCACCCTTTCCGAAGAACTTGCGGATGTCGCCCACCAACGCCTCCGGCACCTCGTGCGCCGCAAAGTGCCCGCCCTTCTCATGCTCCTCCGACTCGAACTGGAGGTTGCCGAGCGCCTGGAGGAACTTGCGCGGGGAGCGGTTGAGGTCCTTGAAGTAGCAGACCCCGAACGGGATCGACGTCCGCTTCGCGTGCGCGATCGCCCGGTACGCGTACCCGCCCGTCATCTCCTTGTAGATCCGCACCGACGCCGCCGGGCCCGCGCGCGAGAACCAGTAGATGGACACCCACTCGAGCACTGCGAGTTCTCGTCAGCCGCGAGTAGCACGTGGCGGCGGCGAGGACCGACTCGCTCACCTTCGTCGTCCTTCCAAGGGTACGCGTCGCTCCAGTCCACCAGCTTCTCGTAGATCCACGCCAGCAGCCCGACTGGAGAATCGGAGAGGGAGTACCCGAGCGTCTGGGGCCGCGTGGACTGTTCGTATGAATAGCCTCCTCCCGTAGCTCGAAACTTGGCCGACGTCTCCAAGCCCTTCTTCTCCAACTGGGTGTATGGTGTGATCTTGTGCGTGAGGTGCAGCAGAGGCGTCTCGGATAGAGTTGGCGGTATTCCCCTGGATCCCTTCAGCAGTCAGAATCTGTTTTTGCTCTAGCGTGACAAGATCCGTCTCACATTGGGTAGTTGGATAGCCAAGCCTTGAGATGTGTATGGGCGTAGAAGGTAGAGAGATACGCCGCGACCTGCAAGGGGGCCTCAGTGAGACAAAGCCGATGGTCAATGTGAAGAAATACGCACGTAATGTCCCCAGTCTCCTCCTTGCACGACTTGTACCAAGGTACTTCAGTCACACCGGGGGTCGAGTTCACCTAATCACGCACCGTACTGGTCGTACCCAAGACTGACCATCAACTTGTTCGCCACTTCCGCATACTGACGCTCCGCAAACCCCTTCTTCTTCGGAGCCTCGGAGAAGCCGAAGCCCGGTAGGCTCAAGGCGACGACGTGAAAGCTCGGGTGGTCCGCCGACTTGGCAGTCAGCAGCGGCAGTATCTTGCGCACCTCCAGGAAGTGTCCCGGCCCTGTTCCGTCGCATGGCGGTCCACGAGTGTAGTATGCACGAAAAGCGCAGGCCACTCACATCCGTGAACAAACAGGAACGGCACCGCGTTCTCCTCCTCGCTCTTCTGGTGCAGGAAGTGGATGTTGAGCGTCCCGAAACCGTTGACCTCGATGTCGCGCGTGAACTGGGGCAGGGCGTTGATGGCCGCCTCGGACTTGCGCCAGTCGAAGCCGTCTTGCCAGCGGGAAACGAGCCGTTTTATGTCGGCGAGCGGTGCTCCGTATTCCCAGTCGGCTTGATCGAGCTCGTCTGGGAAGCGAGTGAGCTTGATTTTCTGGTGGAGGAAGTCGAGATCGGCTTCGGGGACGTTGAGAGTGAAGGGCCGCTCGGTGCTCGAAGCAGGGTCAGCCATGTGGGAGGTGTGAATGAGGAGGGAGGGAGCTGCTGGGGTAGGTCGGGAGAAGAAGTCGTCTTTTGAGTGGGTCGAAAACTGAAATAGCTGGGCGAGGTGCCCTCGAATCTGGACCACGTTTGATGGGAGAAGGAAGCAGGTGCGTAATCCGCTGCATGACTTCCGCCTGCGCCCGAACTGTGACTCGGGAAGAGAACGCGGCCGCGCGAGCACGAACACACCACCCGCGGGACCGCACCCTATATCACACCCGAGCCCGCCCCGGGCTCACTGGCAAGCCGGCTTACGCCTGTCGGCAATCTTTCGGAATTTGGTCCCGGACCTAGGTTCGAGGGCGTCGAGGTGAGTGCATCAGTCACTGCATGCGTGATGGAGGATGAGAAGGGACGGACATCCGACGACGCGTCGACTGTCGCGGTCACGTGAAAACCGTGTCTATCTCTGAGCGTGTCCGTTGCCCGCCGAGAGAATCGGACGAGAATCGGAGACCCGCACTGGATCGACCGCGGCGCCCCCGTGCCGGATAGCATCGATCCCATCCTCTGCTCCTCTCCTCTTCCTCTCTCCACCCACTCATCTCCCTCGCCATGGGTGTTTTCGATATCGTTCCCGTACGTCGTCCTGCCGCAGCCCTCTCCTCCGCTCATCGCCCCTCCCCAGGCCGGCGTCCTTACCGGAGACAACGTCCGCAAGCTCTTCGAGTATGCGAAGGAGCACAAGGTCAGTCCCGTCTTCATACCTTCCTCTGCCCTCAGCTCATCTCCCTCTTCTAGTTCGCCATTCCCGTGAGTTCTCTCACCCATCCTCAGCTGCAGTCGCTCATCTTCACTCTCCGTCGACCAGGCCATCGTCAGTCCTCCTCTCCCGCTTTAAACCCGCTTGACCTCACTCTCGTCCAACCCAGAACGTCACCTCCTCATCCGTAGCCAACTCTGTTCTCGAGGCCGCCCGGTCCGTCCCCCCCTCCGTCCTATCCCCACCCGCCTGCTCATCCGCCTGACAGTGACATCAAGGCCCCCATCATCATCCAGGTCTCCCAAGGCGGCGCTGCCTTCTTCGCCGGCAAGGGTCTCCCCAACGACAAGCAGCAGGCTTCCATCGCCGGTGCCGTCGCCGCTGCCCACCATGTCCGCACTGTAGCGAAGGAGTACGGCGTGTGCGTCTCCCTTCTCAATCCCCTCTCTCGACCCCCCGCTCACTCCCCCGGCCCGCCCCAGCCCCGTCGTCCTCCACTCGGACCACTGCGCGAAGAAGCTCCTCCCCTGGTTCGACGGCATGCTCAAGGCCGACGAGGAGTACTTCAAGGCCCACCAGGAGCCCCTCTTCTCCTCCCACATGCTCGACCTCTCCGAGGAGCCCAAGGAGGAGAACATCGCCACCTGCGTCCAGTACTTCAAGCGCATGGCCCCCTCGGCCTCTGGCTCGAGATGGAGATCGGCATCACCGGCGGCGAGGAGGACGGCGTCGACAACACCGGGGTCGACAACTCCCTCCTCTACACCCAGCCCGAGGACATCTTCGACGTCTACACCGCCCTCTCCGCCGTCGGCCCCAACTTCAGCATCGCCGCCGCCTTCGGCAACGTCCACGGCGTCTACAAGCCCGGCAACGTCCGCCTCCATCCCGAGCTCCTCCAGAAGCACCAGCTCTACGCCGAGAGCAAGATCGGCGGCAGCGCCAAGAAGCCCCTCTTCCTCGTCTTCCACGGCGGCTCCGGCTCCACCAAGGACGAGATCAAGACCGCCGTCGACAACGGCGTCGTCAAGATGAACGTCGACACCGACACCCAGTGGGCGTACCTCACCGGTATCCGGGTGCGTCCTCCAGAGCCGCGCGCGTTCGGGGCGGTGCTGACCCTCGGTCGCTGTTCGACAGGACTTTGTGCAGAGCAAGTCGGGCTACCTCCAGACCCAGGTCGGGAACCCCGACGGAGCGGACAAGCCCAACAAGAAGGTGAGCGATTTGGGCGCGCCAGCGCCGCTGGGAACCAAACTCACGCGGCCGGGTATCTCAGTACTACGACCCGCGGGTGTGGGTGCGTGAGGGCGAGAAGACGCTCGTCGTGCGTGTCAAGGAGGCGTGCGCGGACCTGGGCAACACCAGTCAGTTCAGATCGGTGCATACATTCGCACATTGCACTGACGGATGCCGATCTGCAGACCAGCTGTGAGCCAGTCGAGTCGTCCCGGACCGTGTGCGGGCGGATGGGAGCGGTGGCTGGATAGAAGCCCTTGGAACGAATTCGTAGTTACTGTAGTGTACGCACATGCGAATGTAGAACAATTTCTGCTCAGAATACTGCCGGCCACACCTCGTCGGGCGCAGCAACGTTGCGATCACGTGAGGTCTTGTCGAATATTCATCTGCATTGGCTGCACGACACTCCATGGCAGGAGAACCAAAGTGTACAGAAATGAAGTCCTCGAGAGGAGCTCGTCTCGCTATATGCACTACGCACAGCCCAACCCTGTACCTCACACGACGCCCAGCACCACCGTCGCCCGCAGGCTCACCTCCCGCCCGGCGGGCATCGCGACCGGCACCGGCGTCCCCTCCGCGTCGACCTCGAGGTACTCCTCCGTCCGGAGCGAGCTCGACTTCCACCCCCAGCTCTGGCTCACCGCGAACGTGTCCGGCGCGCTCGTGAACCGCGTCACGCTCGCGCCCGTCGCGCTCGCGCACGCGATCGTGAAGTGCGCGCGCACCGCCCCCCGCGCGTCCCGGTACGCCTGCGCGGGCGCGACCGCCGCCGCCGCCGCCGTCGCGGGCAGCCCCGTCGTCGTGGACTGCGGCGCGCGACAGCGGGGCCGGGCTGGGGCCGGGGCTGGGGTCGACGCCGAGAGCGGGGTGCCGGGCGTGGCGTGCGCGCACGCGGGGGACGGGACGTCGATGAGGGCGAGAGCGGGGGGCGCGGGGCGGAGACGGAGGCGGAGGGGCCGCGGCCGCCGGCGGGGGTGCGCGGGAGCGCGGGGGCGGAGGGGGGCGGGATGGCGTCGGCGGCGGACTGGCGGTGGAGGTAGATGCCGAGCTGGACGCCCTTCTTGCGGACGACCTGGACGTAGACGTTGTAGAGGCTGCCGGCGTACCAGACCGTGTGCGAGTGCAGCCGGCTCTTCTCACGGAGCGCGTCGACGTCCCAGAACTCGACTGCGAACCGGAACGGCGGGTGGGCGGTCCATTTGGTGTCCGATGACGAGGGCGAGGGGGGCGAGGAAGGGGAGCAAGGGGAGCTCTGAGCGAGCAGAGCTGAAGCAGACTTGCGGGCGGGTGCTAGTCCGAAAAAGTTCGCCTCCGTGGCTAGTGCGGAGCCCTTCTTTGCTGCGTTCATATCGAACAGTTGGTCCATCGAAGATCCATCGAGTCCAGTGCTGTCTCCAAGGCGGAGAGATGAATCTCCGGGGATGGGAAAGTATATCGTGTCCATCGCGCCGAATGCACCTCCTGGCTCGATATCTGTGACGGCAAGACCTACACCAAGGTCCTTGTTCGCAGTTGAGGGTGATTGAGATGGCGATGTAGGTCCAGAAGCCCGCTGAACAATCCGGTGTGCGAGAGTAGACTGATTCCACAGAGCAGCTTGTAGCACCGACATTGACACGAACGGTTTCCCGGTCAAGGGGGAGGAGTCGCGAGAGATGTACATTAGGTCGTCCATGTTCTACATCCTCATTTAGCTCCGAAAGAGGTGGTAAAGAGAAAGAACGTACCATATTGGCATAGTATATGCCTTCGTTGAACATCTTCTCAAACTCCAAGTCCTCGTCTTCCTCGGGATCGGTTTCGACGCCCGATGACCTCCTCATCTCAACGATACTACGAGCCATATCATACCTCTCCTTCTCTCCCTTCACGAAGAGAGCGTCCGATGAGAGAATGCCTCTGACCCAACGTGCTGTGAGGCCCCCTCGTCTCCAGATTACAGGAACATCTGGGGTGCTGGAATGAGGTCTGTCCGTGAACTTGCGCGGAGATCTTGACCCTGCCAGCTCTGGCGGTGCCGAGCCCGGCCTTTCTCCGACGCCTTGCACGTGTCGAGAAACGACTGGGGACCATATGGGCGCGGCCTGAGCCCTAGTCTCGGTAGGGGCGATGGCCCGGGCCTCGAGTTGAAGCATGTCGACGCCCCAGCGAGTGAGCCAGCACGCCGCCGCCTCGCCGACCTTATCCGAGACGGCACCGTAGTAGTAGCATGGTCGAGGGAAGTTCGACTCGCCAGCGGATTGCGAGGAACGTAGCTTGTCCTGCGACCTGGGCTGGCTGTAGTACTGGGTCGGCTGACTGAGGTCTTCGATCTCCGAGTCAGAGTCGACGCCGGTCTGACCACTACACTTGCGCGATGGTCTCACTTCTTCAGGTTTGACGGGACGGGGGGATCTGGGGGTACCGCCAAAGTCAGGACGGAGGTCCTCGGGTACCTCGATGGAGTCGTATGAGGCGGAGGGGTCGTCATCGTGCAGGAGCTCAGCGACTTCTTCGAGCCCAACCGCCGGACCCAGATCTACGTCGACACCCTCAGTAAAGGAGTGAGGATCTCCAGCAGGTCCAATGCCGCGACCGAGGGCAAAATCAAGATATCGGATCGCTGTATGCGGTCCGACAGTGCGTACGATAGCCGAGAGTGCCTGAGAAGCGACGGAGGGTATTGACAAGTAGACTGCTGCAGAAAGCAAAGATAGCAGAAACCGGGGTGACGCTGGTTGGTGGTCCGGGGGTAATGTCGGAACGGTGGATATTCCAAGGTGGGAGGGCAGTAGAGTCGGAAGATGAGAACAGTCGTGAATAGATGTGGTGGATGCGAAAGGAGGTGTCAGCGGATGTGTAGGGGTGGGTATCATTGTCGGGGATATCCAGAGAGGAGGACCGCCTCCATATAGTCGTGCGATGCATATTCTGTTTCGTTTTATATATTAGCACATTGATGTAGGCGAGACAGTGACAATGCCACGTACTCAAAGGCTGGGGGTAGATCACGTTAGCCTGGAGGCTACCAGAAGGCCGGCGCAAGGGTACAGAGTATAGAGACATGCATGCGACACCAGCAGATGGCAGAACACAGCACCATAGAAAAGGCTAAAGGGAATGCATAAGACTACAAGAGATGAACTCACCAGCCCGCGTGATGTTGGGGTCGTCAAAAACGATGTCAATAGTACTGTCTGTGCTGCCGAGATGACCTCGCGATCTGGGGCCCGATTCACTGAAGCCAGAGGTAAAGAGGGACTGAAAGAATCCCTGGCGACAACAGATGAGGACGCACAACACGGCAAAAAAAAGGAAGACGTACCGCTTGTATGAGAATCACTCTGTGCAGTCTATATACTGCAGTCCAGGAGGACGCAGAGATGCGAAGAGCGACATCGGCAGTCTTGCGCTGAAGGAAGGAAGAGTATAGATGTGCCTGGAGGTCATACGTCGCCGGTCGTGACAAACTGGTTGACATGGATAGCATGTTGAAGGACGCGGAGGTGGAAGAGGCAGGTGCCCTAGGAGATGTCGGTCGCGCGAGGTCGAGGGAGAAGGGGTCTGTCATTCTGGCGTTTCAAGAAAATACGGGAGAGGTGTGGGAGGATGAGGCGCGGCGCAAACGGGCAGACGAGGATTTCAAGAGACCATGGGCGGGGAGGAGAAGCGTGGCCACCCTCGCCAAGCAGAACGAGGCAAAGTCGCCCGCTTCACTCGTCTGGGGCGCCGGGCCGGTGGCCGCTCAACGCAGTCGTCCGAGACAGTCGCGCATCCAGACATGACGAGTGATGATTGAATTTCATTTACGAGAGAAGGAGTGCGGAGTAAGAGGGTATGTTTTGGATACAAGCTGCCAGGGGGGAAGCCCCGGACAAACGGCAGCCAAGACAAAGTGCCGCAGACTTTTTGAAGTGCCGTTCCCAAATCGCTGCCGCATAGGTGCTATTTCTGTCTCCGGAAGTGAGGCATTGAGGACGTGGGGGAGAGAACGAGAGCACAAACGCGTCGCGAGTTCAAGCGACCCTCGGGGTGGTCATTGTCGCGATCACGTGAGACAATCCCGTGGTTTGGCGAAGCGGCCGTCGGCTGCCTTCAGGTCTTTTCCCCCGCCCACCACGTCTCTGTCGTCTCCATCGAACTACTGCACCACAAGAATGCACCGTAAGCTATTATTACGAGTCCTTCTGCGTCGTTTTCGCCTCCCGCCATGTCTTCCGCAAAAGAAAGCCTTTTCACGTCATGTGCACCGTCCGCTGCTCAATTGAGCTGCAACCATGACTCACTGCTTTCGAGATCGCGCAGTGTATCCGGGATGCTGTCGGTGAGAGCCGTCTTTTGGGATACGGGCAAGTAGTCTCAGCGGAACTCTCCGCACTAGTGCACCCGCTTCTCGCCGCTTTCTCTTCTTTCGAGCCAATCAGCTATAGGAAGGATCACAAGATGAGCGATGGGATAGAATGAGTAAGAGTCGACATAGCTGCGCACGAAAGCCTGGGTGGAGGAGCCCGGTCGGGGATTAGCTGTTGGTGGTCTCGCGGCCTTTGCCGTCGAACTTTACGCAGGGTTGCACTCACGCTACAGTAATGGCCTGTGATAGGGGGTAGGCTGGGGTAGGTCGTCGGCGGGACCGTCCCTGGAGAATCGGCCGGTCGGCCTTCCGACTCACCCACACGATGTGTTTCCCACCGGCATGCACACCCTTGCCGGCATCCATCCACTACCCGGGACGCCGTTCCATGACCTCTCGCAGCACAGACTAGACAGCACTGGACGCATACAATGGGCACCATCGTCTCCAAAGCCAGGCTCATCGTCTACGCCACCCTTCAGCTCAGCAAGACCTACGACGAGCTCAAAAAGCGCCTTGACGAGTCCCCTGGCCTTCCCCTTCCCTCCCCTACCCTCCCGCTCTGGACCGTCCCAGCGACGACCATTGGACTCGATCCTCCCGACACCCTTCCGGAATATGCGGACGTGGTAATCATCGGCTCTGGCATCACCGGCACTTCCTTCGCGTACAACGCTCTAGCCCGTACAAGTGGCCTCAGTGTCGTCATGCTCGACGCTCGCGAGGTCTGCTCCGGCGCAACCGGCAGGTACGCTTCGCTAGTCTCCTCCGCATCTCCCACCCCTCACGCTCTATATATCCCATGCAGGAACGGCGGTCATGTCAACCCACCTCTTTACCACGACCATGCCGAGCTTTCCTCCCGCCATGGCCCCGCGCATGCTCGCGCGCTCATCGACTTCCGCCTAGCCCATCTTGCCGAGCTGCTGCGCGTCGCCACCGCGGAGGGCATCGTCACGCGTGGCCAAGTGCGCGCGACGGAACATCTCGACGTCTACACGAGCGAGGAGACCTTCGCGGAGGCGAAGGACAAGCTCGCGCAATGGCGCGCGGAGATGCCGGAAGCTGCAGAGGGGTTCATGTCTTACGAGCGCGAAGAGGCGATCAAGGTGCGTCTGATAACTTCTGGACCGAGAGAGCACCCTCAGACCGCGCTCTGTGGCAGAGATTCCACTTATCCGAGCAAACCGCTGGGTGCATAACGAACCCCGGAGGTGCGATGCACCCATACCGCTTCGTGACCTCCCTTCTCTCCACCCTCCTCGAGCGCCACCCCGACAAGTAAGTCGCCCCTTCTACCCCGATTCTCGCCCACCCACCAAAATTGTACTAGCTTCCACATCTACGCCAGAACCCCCTGCACCTCAATCACGGTCTCCTCTCCCAGCGCCCATCCCTACACTGTGCACACCCCGCGCGGCTCCATACGCGCGACGCACGTCGTGCACGCGACCAACGGCTGGTCCTCACACCTTCTCCCCGCCCTCCGCGCCAAGATCGTCCCCGTCGTCGGCAACATGTCCGCCCAGCGCCCCGGCCGCGCCCTGCACCCGAGCACGCTCCACGGCGCGCGCTCCTTCGTCTTCTACAAATCCGGCGCCGGGTACGACTACCTCACCCAGCTGCCGTCCTCCCCATCCCCATCCGCAGCGGACGAGAACGAGAACGAGCTCATGTTCGGCGGCGGGTGGGCGAGCGGCGGCGGGGCATGCCCAACATCGGGCGGACGACCGTGCGGTGAGCCACACCGCGCAGAGCTACCTCGCCGGCGCGCTCCCGCAGTTCTTCGGCCTCCGCAACTGGGGCGCCGACGCCTCTCCGCCCTCGCCCCGCCCTCGCCACATCCACCGAGACTGGGGCCCAGGGCGGTCCAAGGCGCAGTGGAGCGGCGTGCTCGGCATCTCCGCGACATGCTCCCTGGGTCGGCCGCCTCCGGACAAGGTGAGCGGCCGGGCCGTCGTCGCGCCCTGGTCCTCCGGGCCGCCGCGCGCGGCGAGAAGGCGGCCGGCCACCGCCGCGCAGGCGAGTGGATCGCGGCGGGGTACTCGGGCGAGGGCATGGTGCACGCGTGGATGAGCGGGAAGGCGCTGGCGCGATGGTGCTCGAGCGGGAGGAGACTGGCGGGGTGGTTCCCGGAGATACTGCGTGTGACGGAGAAGCGGTGGAGAGAGGCGAACGTCGAGGAGTTGTTTGCGCGATTTATGTAACGCATCTACCCTGGAGGCCATCCCACTCTCTGCAGGCACGAGCAGTCGCGGCCATGTGATAATGTACAGGACACTGTTTTTAACAACGACCGTATGCCTGTGCTTGTTCAACGTTTCAACCAGGGGCGCACGTAGTCTCCCCTAGGCATCCCATATTCTATGAGGGTGCACGATACTTGCCTCGTCCGGAAGCGCGGACAAAATCTGCAGCCGGGCCGCACATGCCCGGCGTTCGTCGCGCTCTGCTCGGCAAGATCTCCTTCTCTCGTCCACCAACGCTCCCACCACCCGTTTCCCGATGGCCAAACGAAAACAGGACGAGCCTGATTCTGGCGACGACTCCGACGACGACCGCGTGAGTGCCGCCTGGTCCCCAATGCTCTCTCGCACTCACCCGCCCCCGCCAGTAGAGTCTCATCGACGTCGACTTCGAGTTCTTCGACCCCCACCCAGATATCGACTACCTCGCCCTCAAACGCCTTCTCACCCAGCTTCTCGCCGCGGATGCCCAAGAGGTGCCCGTGCACGACCTCGCCGATCTCATCCTCGCCCAACCCCTCGTCGGTACGACCGTCAAGTGCGATGGGCGAGAGAGCGACCCGTACGCGGTCTTGACGGCCCTCAATATCCTCGAGCACAAGGCACGTTTGCCCTTGCTCCCCATCCCAGAGCTTTCCTTGCTTATAATGTGTCTCCATCCAGGAGCGCCCCTCTATTAAAGCCCTCGTCGCCTACCTCCTCGCAAAATCCGTCGCGGACGCAACGCTGCACTCGAAGCTGCAGACCCTGCTCGGGCCCAACTCGACCGACGCCATCGGCCTCGTCGTCTCCGAGCGGCTCATCAACATGCCCGTCCAGGTCGTCCCGCACATGTACCGCATGCTCGCGGACGAGATCCAGTGGGCTCTCGACGACGTACGTCTCCTTCATTCGCCCGCTTCTCACACGCCTTTGCATCCCCTCCATCATCCCCACCCTCATCCCGATCGCAATTCCATCGCGCTCACGACCGCCCTTCGCACGCGCCCAGAACGAGCCCTACGACTTCAAGTACCTCCTCCTCGTCTCCCGCATCTACCGCCTCACCGCCGACGAGGCCGCCGAATTGCACGCCCCCTCATCGCGCACGAAACGCGCCAAGCACGCCGCGGACCCCCCGGAGCACCCGGGCCCAGGCGTCTTCCCGTTCCACCCCGAGGACGACGTGATTCGCAAGGTGCGTCGTCGTTCGCCTCCCCCTTCGCGCCGCGGTGGGAAGGGGCTGACCCACCCTCGCACGCGCAGTTCGCGTCGCACACGCTGGACTACACCTTCACGCACGCGCAGCCGCGCGACGCGGAGGCCTTCGGGCTGGACACGGGCGGGCGCATGATGCTTGTCCCAGCGAACAGGCTCCGTGAGATTGCGGCCGCGCTCGCTGAGGCGTACCCCCAGCCCTCATAGCGCATGTGCATACCTCGCCACGCTTGTATTCCTCGATCTGTTGTACGCTCGATGTCTCTGTCCCACCCTTTCAGTTCACGCCTGCCACCGAGTTGCAGCTCGAAGACGAGATGAGAGGAAGCAAATAGCAGGTGGATTATACACACACAGGGTAAACGTATCGACAAGCCAGCCGTCACAGCAACAGAGATACATATCTCGCGCACCATGCACGAAAAAAAAACCGTCCCGCCTGAGTCCAGGATACTAATGTTTGCCGCCCCCTAACCTCCTCACCGCGTCGGGATGCCCATCTTGAGCAGCGCGCCGACGACGTCGACGTCGTCCCAACGCGCCATGGTCTCGTTCGCGGGCTCGCTCTCCGCTGCGGCTGCGGCTGCGGCCTTCTTCGTCTGAATGTACATAAGCGAGTTGCGGAAGTGGCGGGAGATCATCTCGGGTGTCTGCACGCCTTCGAGTAGACCCGGCGGCGCGCGTTGCGCGGGGTGCACGTCGGGGGACACAATGTTGTCGATCGAGGAAGTGATGAGCTCAACAAGGCTGTTCACGAACTTGGGGGTCACCTAGTATGCAGATAACGTCAACATGGAATTCATGCACGCAGACGGATCAAGGTACTCACAGCCGGTGCGCCGCGGTCGAGGTAGTAGATGTACTGGTCCAGGGTATCACAATAGAGCTGGACGGTGATTATCTCTTCTGTCGCGGAGTTGGCGATACGAAGTGCCTTCTGGAGGCACTCCAGTACACGTTTGCTGTCCTGCAGGGGATACTGGATAACCCTATAAACAGGTATCCCATGCGCTTCAGATCGAAACCGACTCACCGACTTCTTTTCTCCGTCCTCAGTCGTGCCGTTTTCCTTATCCTTCTTCTCCTTCTCGGCCGTCTCCTCCTCGGCCGGGACCTCCTGCCACCACAAATGGCTCGCGAGGTTGACCGCGCTCGCCTGGTGTGGCTTCTTGAGCAGCTTCGAGCCGTGCAGGGCCGCCTTAGTGATAAGCGTGTCATAGTTGTCTTCGCTGAACACCCGCGCGCCTTGGAGTGTGCCGATGATGAGCGTGATCGCCTGCAGTTGGGCGCGACTCTCGGAGATGCTGTCCTCGTACACGGTGAACGCGTCGACGTACATGTCGTACGTCAGGTTCTCGAACCCGCACTCGTCCGAAATCTGCGCCGCGAGGAGGAACAGCCGGAGTGCGATCGCTGGCGCGTCGACGGTCGCGGAGAGGATCGAATTGAGCTGACGGACAAACTTGAGGACAATCTGCACCTTCGACTGCCAGTCGTCCTCGAGGTGCTCTCGATTCTTGTATCTCCGGCAGAGCTTGATCGCAGAGGTGATGAGGGCGGGGTAGGTATAACGCATGCGCTCTCCGCCGGTCTCGAAATGCCGCCGAGCAGATTGAAGAATCTACTACATGTAAGTTTTGGACACAAATACTCCTGGGGTAAAGACGCACCTCGAGCTGAACACCAAGGTCGTCTGAGCGGAACAAGTGGATCATGCGAGCAACCCATCCCTGTTCTTCCGCCATCTCTTCCCGCTGCTGGTCGTACGGGCCTCTCCTTGGGTCCTTGTTCATCATGGATTGAGCACCTGGCCCGGTGCCCGCGTCTTGCTGATCGCGAATGAGGACATGACAGAGTTCGAGAATGCCGTTGACATCCTCCGGTGTCTCGATGACCGTCTCGTTTTTGAGCACAGATGAGATGAGGGAATGAGCGAGCGTTCGACGTGTTGAGTATGGTTGTTGTTGAAGGAGAGTGGTGTAGCGCTGCAGCGCAAGTAAAGTGAGAACCGACTGGTAGGAGTTGATGGGTGCATTGAGGAGAGCCGAGAGGTTCGCCGTTGTTTGAGGATGGTGAAGGTCGGGGCTTTGAAAGATCTCAGCAAAGCTTTGCGATAGGCGAAAAGGGCACACACCTATCCGTGAACTCTTTGATCTTTTCCGCGGCAAAGCCGAGAATCTGATCGACGTATTCGAGCCGGTCTGGGTAGCAGCTCAATGAAAGATTCGTCAGAGAGACGAGCAGAGCAGTAATGTCTTGTATTGACAGATCTGGCCTGGCCTGATCGACAGCGGTGCTCAGCATTGTGCTGACAGCCACGAGAACGATAAACTCACCTTGATAAGCTCAACAACTTGGTGCCAAAAGACTTCGAATAGCTGCACATTCTCCGGAACGCCTCTGAACTTCTTCACTGCCTCCGAGGCCTCACCCTCCTTGCTCGCCTCCTTCTCTTTACCCTTCCCGTCCTTCTCAACATCCTCTGCCGCGCCGTTGGGTGTTAGTGGAGTAGGTTCGGCCTTCTCAGGCGTCTGAGCAACGACTGGACTTGTCGGTGGCGAGCCCCACTCATTCGACATCGTTGGAGCCTCGGTGGTCGGAGACGAGACCCCAGTCCCGTTTGCTTGCCGATAGTCGCGAGCCGCTTTCACCTTGTCGGCCAGACGGCGCGCCGCCGCCTCTTCTTGTCGCTTCGTCTCCTCCGGGTCCTCGCTCTCTGCTTCGCGCGCCGCATACGCCGCCAACCGATCAATGAGCGCGATCACAATCGACTTTATGTTGACTTTCGGATGCAGCTGAGCCGTCGCGGAGAGGAAGGGGCCGAGAGTGTAGAGGTGGAACTCGTCGGGGAAGACCTTGCCAGCGTGTGCACTTAGTACGAGTGCAATGTATAGCGGTGGGTATACATACCTGGATAACGACCTCCATCAGGTACTCCTGCGCAATCACATCCTTGCAGACAACAATTTGCTGGAGGATGCTGGGGAGAATGTGGGTCTGGTACATGTCGAGGTCCACGCCGTCGAGCTGGCTAAGACGAACGAGATTCGTGCCGACGAGGATTCGCAGTTCCCGCCGCTCCATCTCACGCTTCTCGCGGTCTCTTGAGTGGCCCTGGTGCTGCAGGCGCACCCAGAGTTTGTTCATCTCGATGAAGTTGGTGAGCACGAACGTGATCGAGTCTTGCAAGTTGCCCTTGGGACTAGTCAAAGTGAGTTACTCAGCCGGAGAAAAGGCAGATCGAGAACGGACCCTGGGTCGTCGCCAATTGGCAGATGGTCCCTCGTCTGTCCGCTGAGGTAATGCCGCAAGAAGAGTCCCCTGATAGGATGCAACACACCGCGCGACATCTCCAGCATGTCCTTCATCACCTCCTTCACAGGTGCGTCTGGGATAGACATGTACACTGAGCCGACGGTGATCATGAGGTAGAGGCGGGGGACGATGTTGCCAGCATATTGTACAAGTTCGTAGAGGTCGGCGAGGTGGTTTCGGTCCTGGACGTGCGCGTCGTATAGATAATTGGATAAATGACGGAGGGCGTCGAAGACAGCCATGTCTGGCAGCGGAGGTGTAAGAGCGCGCGCGCGACGCGAATGGGAGCGATGTACGCACAGAGCTCGTAGTATTGCTTGGGTGATAGCGAGGAGGTACGGAGCTCGGCCAACATGAGACTCGCGCTCTTGAGAGCGTCCATGAGCTGGTCAAGCTCCTACAGCCCGTCACCCCTTTTGAGCTTTCTCTTGAGCAGCGACGCAGGAGGGGACGTACGAGGTGTCTCTTCATCTGCTGCACCTGAATCTTGACGGTGCTCAGAGACTCGCTGAGCATCTTGCCCTCCTCGGCCGGGGGTCCTGCGGGAGCGACAGACATGGCGGAATGGCGCGCTCCAACGACGCGTCAGGCGGTGGGGGACGGGAGAGTGGGAAGGCAGCCGCGGGGCGGGCGAGAGGGTGAGAGGAGGGCAGGGGTGACGCAGAGCCCGCAGTGGGCTTGCGCGCCCTTGCCGTAAACGGTAACTCCCCGGCTGTGGCGCGCACCTCCCCCGCAGCTCGCACTGTCGACCGTGCGCAGCGCAGACTCACATCGCACACCCGTCGTTCTATGTGCGCACACAGCGCCAACCGATACAATACTGTGATGGCATTATTCTACATGAGTGCATTCCAGAGCTAGATCACGAAGGCTACGACTAAGGTCAAGAATCCCGGAGGCGTATATTATTTAGTCCCAGGAAGGCGAGGTGCTGTACGGACGGTTGCGTGTCGACGACGTCCCATTCGTGTTCTGCGCCGGGCTCGACGGAGACCATTGTGGGGACGTCGGACTATACGCAGGGGATGCGGGTGAATACGCGGGGGCTGCAGGATGGGTCAGCATAACTCTACTAGGGGCAAAACAGATAGACTTACAGGTTGGGGAGTATGCGGGGGAAGTGGGGGCTGGAACGAGTATTGGTCAGTGTCCAGCAGTGAGCCACGCTGCACAACTTACAGTATCGAGGAGATGCGGGCGACGCTGGTGACGTGGGCGAGTACTTCGGCGACGTGGGAGACATCTGAGCAGGAGCTATGAGGGATACATGTTAGAAAGATCACGGCTCATGGTAAAGATGAAAATTACTCACAGGCTGCAAATGGACGATTGCGGACGCGCGCAAAAGTCGTTAGTAGATGTCATCGTGCAGCAAACATATTGGTACATACTAGGCGAGTACCGCGGAGAGGCGGGACTGAACGACGGGCTCGTGGGTGAGTACCGCGGCGACGTCGGGCTGAACGACGGGGACTGTGGGCTATAGCGCGGAGAGGTGGGAGAGAAGTTAGGTGATGTGGGCGAGTACCGTGGACTCGTCGGCGAGTAGGTGGGTGACGTGAGGTTGAGGGCGGGGGAAGTAGGCGAGTATGTGGGGGATGTTGCGCCGCGACTGTGGTCGTAGTACGGCGACGTCGCGTAGGGAGACGTGCCCATGGGCGATGTCGCACCACCAAACGGCGACTGCGCGAGGTATGGGGACGTCGGCGAGTACGCGTTGGGAGAGCTCGGGCTGTAGCCGGGCGCCGCTGGGGACATCACACCTGCGCCCATGGGGCTCATGCCATAGCTCAAGAGGTTGTAAGCTGCCGGCGCATCGTCGCTTCCGCTGACTGCGAGTGGTGAGAACGCGGCAGCTTCGCCCTTGAACGAGACGTCTTGACTCCACATAGGCGAGTTGCTGTCGTACGGAGTCATCGCAACCTGTCCTGGAGTCATGCCTCCGTCAACTTGGGCGCGCAGCATCTCCTGTACCGGCAAGCGGTGATCCACAATAACGTCCTTCAGCATGTCGATGTCGAGGGTGACGTCGAACGCGCCCGTTCCCATTGGCGCCATCTGGCCAAACAGAATGTTCTCCGCGATTCCGTGGCAGTCGTCCTTCTCGCCTACCGCAGCGGCCTCCATAAGAATCTCGACTGTCTCCTCGAACGAACAACGCATGAGTGCCCCGGTGTCCGCGCGATTGATGCCGTGTCGGGTGATGGCCATGAGCGATCCACGATGCGTCATCAAGTCACAGAGAAGGGCCAGGTGGCGGAAGTTCACGTAGGAACCGTCGAACTCGATGACACCACGAAGTTCCTTCATGATGGCGGCGCGAGCAGCTTCAATACCCAGCACGTCGAAGATCTCGACACAGCTGTTCGAGTACGTCCGCCTGAAGTCGACACCGTCGATGCACATGACCGTCTTGAGATTGACGCCATCCGTCTCCAACACCCACTCCTTCTCGGAACGCGCCTCGATGCTGCCCGAAGGCGAGATGACGATTTTGTCGTGCTCCAGCAGGAAGACACGGTGGATGCCGGGGACACCGCGGAGCTCGACGGAGTTCAGCATCGTATTCTCGAGTTGCCGCAAGAAGATGTCCTCCTCGACTTGACCCATGTCCTCTTCGTCTTTGTCCGCGCCGCCCAGCACACGACACCGAATGACGAGCTTTTCAGAGTTGTCTTCACTCCAGATGACGAAGAGGTCGGTCTTGAAGCTCTGCGCGATACGGTTGGCGACGTAGGTCATAGAGAGCTTGCGGTCGATCATCTTCGCGCGGTCGAGCTCCAGACGAAGAAGCCACGGAGACATGAGGTGGAGCTTCTGCTCGATTTCGTCGTCAGGAATGGCAAAGAACGCGTGCACGAAGTCCTCGTCCTCTTCGATGATGGTGGAGCTCGGGTCCGGATCGTACCAAATCTCGACGGCGGCGGTGACGGTGCGGAGGGAGGTGAAGGCGAGCTCTTGCTCGACCGTCTTGGCAAGCATGGTGTCCCTCGCGATCTCGGGCTCGAGGTATACCGAAAGCGATGGCGTCTTGATGTTAGTCGCGACGTTGATGATCTCCTTGAGTCGAGGTACACCGAGAGTGACGTTCTTACTTGACACACCAGCGTAGTGGAAGGTGTTCAGGGTCATCTGCGTAGCAGGTTCTCCGATGGACTGCGCTGCGAGGGTACCACACATCTCGCCTGGATGAGCGACCGACAGATTGAACTTTGCCTCGACTTCTCCCATGACCCACTCGAAAGCCTCGCGGTTCAAGTGATAGCGCTCGAGGACGCGACGAGCCGCGAAGGTCGCGCGGAGGTGCATCCTGAAGAGAAGGGTGGCATTTGCCTGGGATTCTCTCGCTAGGAACGAGTTTCCACGGACGACGACGAGCCGATCACAGAGCTGCCGAACGGAGTCGATGATGTACGCCGGCTCGAGATCGCTCGGTTTGCGCCTGTCGATGTGGAAGATCTGGAGCGCGTTTTGGACGATGCGCTGCAGGTTGACGGGGAGATAGCGAGGAGCACTGGGGTCGGTTCGAGGGAAGATGAATGCGCGGAGAAGCTGCCTGTCTTCGGAAAGCTGCGCGAACTCCTCATCCAGCTTGGCCTGGAGCTCGAGGGAGCTGTCGTCAAGACCAACTTGGAGGACGCCGGGTAAAAAGCCACCTGTTGGGTCGGTGACGTCTACGCGGTAGTCATGCTCGAACTGGCCGTTATTCAGAGCGAAAGTTTCGATGTTTTGTCGCTCGATGAACGCGCCGTCCATGCCGTCCTCTCCGTACACGAACTGGATGAGATCGCCCAAAGAGTTGCGAACGGTGCCGTCGTAGCAGACTTGGACATCCTCGAGGGCCTTGACGAGACGACGCTGAATATAGCCGGTCTCGGCGGTCTTGACGGCAGTATCGATGAGACCCTCCCGACCAGCCATTGCGTGGAAAAAGAACTCCTGGGGAGTGAGACCTCGTAGATATGAGTTCTCGACGAACCCGCGAGCTTCTGGGCTGAAGTCGTCCTTGGTGAAGTGGGGGAGAGTGCGATGGCGGAAACCGAAGGGGATGCGCTTCCCTTCCACGGACTGTTGGCCCACACAGACAGACATCTGCGAGATGTTGATGAAAGAACCCTTGGAACCGGCGACCACCATCTGCTTGACGTTGTTGTCCTCCTTCAAGTGTTTCTGCGCGTACTGACCGCTGTGGTCACGGGCCAGGTTCAGCTCACGCTCAACCTTCTTCTCGAACGACTCGCGGATGGTCATTCCAGGGGAGGGTTTGAGACGGTCATGGTAGGCATCGCCGAGAATGTCCTGGACATTCTTCTTCCGCATCGAGATCTGGTCCTGAATATACGCCATCGTCTTTCGATCCGCAATCGTGTCGCCGATGCCGATGCTGAAACCATTGTGGAAGAGCCAATAGTTGACGACTTGTTGCAACCCGGTGAAAAGACCGCGAGTGGCTTCGGGGCCCTTCTCTCGAAAGACGACGTGGACGAGACCACCCTGCGAGGCGCCGACCGTCTTCTTCTCGACGATGCCGAAGATGATGTCTCCGTTCTCAATCATAATACCGTCGTCGAACACTGGGTTATTCGATTTCGGTTCGGCCGAGCGGAAGATGTTGATTCCACGAGGGATGCACATGCTGAGCAGCTGCTTGCCAGTCCAAAGCGGCTTGGGCTTGATTATCGCGGGAGTGGGAACGGTGCCATCCCAGTCAGGGACCCAAAGGAGGATGTTTTGAACCAGGTTCCATTCCAAGAAGCAGTCGCGCAAAGTGAACTTGCGGATTCCACACAGAGTGTCTTGCACGATGCCCATAACCGGTTTATTAGCCTGCGGCGAGATGATCTATAGCAACATGAGCGAAAGTTTCGCATACGCCACGTTGAAGAACTTACCTGACGGGGAACCCATGCAATCTGCGAGAGCTCTGCACGGGTCTCTTCACTCTGTGGTACGCTAACGCATGCCATTAATACAAGGACAAAAAGAAGACGCAGTGAACTTACTGCATGTTCATTTCATCACCATCGAAATCGGCGTTGTACGGCGGAGTAACAGAAAGGTTGAGACGGAAAGCTGCGCAGCGTCATCAGTATCATATCCACGTTAATATCGACGAAACCCCGTACTGGAATATGGCATCAAGCGAACTCGATGGCTCATCATACTCATCTTGTGCAGACTAGGCTGACGGTTGAAGAGAACGAAACTAATAGTGGAGTCAGCACCCACCAAAAGTAGCGACGTAACTATACGCACTCGCCATCCTTCAGGTGCCGCTCAACGATCCACCCGTATTGAAGGAACGCATCCGCCCGCTTGTTGTACCGCAGATCGATACGCTCACCGGTATCCCGAACCACATATCTTGCACCAGGGTACACTGTTGGACCATTCCGCACAAGCTCTTGAAGATATGCGATGTTGTAAGGCGTGACTACAACGTTACAGGTCAAAACGCAGCTCTCCGCGGTTGCAGCGGACGACTCACCTCGCTCAGGGAAGGTCAGATTCATAGCGATCGTGCGCGGGACGCCGACTTCATCCAGCTCCAGATTGGGATCGCCCGTGATAACAGTACGAGCTGAGAAATCAACTCGCTTGCCCATGAGGTTGCCACGGAGACGACCGTCTTTGCCCTTGAGACGAGCACGGATCGCCTTGACTGCACGACCGGACTTCTGGGTAGCTTGCGGGATGCCAGCGATGTCGTTGTCCATGTACGTCGCGACATGGAACTAGTTCGTGTTAGATAAATATGCAGAAGTTCAACGGAACATTGTATTCACCTGAAGAAGCTGGTCGAACTCGTTAATAACGTGCGCGGGGGCGCCTTCTTGTTGACAGCGAAGGACGTTCGCAGAAGCCTTGATGATGTCGCCGAGCTTGTACGTCAGATCGTCCTCACTGCGCATAGTACCGCCATCGACAGCGATACTGGGACGGACGGGAGGTGGTGGGACAGGCAAGACGGTGAGTATCATCCATTCCGGTCGGGCGTACTCGACTGAAAGACCGAGGAACTTGAGATCCGAGTCTGTGATCTTCTTCAATGCGGTGTAGACCTCGTGCGGAGGGAACAGCCGCTTGTCAGGCTGAAGCGACTTCATGTCCTACTTGGGATGAGTAAGGCGGACGATGGGGCAGCGCGGACACTAACCTCGTCTTCATCCTTCCCGCGTTTGTACTGCACGAAGAGCTTGAGACCCTCCTTGCGAATCACTGGCTGGTTGGCTCCACAACCCCCATGGCCCTTCTTAGGCTCCTCCTGTTCACCCTCATTCTCGTCCTTGGGCTCATCAGGGTCGCACGACATCTTGCTCTTGCAGATACCCCACACCGCTTGCATGCGGGCTTTGGGGTCGCGGATGTGGCTGATACGGTCTTTGAAAGTCGGGTCGGACTTACGATGCAAAAAGCCAAGGCGCAATTGCGAGAAGACATGAAGATCAGAATGTCAGCATAAAGCTCACCAGTGGAAAACGGTACAGCAGTTGTGCCTCAGAAGTCCCGACAGAACGGGAAAGGCAATACAACAGGGGGCTACTTCGACCGAGTAACAAGTGCAGGGCCCAAGACATGTCACTCCGACTGCGTCACAGCGAGGACAGTCGACCATCCATCCAAGTAGCTCTGGATGAGAGGCTACGAGTCTCTTTTTTTCCGCACTCCTCGCTCAGCCCCCCATTTCACCACACAACCACGTGTCCAACCATGACCGGACGTATGCAGCGGTCCTCGCGGCGATCAAGCGACCGAAAACGCGCGAGAACCCCGTCACGGGTGGAAGAACGGTTCGATTGTCGAACACAGACGCGGTGCGGGTTTGGGGTTCTCCATGGGATCGGAGAGAGCCCCCAGAAAATTGGGTGGTGGGGTGCGAAACGAGAGGAGGAAACGAGATCACTCACACTGTCGACCTTCAACCGTCCACAGTTTACGCAAATGCACTCCAGAATCTTCTTCACTTTCACAATGAAGCCTGGCGCATGTTGTTGGCGGGAGTTACGAGCAGGAGAAGCTTGCCACTCACCTGGATGAAAAACAGGCCTCGCGAGCTCGATATGCCCAAAATGCCCCGGACACTCCGACATCCCCTCTCCACACGTCTGGCACTTGAAATTGCGGTCGATAGTACCCATATGAGGGTCCATGAGACCTCCCAGCTTAGGCTTGTGAGTGGTTTCGTCCATGACCTCTGGGTGTTCAATTTTGGCAACAGAATACGCTTTCTGTCGTGGAGGGCCGTTGTCGGTCAAAAACGCGTTCAATGAGACGAAAGAAAGCAAAGAACACGTACTATCTCCTCGGGGGAGAGGATACCAAACTGGACCTCCCGCACTTTGCGGACGGGGGCCGCAGAGTACGCGAACTGGTGGCCGAGCATGGTGCGCGACAGGAGAGGGGGAAAGCCGAGGTATCGAGCGAATAAGTCCGCTAAGCAAGCAGATAGAGTCCCCAGGTGTCGATAGCAGCGCGAAAGAAGGGCAGAGGGGCGGGAAGTGGGGGATGACCGACGTCGTCGACGTGGTCGAGGGCAAGGAGTGGCAGACTCACCGCTGTGACTGGTGCCCGGTTCCGTGCGTGGGTGACAAAGCGTGTCACCGAGGACGGTCACATTGCGGTCACATCGCAGTGACGATGACCCGCGCAGCGTCCGCGGCTGAGGCGGCCTTGCACCCGACTACGACCTCCCCTCATGACATCCTATCTCTCTTCGCTCCTCTGGGGCACCTCCCAGCTCGACGATGCTGTCGGTGCGTGCGTCTGTTGCCCTCGGTCTGTCCACTGGCTCACCTCCCCTCCAGACAAGGCGACCTCCGAGCTCCTGCCAAGCGGCTCGGAGGACATCGCGCTCAACCTTGAGATTTGCGACCAAATTCGTTCCAAATCTGTACCTCCCAAGGATGCCATGCGGGCCCTCAAGAGGAGAGTCGGCCACAAGAACCCTAATGTTCAGCTTCTCGCTCTTGGCGTGCGTCCTCATCCCGCAGCAGCACAGGCGTGTACTCACATAATCCTTATTTAGTTGACCGATGTCTGCATCAAGAACGGCGGCGATGGATTCTTGGTCGAGGTCGCCTCTCGTGAATTCATGGACAATCTTGTTTCCATCCTGAAGTTGCCAGTCCTCAACCATGACGTCAAGAACAAAATCCTTCGATACGTACAGGACTGGGCCACTACATTTGAGGGGAAGCCGAGCTTGAGCTACGTTGGTGAGGTATACAGGACATTACAGCGTGAAGGTGCGTCCCTATTGTTCCTTAGGTGCCCCCTTTTACCGTGACATCGCGGTGTTCAGGCTTTAACTTTCCCCCTCGCGATCCTGCTGTGACCGCGTCAGCAATGGTGGACACCCAGACTGCGCCGGAATGGATTGACTCGGACGTGTGTCTCCGGTGCCGAACCCCGTTTTCATTCACCAACCGGAAACACCACTGCCGCAACTGCGGCCAAGTTTTCGATCAGCAGTGTTCTTCCAAGTCGATGCCACTACCACACTTCGGTATCACCCAAGAAGTACGCGTTTGTGACAGCTGTTACACGAAGCTCAATAAGAAGGCCCACAAGTACGTCTTCCCAATGGAGACATGAGCCCCGGCCACTGATATACTGGTTTCCAGGACGCACAGAGGATCCCAGAGTGTGTCCTCGTCAAGGCATCGGGCGGCACGCGACTTCTACGACGCAGAGTTGCAGCGGGCCATTCAACTGTCTTTGGAGGAAACAGGCTCCGCGGGAGGACATCGCCCAGGATACGTTCCCTCCCCTTCCCCATGGCAGTCATCGGAGCCTCCCCTCGTTGAACGTGCAACGCGTCCAAAAGGCAACACGTACGAGGAAGACGACCCAGAACTCAAGGCTGCTATAGAGGCTAGTCTACGCGAGGCCAATGCTCCCAAACCGAGCGCGCCGATCATCATCGACTCCACCGACAGAGCCCCGCTACCTTACCCAGGCTACACTCAGTCCCAGTCCTACCCTCCTTCTAGCGAACGGTCTACCCCCAAACCGAGGTTGCCTCACATACCCAGTTACGACCTCGAGGTTCTTGAGGCCGATGCTATCCTCACGTTCAACCAGACGGTGGATCACCTACAGGCGCAAGGAGGTCGGGATCTCTCGCGGTTCCCCGCCGTGACAGAGCTCTACGATAAGGCGAACGGATTGAGGCCAAAGCTCGCGATGAACCTCAACGATACGAGCCGGAAAGAACGTGCGTACCTGTTCGGCTAACATACTATGCGAGACTGACAGACGCTCTTGCAGAGATGCTGGTTGAGATGCACGACAAGCTATCGCAAGCCGTCAAGCTCTATGACAAGTTACTAACCGAGCAAGTCTCCCGCCCCTCCTGGCGGTCCGCTACCCCACGACAAGAGCAACCTAGTACATCCTATTCACCCCAGTATCAGCAACCGGTGAGCGGCGCATACGGCCAGTGGCAGCAACCCCCCCAGACCCCCGTGCAGGCACAACCATCCTACTACTCCCCCGCTCCTTCTGCACCTCCCCAAGTCAATGGCACCTACTCGTCTGACCAGCAGTCGATGTATCTGGCCCCCATTGCGCCTGTGATGAGCCCTCACCAGCAGGTTCCGTACTCCGCGATCTCCCCTCCCCCCGTCAGCATCCCCCAGTTCGCCCCCCCACCGCCGCCTACCAACGTGTACCAAGCTCCGCCCCCACCCCAGCAGCAGCTCCAACAGCAGCTCCAGCCTGTCGCCGCACCCCCAGCTCCCCCACAGCAGCAACAGCAGCAACTCTCCAGGTCCAACACCGTCGGTCCTAGATACGCCCAGCCGCAGTACGGCCTCTCGCGCTCGACCTCGTTCGCGCATCCGCCCCCGCACTCGATGCACGCTCCCGCACAGCTGGCCCACCTCCAGCAGATGTCCGTGCCCCTCCCCGCGTTCCCCCAAGTACCGAACACGGCGCCGCAAGTGCCTACATACGCAGAGCCGGAACGCAAGGAGGCGCTACTGATCGACCTGTAGGCCCGGCTGGGGTTCGCTGGATCTTGGTGTGTCGCTCGCTCTATGTACGCCGACACGTGAGGTGGCCTGGGGGTGTAATGTTATGTACTGCTATGCTATGGATGGACTCGACGCTCGATACTTATGCTAGACTCATGTTTGTATGCCTTTGGATGTCTGCCGCGTAGCTGTGTGCTGAGTATGTGCCAAGTGTGACGAGGGTTCCTGGTTCTTTGAAGTGTCGCGGTCACGCTCGTGTGCACGCGTCAGAGTCCGACGCGACATGACGCGTCCGGTGCCCAGGCTGGACCAGACCGAACCGCCGCGAAGGCAAAGCTGCTCACTCACACGAGACCAACTGGCAACGAGCCCCGGTCTCACTCGGGACAAATTCCTGTCGCGCGCGTTCCTGTCAACGAGCAACCCGGGGCTGACGTGGACAAGATGCCGTAGCCGTGCTGCGCCGTAAGTCCGGGCAGAAAACGTCAGGTTGCTAACCCACGATCGCAACGACCCTGTCGGTTGACGAAACAGGCCCTGCAACCCTGCTAGGCCCAGCACAGCGTCACGAATACTTCGAAGTCTGCAGAAAGTCGCGACACTGTGTGCACTTTTTTATTCCCGTTGATTGCCCTTGGGGGCGTGGTCCTGCGGTAGGCGCAACCTGGGCAGCCATGTCTAACTCAAGTATACATCGACTGCGCAGACGTCCCCCGCCCGGAGTCCAAGAATCCGAAAGCCGGAGTCCTATGCGGGCTCGAGAGCCTATGGGTGGTGCCTGGGCGCGAATAGTGAGTATAGTAAAGCATCGTAACATCGACACTGAAACTGGAAATCGAAAAGGAAAAGGAAATTGGACTGAATTATGAGAGTGTTGGACAGAGGGCGTCGAGAGCAGGGAGCCACGTTATTCATACAAAGCACATGGCAGCGTCTCCAACTGTGTACACACAAGACATTTGTTCTGCCAGTGGTAGCTGCCACCCGCAACTACGCCCCCTCCGTCCGCGCATTGCGTCTGGCCTCGAGCGCGTCCACGACGACCCTGGCCATAGCGAGCACGCCCTCCTCCTCCAGCGTGCGCCCGACGAGCTGCAGCCCCACCGGCAGCCCCGCGAACAGCTCCGGGTCGTACAGCGCGTGCACCGCCGCGTCCTCTGCGTTCCAAAACTCGTGGGGCGGCGCGCGCGGATCCAGCGCGGGGTCGCACACGACCGACGGTACGGGAAAGACGAGCGCGGTGCAGTCGAGGTAGTTCCAGAGCGCGGTGTAGAAGTCGTCCCTGCGCCGCGCGCCGGCGGAGGTCAGCGTTTTTGTTTTCCAGAGGAGGAAACGGGCGCAATGGGGGCTCACGAGTTGCAGCCGTGCGGGACCGCGGTGTACGGCGCGACCGGGGAGACGATCGCGTCGACGGGGCGGCCGGTGCTCGTGCGCGACGCGGTGGCCTCCCAGTGGTCGAGGTGGGACTTGCGCAGGGTGCGCTTCTCCTTGTGCAGCTGCCAGAGCTGTGCGTGGGCCGTCGAGTCAGAGAGGATGCGCGTCTCACGTACGGGGAGTGGACGCACCTCGTATGCGGAGAGGTGGCGGATGTTCTCCCCCAGGATCGAGCGCGCCATGGGCGCATCGAGTGCGTATTCGTGCGCGTCCGTCGAGGGCGACATGGTCTGAATGAGCGGCTCACCCGACCGCGCGCACTCGGTCCGATAGTCGACGCCATCGTCCGCGTTGAATATGCTGACCTATGCGCGAGGCGCGGAACAGAGAAGAGAGTTGGATGAAGCAACAGGCAGAAAACGGAGATGGTACGAACGCCGTTCTTGTAGATCTCGAGGTGCCTATGGTTCTCCCAGTCGATCACTGCAGAGAGGCCGGGAGAAGTGCTGGGATGAGTTTCCGCGCAGAATTTCTCAGGACATACAAAATGGTATTGCGCACCTGTGTGCCCTGCGGCTTCGAGCGCGGCCTTGACAGTGGCGAGCGCGCGCGCGAGCGGTGGGTGCGGCTTCACCACGCCGTTGTCCGGCATGAGGGCAAAGCAGAGGCGCGCGCCACGCCCGCCGTGGTCGGCGAGATCATATTCGCAGGCACTCCAAGGCTTGCGGACGCACAGCGGGTCGTGCCGCCAGGGCTCGGCGGCGAGAACAGCCTGGGTGAACACGCGGAGGGCGCCGAGGGTGTTCGCCATCGGCCCGAGCACGGAAGAAATGCTCTCCTGGCCTTCCTGGGAGTTCACCGCGTTGCAGTACGGGAGGCGTTCGTACGAGGGCCGAAGCCCGTACAGGCCGCAGAATGCGCTGGGGATCCGCACGGAGCTGGGATGCCGGTGACGCGTGAAGGGAATGAGGAACGAATGGGTTCGTGTGCCTCGAAATGGCCGAGACACGAGGCGGGGAGTGAAATGGACCGGGGACGCACCCTCCGATATCGGTGCCGACGCCCAAGGGGCTGCCTCGGAGCGCGACAAGTGCGCCTTCTCCGCCAGAGGAGCCGCCAGAGGTCATGTAGCGATTGTATGGGTTCGTAGTTCGTCCGAAAACGTGGTTGTACGTCTCGCCCCACTACGCACGGCACAAAGAGGTCAGCATTACGCATCAAAAGACCGAAGAGAAGTCGCGGCAAGCAAAGGTCGGCCTCGCGTTCGGTGATCGTACCCACGCCAGGTTCGAAATAGAGTCCGAACGCCGTAAGGAGCGTATGCACGTCGATGGACGTGAGCATAGACGCCTTTTGGTTGTCGGAGCGAGAGCAAAATGAGGCGGTGACGCGCCTGCAATGTTTGTGGCACATTGGTGCGCACAAAGGGGACCGCGCCAGCCTGGTAGAGGACGTGGACGAGGACGCTGTCGGATTCGGCGACACGCCCGATCCATCCTGCATAGCCTGCAGGAGACCTGGTCATGCCGGAGGCGAGGACAGACGGAGCGTTGGGAGACAATACCCATGATGGTCTCTAGTCCTTTGATACAGAACTGGTCCTTGAGGGATATTGGGAGGCCATGGAGAGGGCCGATGGGCTTGCCGTGCAGGTGGAGATATTCATCGACTTGGCGGGCGCGGTCGAGGGCGCGATCAATAAAGATCTCGGTTAGGCAGTTGGTCTATGAGATAAAGGTGAGCGGAATCCAAGGATGCGGAGGCGAACGGACGAGCTGGTGAGCGATGATGGCGCGTTTGTAGAACGCAGTGGTGACCTCGACGGAGGACCACTTCGCAGCGGCGAGGTTTCGGAGGATGATTTCGAGGTCGATGGTATCCGTAATTCCGAGCTCGCGGGCGGTAAGGAGGCCGGAGGCGACGGGGACATCGAGCACGTTGCGATGGTCGTCTGGGGGCGGCTGTATGTTCCATGCGGGGGGGATTGCGTCGGACTGGTGACGTTTCCTTGCTGCGCAGAGGGCCTTCCAGTCCGCTGCAGACGGCTCTGTCATGATGCGTCTGTCACTTGCTCGTAGGCGGTGGGAGGGTGGAGAAGCATGGCAGGCGTCTGGCCGGGGAAACAGGCCATCGAGATCTGGATCCCGGGAGGCCGGGCCGGAGTCGCGTCTTGGACAATGGGGACGGCGCAGGCGAGGCAGGCCAGCTACGGCTCGCGATGAGAGAGAGACTGGCCGTCGCACATCGCTCGTGGTCTTCAGCATGCCCGATGGGCGACAGCTGCAAACAATCTGATTGTGGTGCACTGCTGAGCGCTGCGGGCGAGCAGTCGCCGCGCGGATGAATCAGGGATCAGGATAGATCGCTGTGTGGCCCTGTTTGGCCGGGTGGCACAGCGCGGCTCAGCGCTGGCCGTTGTCGAGCGCGGTCGCCTTCGTTGGCCTTGTCGCCGCCGTTGCACACCTGCTTTCAGCCCGCTCCCGACCCACCGCCCTCCTTTCATCCTCCTTTCGCCCGCCTTTTCTCTTCTTTCCAAAACGCAGGCCAGCTGCTGTGCGTCGGCTTGATGCTACCCTGACCATATCTGACCTTCTACTCGCCCTTTCGTCTCTCCGCTGCCTTTGGCACCTCTGCGCGTGCATACAGCCCCCGGTGCGTAGCACATGGCCGTTCTCGCGCCTCAGGACTGGCAGCCCCCTCGAGAACACAACATGGACGCGCCCTCGACAAACCCCATCAACCCTGCTGCCCTTCCCCGTCAGCGCTCCTCCCCCGCCAACGACCACGCTCAGTCTCCGCCCCCCATGGCCCAGCAACAACCATACCCCTACCCCGTCCAGCAACAGCAGCCTGCATGGCAGCCCTCCCAGCCCCAGTTCTACCCCCAGTTCTATCAAAATCCCCATCAGCAGCCCTACCCGATCCACCCACACCAAGCTCATCCCCAGCAGGGCCAGATGCAGTACTACGATCCTGCCAATGCCCAGCTCGCCCAGTGGGCATACCAGCAGATGATGTTCCAGCAGGCCCACCAAATGTCCCAGATGTCCCCCATGCCTGCCCAGCGCGCTCGCAGCGGCTCCACCGGCTCCCCAGATTACTTCGCCCAGGGCCAGATGGCCAACTTCAGCCCGTTTCCCAGCGGCACCCCTCCCCCGCCCCATCCGTCTCACCTCCCCATGGGTTATCAGCCCCAGCCTGACCAGAACGGGCAACATGGCGGCTATCATCCCTACCGTCGTCCTCAGAGGCAAGGCTCGTCCAACCAGGACGCCGACTGGCGCTCTCCACCACAGCCCAGCGGCTCCTTCAAGCCACCGTACGCCCAGGTCGACGCCGCCGGCTCCTCCACCTCCGTCAACTCTGGTTCCTCCCACTCGGGCAGTCACAGGCAACGCGCGAACAGCAATCAAGGATCAGGTCACAACAGCCCCGCCCCCACCCCCGCCGCCCATGTTCATCCCAAGCAGAGCAGCAGTAGATCAACAACGTCCAATCCCGCGCCGCCGCCCTCGTCTAACGGTTCGTCCCAACGCGTCCACCAGCGCACCGGCTCTTCTTCCTCCAACGCTTCCTCGGCTCGCTCACAACCCCCCGCTGCTGCTGCCGCCACTATCTCGCCACCGCCGACGCAAATCAACCTGCGCAAACCGTCGCCCTTATCTCAGGGTACATTCACCGCTGCCGAGAAACGGATGTCACGAGACGACAGTGATCTGGCTGCGATGATGGAGCCTACTGCTGTCGGACCCCGCAGCGGCCTCAAGGGCCGCCTGCGCCGCGCGCTTTCGCTTAACGCCAACAACACCCTTCACGAGGAGGACGAGGAGAACGCGACGTCGCGGCATGGTGCCCCGCGGCCGAGCACCAGTTCAGGCGCGACGCTCCCGATGGACGATGGGGACTCCACTGCCACGGTGCAGAAAAAGAAGTCCCGCTCGCTCTTCAACAACAAGTTCAACCGCTCGACGGACAACATCTCCCTATCGTCGACGATGTCGTCCGCTTCCATGGTCATTCGGAAGCTCGGATCCATCGGGAAGCTTGCGCGCCGGAACTCGCTCGCTGGGATCACGTCCCTGTTCAAGGACAAGAATAAGGACGGCGATGAGGAAGGTTCTGGGAAGAAGAGCAAGAAGAAGAAGGGCGAGAAGGGCGCCGCCGCCGAGGCCAGCGTCTCGCACGTTACCGCCGAGCTCGACCGTTCCGACTGGACCGCCAGCCCGGACATGGTGGGCCTCAGTCCGGCCGCGCGTCTTGCGCGGCAGCACACCCTCAAGACCAATGCGGAGGCCGCGGCGAAGGCGAAGGCTGAGGCGGAGCGGGTGGCAGCGGAGACGGCAGGCGGCCCGGTGCCGACCACATGGGAGAAGAACACGACTAACAGGCAGAATGACAATCTGCCGGGGCGGGTCGGAGGGCCGTCGCGTGTGAACGAGGACGGCATGCGGGTCGTTGTCGAGCACGACGACTCGGACAGTGGTAGCGACGAGCAAGACCATGCGCATAACTACAGCCACGTCGAGGGATGGGAGGACGATGAGGAATGGGGAGAGGGCCACGATGACGAGGATATGACGATCCGTCAAGCACTGGACGGCGCCAGCCTAGAAGAGGACGACCCGGAGATGGAGCCCTGGGCCCTCAACCTGCGCAGGAGTGTCGAACGGACACGCAAGCCTGCGAAGGGCATTCTGAAAAGTGAGTGCAGTTCCACCTCCCCTGTGCGCGCTATTCTCATCCGCCGCCGCTCGCAGAGCCCGTCGACGGCTCAGAATACACTCAGGATACGTATCTCCCTCCCAACCCGGCGTTCACCCGGGCGCGGGCCAACTCTTACGACTCGGCCCAGCCTTCTGGCGAGGCCTCGCACCCCTCGCATCTCCCGGGGTCGGACCCGGACCAGATCGACGGGCTCGCAAAGTCTCACGGATCGGCCAACGGCCACTCGCCTGCGGAACCAGGACCGTTCCTGCCTCAGCTCTCATTTGACAGCAACGGGATCAACCTGGATTCGCCCGTCAAGCACGAGGTCGCCGAGCCCGCGCCGATCGTCGCCACGGAGAAGACGTCGCTTTTCAGCCTCCCGAACTCGTCCGCGCCCGCGCTGTCCAAGTTTTCGAGCTCGACGGCGCCGACGCTCACGCATCGGTCGGCGACGGCGCCCGCGAAGCGACTCGTGTTCGCCGCGAACTTGTCCGTGTATGACACCTTCCCCGCGACGGTGTACGACCGTCGGAGCGAGCCCGCGACATGGAGTAGGCTGACGCCCGCGCTGGCGCAACGGATCAAGGAGGAGCTCAACTCGTACAAGATGGAGGAGATGGAGGTGCACGCTAACAGCCGCGTACAGTGCGTTGTTCCCTTTTTTCTGTCTCCTCGCCGTTTCTGATGCACGGGCATCAACAGCACGCAGTTTTTCGTATAACACCCATCTTGGACGCGAGTCGGGCTCGGTCGCTTTTTTAATGTTTTGCTGTTCATCTCTTTGTGCACGACGGCATACGGGTCCCACAGTACTATCGGCGCACGCCGACCCCGTCCACTGTTTATTCTCCGGCTCGGCCGTTCCCACCTCATTATTCCCTATTTTTGTTATCCCCTCACCCCTCACCCGTTCGTCGCGCTCCGCCCCGTCTCACGTCGTCCGTCCCATTTGTGCACCGCGCCCGGCTTTTTGGATCAGACACATCCGCGGTCGTCTCGTCTTTGATCTCATACAAGTTATAGTATACCCCCGACAATCCTCACGTGTAATACTATGACGCACGTCGCCTCGCCCACGGTACACAGATGCGCACGCGCCGCGGTGCGTCGCCTCGCATCCCTTCCCCCCCCTCTTTGCACATCCCACACTCGCTCACCCGTTCCCCGCATCTGTCCATCCCCGTTGAGTGGCGGCGCGCGCCCCGACGGACCTTGTCAGGACAAAGTCGGTACCCGCCCGTCGCCCCCCACATTCCGGTCCGCTGATAGCTCACTAGTACTCGTGTCCGCTACATTGCCGCATGCTCTCATATGATCCCTTCTTTATTCGCGGCTCCCTCACGACCGAGTGCCCGTCCGCCGCCCTTCAGGCCCTGTGGCGGCCGGGCTGTTGTTTCGTTTCGCCCTCTAGTCCGTCGTCCGTCCCCCATCCGATCGCCCGTTCGTTTGTTACACACCGCCTCTCGCTCTCGGACACTCCACAACACACATACAACGCAGTCCCGACCCCCACATGTCTTCCCGTATCCAATCCCAATCCCAGTCTCCGTCTCCGTCTGCTTTCCCACCACACGGTCCCTACCCGTCGTTCACCCGCGCGGGCGCTGCTTATGTCCCCCCGTCCCGTGCCCGTCCCTTCCCCCGCTTCGACGCTGTTGAGTACTAGTACTGATAATAACGCTTCGCGCCTCTGCCCGCCTGACGGTTCGCGATCTGGACGACGGCGAGAAATCGGCGTCGGCTCCGCCACCTCGTATATGTGCACTGAAAACGTCACACGTGTCCCGTTAATCATCAATCACGAATCATTTGTGCAATGGGGGGCCTCTATCCCGACATCTATCTCCATCGAGGGCGTCGAGCACATCCACCCGCGCCTCACCCGACCACCCGCGCCACGATCTCCGCCGCCGCGCGCCGCCGCTCCTCCGCAGCGGCGCCGTTGCCCAGCACCGACTTGTTCTCGATCGCGCGCCGTCCGAGGTAGGGCATCACCTGAAACAGAAACAGAACGTCCGCGTTCAGCGCAGAGCGACCGCAGCGGGCGGGGCACACCTCGGAGAGCGCGCCGTACGGGATGTACTTGATCACGAACGGCGCGGACGCGTGCACGCGGTTCGCGAGGTGCGTCGTCAGCACCGCCGTCATCCCTGTGGGCGTTTTTTTCGTTTCGCGGTCAGCGTTTGCCCTCGACGCGGAGCGACCGCGACCGACCGAAGAGCTGGCCCATCGTCACCCGCTCCGCGACCTCGTCCGGGACGACGACCGTCCCGTCCGCCTCCTTCCGCGCGAGCCCGGCCCTCGCCATCTCCTCCGGGATCAGCTCCGCGCTCGTCCAGTTGTGCGTCCCGAAGAGCACGCCGATCGTCGGCGGCGCCGTCTTGCCCTTGCCCGCCTCGACGTCCGCGCGGACGGCGCGCACGAGCGCGCGCACGCCCGCGTCGTACCGCGCGTCCGTCTCCGCCTTCGCCGTCCACACCGGCGGCGCCGGCTCGGGCGAGATCGACAGCGAGAGCGCGTGCGCCTCGCCCGCGGCGGGGTGCGCCGCGACCTCGTGCGGGTGGTACGCGCCGCGGACGAGCTTCACCCCGAGCGCGTACCCCTCCCTGCGCGCGGCGGCGATGCTCTGGACGAGGTACTCCGGCGTGCGCCGGAGGTACGCCTGGTACGTCGCGTACACGAGCGGCTGCACGCCCGCGTCTGCGTCTGTCTCCGCCGCCGCGGGGGCGCCGCCGAACCACGACGCCTTGGCGTTGGCGGGCGAGGGGAGCTTGTTGAACCGGCGCATCATGTCGAGCGTGTACGCGTCGATGGCGGGCTGTTGGAAGTCCGTGAGTGTCCTTTCCAAACAATGGACGATCGGCCGCAGCCGGTTCGCACCTCGTACCAACTGTGTCGGGCGCGCGTATAGTTAGCTCGAACGTCCGAGAAGGCGCGTATAGACAACCAGACGGACCTGTACTCCGCGTCGAAGATGATCCGCACCCCGCGAGCCTTCGCTCGCGCGCAGATCGCTTCCAGATCCTGCCGCAGTTCTCGAAGCGCGACGATGTCTGCGTCGGTCAGCGGACCCGTCGCACGGCCGTCTGCGAGCACGTCGAGGTCCGAAGGGAGAGGCGCGCCGGGAAACGCGACGGGTGGCTGCACGGGCGGACGGGTGTCGACGAGGAACTTGGAGAACCTGCGCAAAGTCTCCGCGTCCGGTACCATCGCGCTCTACAGAGATCGGTGAGCCACTCACAAGCACACCCACACATCAAGGGCGCACCAGCTTAATCGCAACCCAGGTCCGCCTCCCGACGGTTCCAGGTGTGTGCTTGTCCTCGTAATCGGCTGCGACGTCGATGCAGTGCAGTGTCTCCTGCACGATCTGTTTGTGGACAGACGACGGAGGCTTGCCGGCGTCATTCCCGTGCCCCGACGCCTCCGCCTCGTCTACCTCCACGCTGTATGCGAACAAGCACCCCGTCTTCTGCTGGCGGAGCTCCTCAATCAACGGCAGCGCGTCTTCCGCCGTCTCTCCCCCCACGAACTGCGAACCGCGTGAGCGCCTCATCGCACGAGCAGCAACCCCCTTTGACCACTCACCTGACCAAAGAACGTCGTGCGGACGACCGCCTCCGTGACGGCTCGCAGGCCGGGAACAGCCAGGAGCGCATCGAGGATCGCGGGCGCGGCGTCGACGAGGGCGGGGACGGAGCAGAAGGAGTAGACGACGTACGTGCGCACGAGCGAGACCATCGTCTCCCGCACCCGCTCGCGCGCGCCCTCCGCCCCGACGCTCCCGGCAGTCCTGTCGTGCAGCGCCTCGAGCTCGTTCGCGCCCGCCCGGGCGTCGTTGGCGAACACCAGCGCTCCCGTCGCAAGCGCAGCACCCGCCGCGAGGCCAGTCCATCTGAGTTTGCGCCGGGGCCGAGGAGGAGCGGTGGCGGAGGACGAGAGCCTGGCGCGGGGCGAGAGCGGGGTGCGGGTGGCCGAGCGTGTGGTTGTCAGCAGCCTTGTGGGAGGGAAAAGCCTGGAAGGGGCCATAGTCGCAGTAGACAGTCGCGATCGCGTGGGAGGAGAGTGGGGCAGAGCAGGAGCCGGACGTGGCACTGGGCAAAGAGCGGCTGGATATGGGCGTCGATGGTGGCCCCAGCCCGTGCGCAAGCCCGCACGTCTTCCCCGGCAAAGCAAGACATCTGGCCGGGGGCGTGGCTGCCCGCGATGATAAGTCGTGCACGGTCCGAGGTCCGCCTCGCGATCACGCTACTTTGGTCCTATCTTGCCGATGTTCCTGACTATCTTCAGAGGCCTTGTGACCTCGTTCTCGGTCTGCAGAGGGCAGACACAGGCAAGTCGAGGCTGGAAGGGTTCTTGGTGGTGACGGAGCTGGGCAAATGCCAAAGATGAAAAGAGGAGGATGAGAAGATGAGTGCCACGTCACGTGAGCAGCACGTGTCCTACTAAGTAGTAGAGAATTAGATTGAGCTATCTCTTCATACCCTCCGCCTGGGTGGTTTGCACTTCACGTGGGAAAGACGACAGATTCCTGCGGCGCCTTAGATCTCCACCGACTTCCCCGCTCCCTACTCCAGATCAAATGTCTTTGAAGGCCTCAGCAGGTCGACGGTAAAGTCATCTTGCCTGGGTCACAAGGCTGCGGGTAGATATTGTAGTGTACATCAATGTCTTTGTGCGTGTGTCCAGTTCCCCCCTTTAGCGCAGACTTCTGCAGATGTGCCGTAGATTACGTTACTACTAAGTATTGTTGTTCAGCCCAATAACCTGGAGAAGATCGCCGACGCCGCACGTTTGCGCTCTGCTGCAGCCCCGCCATTCCCAAGCACGGACTTGTTCTCGATGGCCCGTCGCCCAAGGTAAGGCATCACCTGTGTCCCAAAATCAGCCCAGCCCAGCCACCGAAGCTCGAGTGGACGCACCTCATTCAACTTGCCGTACGGCAGGTACTTGAGCACGAACGGCGCCGAAGACACGACCCGCCCCGTGAGATCGTCCGTCAACTCGTCCGACATCCCATACAGCTGCGCGACAGCGACTCGACCCAGAGCCGCCTCGCCCACCCGCACCACGCCGCCCCGCCGCCCTGTCTGGTCGCCAAGCCCTGCCTCACGAGCTCGTCCACGACTAGGTGCGCGCTGTCCCAGTTGTGCGTCCCGAACAACACTCCGATCGACGGCGCGCACGCCGCCGATTCCGAGTCCGCGCGGACGAGTGCGATGAGGGCCTTCACCGCCGCGTCGTAGCAGCCGTCCGTGTCGTCCTTCCGGAGCCACACCGGCGGCATGTTCTCGGGCGAGATCGAGAGGTCGTGGCGGGGGAGGCCGGCGGTGTCCGCGCGCGACGTGGCGGAGGCTTTGTGCACCTCGACCTCGTGCGGGTGGTACGCGCCACGCACCAGCTTCACGCCGAGTGCGTATCCCTCCCTCCGCGCGTCCGCGATACTCTGAGCGAGATATTCCGGAGTCCTGCAATGAAAGGGTCAGTGAATAGTGGCACGATAGCTCCGATTCGCGTACCGACGGAGGTAGGCTTGGAAGGTGTTGTAAATCAGAGGTTGAGGCGATGTAACAGGTGTGGTCTCCAGGCTTGGGCTAGACCAGAACCATGTTTGAGCAGGCTCTCGTGGGATCCTGTTGAATCTGCGCATCATGTCCAACGCAAACGCATCAATCGCAGGCTGGTACCAACTGCGAACTTCGCTATGAGCATGCAGTCATGCACAAGCGCAAATAACGCGACTCACCTGTGCTCCGCGTCGACGGTGATCCGGATCCCTTTGGCCTGCGCACGGGCGCAAATACCCGCGAGGTCCTCGCGCAGCTCCCGGAGGGCGGCAACGTCTTCCTGGGTGAGCGTGCCCGCTGCATCCACCCCTGACAGCACGTCAAGGTCTCCAGACGAAGGGCACCCAGGAAACGCGACGCACGACCCCTCCGCCGCGTGCTTCAGGACCAACCGCTTCGAGAGCCTCCGCAGCGCCTCCGCGTCCTCGACCATAGCACTCTGCACCAACCTCGCCCTCAGTTCGATGCGCGCGCCCAACACGCTCAAACCCACACTCACCAGCTTGATCGCCACCCACGTCCCTCTCTCCTCCCTCCCTGCCCCACGCGCCTCCTCGAAGCCCGCCGCGACGTCGATGCAATGCTTCGTCTCCTCCACGACCCGTCGATGCGCGCCCCGCCCCTCCCCGCCTGCCCCCGCCTCGTCGACCTCGACGCTGTACACGAACAGCGCGCCCTTGTTCTCCCGCCGCAGCCGCGCGAGCACCGGCAGCGCGTCCTCCGCCGCGTCCCCGCCCACGAACTGTGCACACGATCCCCTACGTCAGCGCTGCCCAATGACCCCCCCCCTGGCGAACGCCGTACCTGCCCAAAGAACGTCGCGCGCACGACCGCCTCCGTCAGCGTCCTCATCCCCGGGACGCCCAAGAGCGCACCGAGGATCGCGGGCGACCAGTCGACGAGCGCGGGCACGGAGCACAGCGAGTACACGACGTACGCGCGCACGAGCTCCGACAGCGGCGCCGCCTGCGCCGCGCTCGGGCACGCGCCGGAGTCGGCGTGCACGGCGAGCCCGTCGCGCGCGTACAGCGACGCGCCGACGAGTGCGGTTGACGCGAGCCCCACCGCTGCGAGACGGCGCGCGGTGAACGGTCGCGGTCGCGGTGGGGCTCCGGGCGGTGTGGATGTGAAGGTTCGGAGGCCCGTTGCGTGGCCATGAGGTTTCAGGCGCAGAGCGGCGCGGGCCAGGGACATATGAATGGTCGGAGGTGAGGTGCGGGGGAGAGAGACGGGCAAGTGGGGGTCATGGTTGGGGTTGAGGCGCGTTTTGAGGCCGCGGGCGACGAGCGCGTCCGAGTAGGCGGTGGTGACGGCGGGCGGATCTCTTCCGGTGGGCGGGCGATGTTCCATCCGGATCCCGCCACCCGTGCCGTTGCCCAACAGACTGTGCTGACCTGGGTCGTGGATGATTCGCGACAATGTTCGAGAGATATGTATAACACAGGCTAAATACACAGTGGGCAAGTTCTTTTGTCTTCTCGCTCGTACACCAACACATCATGTCTGAGGAGTCGGACCACCTCCACTCCCTACGCTCACGCGGACCCAGCGAGCTCGCGGAACTCGATCCCCCACTCGGTCGACTTCTGCGTCGCCGCCACGAACGCGTCGAACCGCGGGCCCGCGCCCGGCTGGCTGATCTTGCTGAGCGCGACGACTGCCCGGAGCGTCGACCGCTGCAGCTCCGCCGTGCGCTCCAGGTCCTGCTTCACCGTGTCCTTCGTCACTGCCGCGCCCTTCATGCTCTTCTCCAGCGGCGGCGTGAGCTCGTCGAGCCGCTGCGCGACCGCCGTCGGCGCCACCTGCGCCAGCCGGAAGAGCATCATGTGGCAGATCACCTTCACCTCGTCCGAGTCGTCCGCGAGCCCGGCCGCGACGCGCCCGAGGAACTCGTACAGGTCGAGCTTCGGGAGGCACGTGTCGAGCTGCGAACCTAGTGTGAGCTCGAACGTGACATTCAAATAAAACAGGAATACAAACCAAGGTATAGAGCGTCTCGTATGCAGTCTTGCGGGCGTCGAGACCGTCGTCTACCTTGTGTGTCCACGGACCCATCTGCACCGTGCGGATGAGGTTCGGGTTGACGACCGTCTCCTGGTACAGCGCGGGAAGGAGAGTGGGTAGATGGTCGCGGATGAGGTGCGGTCTTGACCGGGCCGCCGAGTTGAGCGCGGAGAGCGCCAAACGACGAACCATCTGTCACAACCAAGTCAGTACTCTGTCCCAGAAACTGACACTTTGTTCAGCGACTCACAAGATCGGCGTCGGAGATGAGTGACAAGAAGTCCATGATGACGCTGCCTAGGGTCTCGTCGAACGACCGCGCGTTCTCCACGAACGTGTACCGGATCGCGGTGAGCACCGTCGCCCTCGTCGCCGGGTTCGGGTCCGCGATACGCGCCTGCAGCTGGGGCAGGTACCGTCCAGGGTGCGTCGTCGTGAGCTTGCCGAGGCACGCCGCCGCGACGTTCCGCGTCGTCTCCTCCTGGTTTTCCGAGTTCTCGAACAGCGGCGTCCAGAGCGTGTCCGCGACCATCTCGAGCTGCCCGTGCGTGCAGTGCGTGACGACCTCCTTGAGCGCGTTGAGCGCGAGCAGCCGCTTCTCCTGGTCGTGCTCCACCATCTTCACCACCAACGGCAGGAAGTGGTGCAGGTTGCCCACGGTGATGTTCCCCGCCGCGAACGCCGCTGCGGTCCGGACCTCCTCCTGGTCCGACGCGAACTTCTCGATCACGAGCCCGAAGATGTCCTGGTTCGGCGTCATGTCGATGAACCTCCCGATCTCGCCCATGAGGAGCAAGCTGAGCGCGACCTGCGATGACTTCGCCTTCGATTTCGGCTTCAGGTGCTTAGCGAACTCGGAGATTGTACCCGCCGCGATGCCCTGGTGCGACTTGACGACCTGCCCAAGACACTTCGCGACGTTCGGGAGCGACACATCGCCCTTGGCCTTCTCCATGGCGAGCACCAAGTTGGGTACGACGTGGCTCGCGATCTGCAGGTCTGCCTCGACGAGGCCGCCATAGAATGCAAGGAGCGACTCGAAAGGCACGCCCACGATGACCGGAGAGTACGAGATGTTGTAAATGTCCGGGAGGACGTCGCGCTCGACTTCAGAGAAGGTGTCTGCGGGTGCGAGTACAAGAAGCAGGGTGATCAAGTCGAGCGCAGCACCGAGGAGTGGGAGATCGGTCGGGGTGATGTAGGCCTTGAAAACCGGGATCAGGCTGGAGGGGAGGTCCGTGGGGATGGCCGTGTACCTGAGAAGACGTCAGCTTAAGCAGGGTCTTCGAAAACGGCACTCACCTCCTGAGCAGCGCCTCCAAGCAGTTGAACGCCTCCACTTTCCCAGCCCTGCCGCTCTTCTTGAGCAGCGTCGTCGTCCACTCAACAGCGCCATTGACCCAGTCGTCGCCAACCTCGACCTTCGTTGAGACCTTCGTGACAACAGCCACCGCTCCGTCCGTGCGCCCAGTAGACCTGCAAATGAACTCCCACTCCTTCCTGCTCTTTGCCTTCATCGCCTCCGTCGCCGCGATCCAGAGGTCCCCGATGCACTCCTCCGCACACGCACGCACCTCCGCGTCCGTGTCGTGGTGGCTCAACCGCTTGAGCGCTTCGTCGTACACGCGGTCAATCCAGCCGGCACCCTTCACGGGTTGCATGGCAGTCAGCAGCGCGGAGAAATCCCGGAATGCCTCGGAGCTGATCTTCGGATGCTTTTCTGCGAGGGCAGAGAGGAGCGCAGGAGTCAGCGAGTCGAGCTGCGCCGCGTAGACTGAGGGGGCGTGCTTGGAGAAGAAGAGCCCAAGGAAAGACATGGTGGTGACCTGAAGCGACGCCGCGTTGGACCGTGATGCAGTTGCGAGGACAGACTTCGCGCTTGCAACAATCTGCGGTGCCTGGCTTGCTAGAGATCCTGGGAGTACGGAAAGCAGCTTGTGCAACAGCGAGAAACCGGCCTCGAGCGTTGCTGGAGGCGTCTTGGGCGACTTCATCTGGCCCAGCACGGCCTTTGCTAAAGAAGGTACTTGCGATTGCAGCAAGGTGTAGGGCGTCTCCTCGACCTCCATGCCCTCTGCACGCTTGCGCTTGCCGCCGACGGTATGCTCAGCGTTGCTTTGAGGAGAACCGCCATAGACACCGGTCTGGTTCAGGAGCACGCCATACGTTTGCCACACCTCCAGACGGACGGTGTCTTCACGGTCGCCGAAACGAGAGATGAGGACAGGCGAGACGTCCTTGTAGAGCGTCGTCAACAGTTCTGGCCGTGTAGCGATCACCGCAGCGAGGAGCTTCGTAGCTGATCGTCGGATCTTGTACGAAGTGTCCTCGTCATCGGAGTATCTGCTTGCCATGAACATACAGAAGTAAAACAGAAAGACACACGTACTCATCACCAAGTTCCTCATCATCCTCATCTTCGTCGTCGGCCATTTCTTCATCTTCGTCGTCATCACCGCCAGCGTAGTTCTTATAGTGTGTGAGTGAGAAAGCGCATTAAAAAGAAGCTAGGACATACGGGGTCGTACTTGATGTACTGGTTGCCCACTTGGATGATAGAGGACAAAAATGGCGTGACCTCGCTCGGACACCTGAGAACAAAGGCTTCGAGAGCCTTGACAAAAATCAGCATATATATGCGCAAAATCCTCACGGTCCATTGACCTGGAGACAGCTCTCGCGCAACTCCTCATCGTCCCGCTGTGAATCCTTGATGATGCTCGGAGCAACGTCTCCCAAAGCAGGTGCGATCTGTTGTGGTGAGTGGCGAGCGACGGCCGCGACGAGCTGCACCACGGTCCGCTGCTTCCCAAGGTCTGCATTCGAAGCCAGCCCCGGCGAAATCACCCCGGTCAGGAGCGACGCGAAGAGCCGTGGTTGCGAGTGCGGGAGGAACTGCGCGAGCGTCGTGATCGCGCGTTTCCTGACTGCTGGCCGCGCGTGGTCGAGGATGGGCGTGAGCACCGACACCGGCTGCGGCTCGACATTCGCGAGGTATTGAGGGAAGCGGGTGATCAGGATGGAGAGAATCGAGAGCGTCTCGATGAGCGTTTCTGGGGGCGTGGCGGACTGTATGCAAGATGATCAGCATTCCCGCGTTTGCATGCGCACACGCTATCAGATTGGACAGGAGACATACGTTCGCAACCTGATGAAGTAGTTTGGGAGTGAGCTTCTCGCATGCCTTGGTCGCGATCTTGCCTTCGGTGGGGAGCTCCGACGTGATGGTCTTCAACGCTGCACGACCCGGTCAACTGAAAACGCGCCAATGTGCATCCAGAAAAGGCGCGCACCAAGGCCGGCGATGTCCCGCAGCTCCTCGTCCTTCCCCGCGGAGAAATCAATCAGCTTGTCGACGACAAGCTCCATCTGGCTCTCGCGAATGATCTTGATGAGCTGCCCCAGGCTGCAATACGCATCCGCGGCCTGAGCACACATCCACCCGGTCGGCTGAACAAAGCACGCACCACTTGACCGCCTGGTTTTTGACCTCGGAGATCTTGTCCTCAACCAGTGCGAGGACCTGTTTGAGCACCTTGTTCTCCGTCGCTTCATCGCCGAGGAAACTGCTGGAATCCTGCTTGATCTCGCCAGCAGGTCGTTCAAGCCCATATACCTGCGGCGATGCGCTCATCACGGCGCGTCCGTATACCCTCGCTTACGCGGTCACGCACCGGAAATCCTGGTCTGGGGATTGCATCTGGCCCCATCGCGCGCGTCAGCACGCGCCTGAGAGAGAGCAGCAGTTCGTTACCTTCTCCACCAGCCCGTTCATGATGTACGTCTTCGTCATGATCGCGCGAGATGAGGGAGGAAGGGGGTGGCGAGGGGGAGACGGAAGGAGGGGATGGCGAAAGGCGAGTGTGGCGCAGAGCCGAGGATCCAAGTATGGGCGTCTGTTGGGCTGTCGCAGCTCGCCTCGTGTGCAGCTGCTGCCTCGAGGTGTGGAGGCACGGCCAGAGCGGACGCTGCTGCACGCGCGTACGGAATGGATGACGGTCCGTAAGCCAGACCGCTCTTACTAGACCCGTAAATGCAATTCCGGAGCTTTAAGCGAGGTTAAGCGACGAGAGGGATCTCTGGCGTCAAGCAGCGTCAACGGAATGCCTCCACCGCGCGGAGACCTTAGCCAGACTCATGGAGGTCCGTTGAGGCCCAGTCGTCGATTTGTCAGCGCCGATTAATGGTCCACATCACTACCTCCCGTCCGTAATAGGCTTCAGGAGGCCTCTACAGCGTTTTTGCTCTGCGAGGCGGGCCACCGACCCCTCCACAGATTTTGGGCGCTTGTTATTCCAGCAGCCACAGTGAGATCCTCGGGTATCACTTTCTCGTGTCGGCGGAACTGCTCTTTCGAGCGGTCTAGAGAACTACGGAGCGTCATCCAATGACGTATAATCTTTGTTTATATTCTACCAACCACTGCGAGTAATACACTAGTACGGGCGAGACCAGGCCCGGAATCCTATGGGACGGCGCGAATAATCTTAGTGTAGGAGTAGCGATACAGCATGGTGGGTATGGTCTTTAGAGGTATATGGGCATACAAAGATAGCAACCAGGTCCACCGAAAAGGGAGAGAAACAAATAGACGACAGCATGTAACAGCATATAAACAAAGCGCGGAATCATGAGCCGGAGTTGAAGATGAGGGCGCGGACACGAGGCGAGTCGGGCCTGATCGTGCCCTCGCGCGGCGCGAAGCAGTCCCGCATATTCGTGTACTGCCGCCGGAACACGACGAGGTACAGCGGCCCCCGTTTCTGTCGGCGCGAAAAGCGGTCAGCGGCGCGCTCATGGGGCGCCGGGTGCCACCCGCAGCATGGACGCACCCTGCTTTCCCGCGACACGGGCTGCACTTTGACCACCCGGCCGCGGTACCACTCCGGGCACCCTTTGGGCTTCACCCAGACGGGATCTCGGACCTGCGGGACGAGACGGTCAGGAAAGATGCCGACGTCGGCGTCGATGGCGGTGGGAACACCTACCTGGTAATGATGGCTCTCGTAGTTGTCGGGCGTGCGGCCCTCATCTTCACTCTCGGGGGTGTAGTCGGAATCATTGTCGAGCTCCGAGAGCTCGCTCGACTCGTATTCGATCTCAGCATTCAGCCGGTCCTCATCTTCGCTTGATGCGGATGAGCGGCTGCTCCACACCCGCGCGCGGGCTCGGGTAGCAGCGGCAGTGGCACGGGGCATCTGGGCTGGGTTGTGGTGGTGGGGAGGAAGGACAGTTCGCAGGGGAGAAGGATTCTCGGCTTGTTTCGCAGCGGACACTGGACGGGAGGAGTCAGCGCGGGGCGGTGATCTGGGAGCACGGAAGGAGGCCCATAGATTTATACCCAAACCGGGGGCGCCCGAACCCAATCCGCCTCCCATTGTCGCAGCCCCGGGCGCCTGCCGCCTATTGTCGCCCTTGTGCCAGCCGCCGGCGTCCGCCCCACGTTCCGTCCCCGCGCCCTCAGCCCGCGCCGGCAGCCAGTCTGCAGCTGCGAGGCAGCGACCACTGCTGCACTCCCCCAGGACGCTGCTCGACGGCCGCACACGAGGCCCGCGCGCGCGGCGACGCTCCGAGCGACACGCCGCATCGCCCCACGCCACCGCTTCGGGAAACTGCAGCATCCGCGCGCATTCCGCAGGCGGTGTGTCCAGCTGGCTGCACATCTTGCTCTCTGCTCCCCTGCACCGCTGATGCCAACAACCGCAGGTGACGCCCCATCGCTGTCCCTCCTGCCCCATCTGGGGCAAGTATCAGGTTTCGCACGCGCGTCCTGACAAACCTGGGCACGGCAAAAACGGTCAATACCACAAAGCAGACAGACGAATGCGGATCCCGTTACAACAGCGCTACCTTCCACGCCCACACGTCCCCCAATGTCCGCAGAACTCTACACACAGTCCATGCATGCTGTCCGAGGTGTACCCATCACGCCACCGCCATCTAACGCTCAGACCGTGCTTCCTCGATTACCTCTCGCTTCGAACCCAAAGACTGCACCCAATCAGCGGCGGTCGCAGAAGATTGAAAGACGGCCATGATTGCACTCACCCGGCATCTATAGTACTTCGACCACAATCGATTATGCATCGCTTAGAGCGATGGGAACAGATGTCAGACTGAACTCCTTCGCGATACCGCCCTAAACAGCCACGGACAATGAGCGGCCGGAACCGGATAAGCGGAGACACACTCACAGGACAAGAGTCATACTCTTGCAAAACAACGACGTAGGTTTGTTGTCCCTCCGTAGGCGCCGCGGTAACCGTCATCGTCGACGGCGGCGCGATCCCTCCGTTCAGCGGCAATCCTGCAAGTGCCACACACAAGCCCGCCCGCCATCAGTAAGTGGCCATCCCAAACAGCGCGCCCCCAGCGTCGATCACGCACCAAAGTTGGAGACCACAAACGTGCCCATCTCCTGCACGTACGTGCCCTCCGCGAGCCGCCCGTCCGTGGTGACGTTCGCGAACGAGGGCGGCGCCTCGCCCTGTGTGGCGTACACCGTGAACGGCGAGTACGAGGACTGGCACCAGTTGTTCCGCGTATACGCGAACGCGAACGGCGTCCCGGGCTCGACCGCTGTGTCCGCGGCTGGGGCCGTGATCGTGCCCGTGAACGGGCTCTGCCAGACCTGCGTCCCCGCCTGGCGCTTTGGCAGCGTCGACGCCGAGGCGACGGTCACGAGCAGGGTGAAGGCGAGTGCGACGAAGGCGAACATGGCGTGGGGTGTTTCGACGGGAAGTTGGAGGAAGGGCCTCGGAGTCTGTGTCTGTAAAGCTTGACGTAGGGACTGAAGAAGTGAGCGTCCATGCAGGTCGCGTTTTATACCTCCCAGCGCCGTAGCCCTCGCCCGCACCTCCGCCGCCATCTGTCCAGAACGCTCCCAGCATCCTACGCCCATCCAGGCCCGGCACGGCTGTGTGAGCTGGAGCCGTGCTATCTCGCGCACCGCATGAGAGAGCGCAAATCGCCCGCGCCACTTCGACAGGCCGCGGCGACGGTAAAAGCGCGGCCGAAGCCCAGGAAGGCGGATGTCGCCCGCATCGCGCGTCGGGTCGCTCCCAACGCGCTCGGCGATGAATGCGCGAAGCGCGATGAGCGGCCGCCCAATATCCTGGCAAAACGTATCGAGAAGATTAAACTCGAGGGCTCTTGACACGTCTGTACAGATTACTCACCTATTTTGAGGACGCTCCAGGCCGTGCGCGGTACATCCTCACCCCGAGCCTGGTCGAGGCAGACGTTACGGTACGCATGAAGCGCATAGCCTAAAAATCGTTGAAGACCGGTCCCGACGGAAGTCCCATTGAGTGCGGTGACAGCGCGCGGGAAGTAGCCGGCCGAGCCCTGATGTGCCTAGGCAGGGACCCGCCCGCCTCTTTTTTGCCTTTCCGTGCCGGCGAGGCCTTTGCTTCACTTCACGAGAATCCAGTCAGTCTATTCCAGAGGGAAAAACCAAAGATGAATACGCGCGATAATACAATTGAACATGATACAACGACAGCTCATGACCCCTCGTTCCCTGCCAATCACCTTAGCTTCTGCTGCGGTATGCGTGAAGAAAGCGATCTCACCGGATTCCAGTGTCCATGCATCGTGCTTCCTGATATCATCTGCGGTGACAGTCGGCCGTACGTTGTCGAGCGATTTCATGAAATCGGCTATGCGCAGAGGCGGTTCCTGGAGCTCGTCGCTCTCAATCTCCGTCCAAGACTTCTCTTCGGCGTCAGGATCACCAGGAGAGCATGGCGTCCACTTTTTGACGTCGGCCACGTATTTGAAGTGGGTTGCCGAGAGAACCTTCCGGACAGGCTGCATGAGAGCATCTCTGACGACGATGGCGATATCGGAGCCCGAGTACCTGCGCATTACCCGCACAGTGAGGCTTCGAGATGATGCGCTGCACATGGGCAACGACGTACCCGTCCGTGTTGTCCGCAAGAAGACGATAGTCTTTCATCGCCAACTCGCAAGGGGTATCTCCGACATGGAGTTCGAACATTCGTCTTCGGGCTTCAGGACCGGGCAGAGGGATGTATATGCGCTTCTCAAACCTGAAACAAGGTCAAAATCTGTTCCTTTAGGGTGATCAGCCTGGCTTACCGTCGCTTGATAGCGTTGTCCAACTGCCACGGAATGTTTGTTGCCCCGAGCACCAACACTCCCGTATCGTCGTGCCCCACGCCATTCATCTGCACTAGGAACTCCGTTTTGATGCGCCTCGAGCCCTCCGACTCGGACTCGTTACGAGTGCCCGCGAGCGAGTCCACCTCATCAATGAAGATGATCGCCGGCTTGTTCTCTCGCGCCATCTCAAACAGCTGCTTCACCAACCTGCCCGCGCCCGCGTCAGCCAAACCACACCCCCACACGCCTGCCCGCAAAACGCGTACAGATCTACTCACCTTTCCGAGTCGCCCTGCCACTTGCTCACCAGGTCGCTCGAGCTCACGCTGAAGAACGTCCCGTTCGCCTCCGTCGCGACCGCCTTCGCGAGGAAGCTCTTCCCCGTCCCCGGCGGGCCGTACAGCAGGATCCCGCGCCACGGCGTCCGCTTGCCCGTGAACAGGTGCGGGAACTTGATCGGCAGGATGACCGCCTCCTTGAGTGCCTCCTTCGCCGCGTCCAGCCCCGCGACGTCCTCCCACTTGACGTTCGGCTTCTCGGACACGATCGCGCTCGCGAGCCCTGCGCGCAGCTTCTTGACCTCCGGGTCCTGGTCGTCCCCGTCGTCCTTGCTGCGGCGCCGCAGTATAGGTGCGAGAGGGAGATGACGCCGGTGTAGGGGAAAGTAGGGGAGGGGTGGGGTGGGGTGGGGGACACGGGTGGTTGGCATGAGCTCATACGCACGCATGGGCGCGACTGGGGGGACTCACCCTGGGCCTTTGCCTCCTCCTCCGGAACCACCACTCGCGCCGTTGACCCCGATGGCCTTCTTGGCACGCTTGTCCTCCTTGCTCTGGATGTGCTCCTTGAGGGTCTCGGCGCGCGCGAGGTACTCGTTGAACTTCGACTTGATCAGCTTCTTCGACCGCTCGTTCTTCTCGTCTGTGTCCCCGGGGGTTCAGCGTGGTCAAAACGGACGCACGAGAGGTGCACTCACACTTGAGCGCGAGCATGAAGTAGTCGAGAGCATTGGAGTACAGCTTGTAGGCCTCATCGTAGTCTTGCTTCTTGTCGAATTCGATCGCGCCCTGCACGATCTCTATCGCCCTCTGTTGGCACAATAAGCAACTGGAGAGCGTGGTGGGAAGTGGCCAGTGGATACTCACGTCTAAATTGTGGGACATGGTGGGGGCAAAGTGCGAAGGCAGCGGACGGCTATGCCGCAGTCGGCCGCTCGCTGAACGGTCTTCCAAATCCGGCGCTGCTTGCCGTTGTTAGGATCGCAGCCCAACAATCGCAAACAAATGACATCCGCTGCCAAGACTCTTCAGTGCCCTCGCCGCAGGCTAAAGGTGTGTTTTCGACAACGATACGATTACGCGTTCCATTACGGTACAACAAGCGAATTATCACTACAACATTCAGCCGAGTCCAGTCGGAGCCCGTGGTGAATGTCCTGTCAAGAGAGATCGCAATAGACATTCGCAATCCGTCGGGTTGCCCCGCAGTACTACGCACTACTACTGGCCGATCCGCGGGGAGTACTACTACATCGGTTCATGTTGAATCAGAGGAGGTAATAAAAAGCGAGATAGAAGATACGTCGCCATGGCGAGACGAATGTGCAAGACAGCCGGCTGTCCACGTTCCCGTCTCCACCGCAAGGCGGGAGGGGGAACAGTGGCGATATAGACAACCGACTCCTCTCCAACGGATCTGGTCAGAGACCGTGGACTTGTGCGTGGGCCATGGCAGCCGCGTTCACGTGGACATGAGTCGGCTTGGGCACCAGATGACAGACCTCGATGCTTTGTATCCATTTATCCTTGAGGATATCGTCGATGAGGATACGTGACTTCGGATTGGGCTCCAGCATCTTCCGGATAAGTGGACGACACGCCCGTGGAGAGAGGTTGTTGATAGTCGGAGGGCAAGCAGACTGGGCGGGCGTGTTGCAGGCTGAGACGTAAGCCGCGAAGAGCTGATCCGACTGCTGGGCCACGGTCCAAGGGAGCTCCTGGAAGTGCAGGCAATAATAGACGATCCCGCACGCCCAGATATCCACGAGTCGAGCGTCATAGGCTGATGCCCAAACATTAGGGGACACGGGTGGGTGAGGGAAGCGTTTGCTTACGTTTGCCTAGGAACTGCTCTGGGGCAATGTAAGGCTCACTGCCACAGAGCCCTGTCGACATGTGGATCGTTGACTCCCAAGGCAAGCGGTAGACGGTGGAGGCACCATAATCGCCAATCTTCCGCGCGCTGTGAGTCCATGCAAGCATGAATCAGTCGATGTCTGCACATACCTTGAGGTGGCCGTTCATATCGAAGAACAGGTTCTCCGGTTTGATGTCACGATGGGCCACACCTTGACTGTGTAGGTAGCCGACGCCAGTCAAGATCTGCCTGAAGCAACATTCGACCTCGCTGGGAGACATGCCACCACGTTTGATGGCAGCATACAGGTCGCCGCCGGGGCAGAACTCCATAACCTCGCACCAGTGCTGATTCTCATCCTGGACGAGGTCAACGGTCTCGACGATGTTCATGTGATGCAGGGTCGACGAGATACAGAACTCCGCCGTGAGCTTCTTGACGTACTCCTTCTCTGACTCGTTCTTTCTCCTCTTGCGGAACTCCTGTGCACCGCCAGTCGGCTGAGCACATCGCTATGATGACTAAGGCGCTCGAGGACTCACCTTGACGGCGTAGAGCTTCTCCTCGGTCCGGTCCCACTTGTGCGCGAGACGGACGACCGAGGTAGCACCCTTGCCAATAGCCACCTTCCCGCAGACACCGTACTTCTTGAGTAAGCTGGCGGTGCTGCCTCCAGCCTCCGACTTGCCGCCACGGTCCGAATCGGACTTCTTGCTGCTAGCGGTAGAACGGGCGGAAGACTTGCGCACGAGCTTGGGGGCACTGCCCAGCAGATCCCGGAGCGTGAACTTCTGACCACCATCGGAATGCACCGAAGGAGGCCCCTTGCGTGTCACCCTTTCATCGCCGGTGGAGGTAGTCGGTGATATCCGAGGGGCCGTGGGAGGTGGCGGGTCCTTCTTGGAGGCAAGTTTGGACATGGGGGCGACGGGAGGGTTGAGCTTGCCTCCAGATACTCCGGCGGACATGCTGGCAGCACGGCTCGGGGGCTGAGTGGACGGAACGCTCCAACTGCCATCGTACTCAGACGGCGAGGGCGACTCGCTCGAAGACGGGGTGATCGAGCCCGTCGTGGAGGACGAATCGCCTTTGAGGTGAGTGCCGTTGACGATGAGCGTCTCCAGGTTATCGAGTTTATGGATTGCTTCCAGGCTCTTGCGAGTGTGGCCGGGTTGCTTGGCGTATGAAAGAGTGTCGGGGGGAGGGAGTGGAACACTGGTGGTCGGTCCGGTTGGGGCACCATTGCGGACGGAGTGGCCGGAGGCGCGACGTGAACGAGATGCACCATTGGGACGGGCTATGTCCACGGCATAAGAGGGGTGGGTTGGTGAAAAATGGCGAGGGACTGACCATGCGGCGGTTTGTCTGAACCCTCTGGGCCCTCACCCTCGGTTTGAGCGGTATCGGTCGCGTTGGGCATTGTAAGACGGATAGGAGTAGAAGAGTTCGAGTGAATTTGAGAGGAAGAGAGGCGGGCGGGGCGGGTTGAGAGCGATGGGTCGGATCGTCGGGGCAGGAGCGTAAGAGTGGTCGTGGGGGAGGGTGTGGGCTGAACGTTTACTGGGCTATCATGACGGCAGGAGGGGGGCAAGGGCGGAGTGTGTGGTATGAGAGACGGGGCAAGGGCCCTCGCACAGGACCCTGGGGACGCTGCGAGAGAGGAGACGGCGAGGCGTTGACTGGGCTCGGGAGGCAGGAGGGCAACGAACCGGAGCAAAAGCCGGGAGAAGCGCCACCCGCGAGTGGTTTTTATCAGGCGCTTACCTAAGCCCCTTCCCGCCCAAGGCGTCTGTCGATCGCCTGTCTGCCCGCGCAGGCAGCCTGAGCCCTGTCGGCACAGCCCAATACCGCAGGGCACGTTCCCGCTCCTCCACCTTACGACACACCCTCACCATCCTCCCGCCGGCGCCCTCGTCCACGCCCCCGCGCCAGGGGCCGAGGGCTCCTCGCGGCCGTCCTCGTTGGTCTTCTCGCCGCCCACGAGGTGGTCACTCTGACGAGGGAGCGCAGGAACGTCGCCGCTGCAGCGAACCGGGCTGATTCCTCCTGCGACAGATCTGATAGAACGTCGTCCGATTCCCGAGCCAGACTCGTGCGCTGGATTTGTACACGGAAGCATCTGCCTATGTATCATGTCTCCCGAGATAACGAGGCGCCGCCCCCGAGGGCTTTTCGCTATAGCACCGCCAGGCCACACACCACCCGCCACATGATTGGCCACATTCCTCCAGTCTCCACGTCCCTCGTCCGCGTCATCTTCCCCTGGGGCCTGCTCATCGCTGCTCACCTCAGGTCTCAGCTGTGGCTGGCGCCCGACTGGCACTGAAGCCACACCCGGCATCTTTCCATCCGTCACCTGCGTGCGAGCCATGCAAGAACCTCCAGCGGTGAGCAAACTGACTGCCGTGAACGGCGTCCCGAACGACCAGCCTATTCGTCAGCAGTCGGAGCCGGTCGGACACGCACCCGCCTAGGCCTGTCGAGCCCTTCATGCAGAGAGCGGACAAAAAGGAGCGAAGCAAGTGGCTGCCCCGCATGAGCATCTCCACTCTGGAAAGATGGAGACTCGAGATGTCCGGAAGTCTCCGACAGTATTCGATTTGCGTGTGTGGCACAAGACAAGAGGCGTGCGAGAAGGGCGGGGTTGACTAGCTTGCGCGGGTACGGGGAGGTAACGGCCGAGATGGAGACCATCGTCGAGGGCGGGGTGGAAGATGTCGATGTGATGCGATGAGATGCGAGCCAGATTGCAGAGTCAGCAGGCCAGCTCTCGAGCAAGACAGGAGAAAGCCCAACGGAAAAAATAGCAGACCGAGACACCGACCGCGCTGGGTCTCGTGCCCGTCCTGCCTGCTGTATAGCTGCTCTGATAGAGTTTCGGCACACGCCGGGTGGCTGGCTCGCGTAAGCGCCCCTTCCTTTCCGCCATCGGCAAGGCATCGCTCCCTATCGACCCTCCTCAAGAACACGGTGAGCTCGCCGTCAGCCTCGTCGCCGCCAGTCTGCTAATCGACGTTCCATCTGCTCCTTCCGCTGCAGCCGCCATGGTTAACCTCCGGTCTCAAAAGCGCCTCGCCGCATCCGTCGCTGGCGTCGGCAAGCGTAAAATCTGGCTCGACCCCAATGAACAAGCCGAGATCGGGAACGCCAACTCCCGCACGCACGTAAAGAAGCTCATCAAGGACGGCCGTATCATCATCAAGCCCACCACCGTTCACTCCCGCGCACGCACCCGGGAGCTCCTCGCCGCCAAGCGCAAGGGTCGCCACACCGGCCCCGGTAAGAGGAAGGGTACCGCCGATGCCCGTATGCCCACCAAGGTCCAGTGGATGAGGAGGCAGCGGGTCCTGCGCCGGTTGTTGCGGAAGTACAGGGAGGCGGGCAAGATTGACAAGCACCTGTGCGTTACCTATGTTTTTCCTTCCATTAGCGTTCCCTCTCACGCGAGCGCTCGTTGCCATCAGCTACCACTCTCTCTACCAGAAGTCCAAGGGTAACGTTTTCAAGAACAAGCGTGTCCTCATGGAGTACATTCACAAGGCCAAGGCTGAGAAGTCCCGTACCAAGGTCCTCTCAGACCAGATGGAGGCCCGCCGTGTCAAGAACAAGGTACGTCTCCCAGCGTGCGCGCCCCGCTTACACATCGCCTTATCGCCGTCCCCAGGCTGCCCGCGAGCGTCGTGCTACGCGTGTGTTGGAGAAGAGGCAGGCGATCCTCGCCGTGGAGCACGATGCGCCCGTCCGGGAGTAAACCCGATGAATCCCCCTCCCTCCTTCCCGTGTTCACGCTCTCGCCCACCCTCACGTATTCATACGCTGTATCCTATGCTATGCGGCGCCCACGCCAAGCCCATGCCCGCATGTTCTCTTCCGCCATGCCCCACGATGTTGTCTACGCAGCACAGAACAAATCAAGGTATTGCCTTGGGAGTTGGAACTCGTTCGATGTATTCGATGTACACGTATCGCCCTAGCTGCGCCCCACGCAAAATGCAAATGGTACGACAACCCATATCGCAGCCCACGAACACACAGCGCAAGTCACTACCTGTATCGTGTGACAACCGCTTCGAGTCCACAAAGATCATATCGTGGCCTCGCCGAGATTGGTCGGTGCCGGCCATGAATGCATGACGCTTGCTCCGAGACCTCCGTGTTCGAATGAGGGTTCTCATATACGGCGTATCCGACGGGTGAGACAGGCCACATTACGTCTAAATAGTAGTAACTAACACATGTGGGCCCCTGGACCCTCGGGCCCGACCCCCTGCCCGCCCACGGAGCGTTACAGCAAGACGTGGGCGAGGTCGATGCACGTCCGCTTCACGTCGCGCTCGCGTGCGACGCGTTCCACAGCCTCCCGGGTGACGACGACGGGCGCGCCCGCGTCGGCGGCATCCGCGCCGCGCGCGCCGAGCAGCCCGCACTCGTTCAGCGCGAACGCGACGTCCTCGACGCGCAGGTTCGTCGCGCGCGCGACGTCCGCGAGCGTGCAGCGCGCGACGACGTGGCTCGTCGCGCTCCCGTCCGCGTTCGCGGTCGTCTCGATCGTCCGGAGCTGCGTCCACAGCGGGTCTGCGGGTCGATGTCGCCGTCGTCAGCGGGTCCGATCCGACAGGAGTGGAGATGAAAAAAGACAGAGGGAGCGGAAATCGGGACGGCGGACGCACCGTGCGTGTCGTTCGCCTGCTCGGTGCGCAGCGCGACCGCGGACGCGGGAGCTCCTCGCCGTCCCAGCCCTTCATGCTCTTCCGGCGCTTCTTGGAGAGGGAGGACGAGCGGGAGCTGCCCTCCGTGTCCCGCGCCGGCGACGGCGCGAGCGCGTCCGAGACCTCGCCGAGAGCCCGGTCATCACGACCTGCGCCGTGTCGAGGGGCATGACGGACAGCAGTCGCCTGCAGCGCGTCACACGCGGGGGCCGGCGGGAGAGGAGCGGCGCGGAGGGGTCAACGGGCGCGGCGGGAGAACGGCGGCACGCACCGGAAGAATCGGACGAGGGTGGCGACCCAGTACGTGAGGTAGCTGCGGAGGCCGAGGTCGGAGAGCGGCCGCTCGGGCGTGCCAACCTTGCCTGCGCGGCGCGAGAGTTCGTAGCCTGCGGACGACCAAGATCAGCGACGGTCCTCGCCGACTCTGACGACGCCGCGGGGAAGCACGGGCACGCACTGAATTCGATGAGGAGCATGCCGTAACCTTTCTTTTGATAAGGGGGCAGCACGACTATGCAGGCGAGGTTGTAGTCGTCGAACGACACTTTCTCCTGTGGGAAAGGTTCGTTTCAGCGGAAATACCGAGCTGTCGGCGAGTGCCAATCACCTTCGAGAAGAAGCCAAGGACATGGTCCCGTTGCGAATCCGCATCCGTGACGATGTAAAACAGGACTGGTTGGAGGTGTGGGCCGCAGAGCAGGGCAACGTGCGTCGAACACAATCAGTACGTCTCGCACGCCGTAAGGGACGGGTGCCTCACAATTGTCACAGTCGAAAAAGAGGGTCTTTATGTCAATGAACAGCTTGCCGAAGAGCGACAGGTTCTGGCAGTAGAGCTGCGGGAAACCGCCGTCAGACAACGTGAACGCCGCAGCGCGAACGACATGTTCACGCTTCGGCAGCGCACACGCACCTTCTCCTTTGCGCCGTCGACCTCCCAGATGATGTGCGCTCCGCGCTGATAGACTTTGCGCCCGGGTGGACTTCGCCGCGCGCACTTTTTCTAGCTTCCCTGGCACGCCTCAGTTCATGTGGACGAGGAGAAGACGAACGGGGCACGGACGATGTGCAGCTCCCAGGAGATACCGTCGGCCATGTACTTGAAGCAGCGGTCGCACACCCAAAGCGTCGCGTTGTGGCCTAGTCCCGACGACCGCGTTGCGCCTCCGACGAAGAGGTCGGACGTGCGGCCATGCGCGGGCTGCGCAGGGCGAGCGACGCCGGACCCACGGACGGACGAGCTCTGGCCCCTCGCGCTTGGGGCGGCAGTTTCATCCGCCTCTTCAGACAGAGGGTATGGAGAGAAGTACCTGGACTGCGTTAGCGTGGTGGCACACACACAATGAGAGCCCGTTCGGTGCCTTCGAGAAACGCCGCGAGAAACGCCGTCGAGAAAGCAAGCTCCGAAGGTCCGCCCCCCTCCTGGGTCGCGCTCGTCTTCCTCGCTTGCACAGTTCCCACTGTAGCACAGAGCGTTGACACTAGAAGCGTAGTCCCTGGAGCACATGCACAGGAGGCCCGCGAGTCCCCAGGTGGATTACGCGCAATCTAGCATCACCGCGCTGCTCTCCCAAAGCGGGGATGATTTACGCCTACGCGCCGCGGCGAGGCGAGAAACCTCCGCGAGCACGCCTCGCCCATGGCCCCACCGCGGTGCCCGGACCCTGCGCAGCGACCACGGAGGCTCAGGCGCAAAAAAGGAGGGCAGGACGAGGAAGGAGGCCAGACTCACCACGTCCTGATCTGCCACCGCCCAAAGACGACCTTTTCAAAGTTCCTTTTCGCGGTGATCTGCCGCTGGTGCTCGATGTCCAGCTCCTCCTCCGTGGCCGTGATCGCCCCCGCCCGCCCCGTGCCCACGACACCACCGCCCACGCCCGCGAGCGCAGGCGCAGGCGCAGGTGTGGCCGCCGCAGCGGATCCTAGGCCCGCAGTGCCCTCCCCCTCGTCCTCGCAGAGCCCCTCCACGCCATGCTCCCGGCGGACGGCGTGCCCAACCTCGCCCCGTTCGCGCCCAGGCCGCCCGAATCGCCTCGTTTGCGTTTGCGCGTCCCGGCGCCGTTCGTCGCGCCCTCGTGCGGGCGCGCCAGGCGGACGCTCTCCTCCGGCACCCATTCGTCCAGGCGTTTGTCCTTGTTCACATAGTGCACGTAGACCGCTTCTTCGTGGCGATCGAGTACGTAGGCTTGGGCTGCGAGTGCGAGGGACGTGTGAGCCGAGGGGGCGCGACGAGGCTGGGTTTGATGGTGCTCACTCTCTGAGCCATCCTTTGAAACAATATATAGCTCCTGGTCGCCCGATGGGTTCTCTCTGACGGGAATTACCTTCGGCATGCGACCAAACACGTCGCGGAATAGTCTGTTCTGAAGGAAAGAGGGGGCGAGTGAGAGAGAGGCGGAACAAGATGGGTATGGAGTGTAGCCAAGCACAAGCACTCGTCTTGTGGCCCAGTGTTCAAAACCGCGTTCAGCGCGCGCTAAGCGCTTTCTCGGTAAAGTCTGTCGACATACGACGACATAGACAAGTTCAAGTGTTCGTCTTTTTCAGCCGACGTCGTACTTGGACAAGGGAGATGGAAACTCGATGTTCGATTACACGATGGACACCACATTCTACAGAACCCGAAAGAGAGATACAGCTACGGACACACTTCGAGAACCGCCTTCACGAGTCAATCCACGGGGTCGACGGCGACGTCACTAGCCGCAACGTGCAGTCTGGCCCCCCGAACGACGCGTCCTCCGCCGTCTCGAACCGCGTCGGCGTCATCAGCGTCCCCCAGCCAAGCCCGACCCCCGCCCCGCCTCCCGCGCGCGCGGACCCCGCGGACCCGTCCCAGCCGTCCCCGTATATCTCACGCATGACCTCGTCCATCAGGTCCTCCTCGTCCTCGAGCTCGTTCCCGCTGAGCTGTCCCGCCCCGCGCTCGCCGTGCTCCGTCGTCCGCATCCGGACCTTGCCTGGTTCCACGGGCGCGGGAACGTCTTTGTCCGAGCTCGAGACGTCTTTGTCCTTGTCCTTGCTCTTGCTTCGGCTCTTGCCCTTGTCCTTCTGCTTCGGCCGGACCCCAGGCTTTGAGCGAAAGATGGCGTGGCAGGTCCGTGGGGTAAGACTGGCGAGATTCATGCTCAGGCGACGCTCGTCGGGGCGTCGTGTGTAGCCTATGCCGCCGCCGATCTGCTCGAGGCCCTTGGGTAGTTCACGAGGGACTGGAGGAATAGGCGGGACAGGTGGCACGGGCGGGATGACTTGATGAATAGGAGGGGATGGAGAAGGGATCGAATCTACCCGAGACCTTCGCCGGAACTTGTTGGTCCAGTGGCTAGAACTAGTGCTAGACGAATCGTCCCTGAGGCGTAGAGAGTCCCGAGAGAGCGTCAAGATAGACCTTGATTTGCGCAGGATGCCAGAAGAGTTCTCGTTCACTGTGTGTAGAGAGGACTGCCTGAGAGAAGCGACTGCATCGAGTTCGTCGAAGTCAAGGCTAGCATACTTGCGGAGGGCGAAACGAGAGTTGGGTGGCGTCGGTAGCCCATTCAGCACATTTTTCAAGGTGTCCAGTGTCGGAGTAGTTGCACGAGTCTGACCGTCGAGGCTCGGCGGTGCAAGCTCAGAGGGTGGACGAGACGGATACTTGGCCATCGCAATGATATTGGCGAGACTGCTTCCCGGAGAAATAACAAGGGGACTCTTGCTTAGCATCTGGGTATCAGGCTGGGAAGCGAGAGGCGAGGGACGTGTACTGAAGTGGCTGTTGCTGGCTGAGATAGTGGAGTTGACAGATGGGAGATCAAGCTGCCAGTCAAACGCAAAGGTAGGTGTCGTATCAGCTAGCCGGGTCCGCAAGGCTGGAGGTTGCGGGATGGGCTTGGTGTCATCTTCACTAGAAAATGAGAGCTCTGCTCTGTCCGCTGGAAAGAAAGGCGCTGAAACCATGATTAGCTTGGCGTCGATGGGGTGCTGGATATGAGTACCTTCAAGCTGCTTTGCAACGACATCCTCCCAAAGGCTGTGAGGTCGCGACGGTCAATGGTTCAGACGACCTTCGAGCTAAGGGGAGCTCACATGTCATGGAAATATTCGTGCATTTTCACACCGGTACCATCGATGCGCATTGACGGATTGCGGTTCAGACACTACACCAGCCGATGAATGAATCTCGATGTACTGTACAGCTAAGGATGTACTCACTTGACTAATGAGGTTCCAAGCCGTAGGATCTGTGCGCCGTGCGCTGCTCGTTACGCTGCCATGGATGATGTAGCTGCGTACGATCGCAGGCGAGGTGGCGACAGTTTCGTTGACGAAGGGGTGCTGGCAGCGTGGCATAAGGTCTCCAGACAATATACGAGCTGTTGATCCACTTACCTCTCCGGACAGTAGCCAGTGCACCAAAAGCCCAAAACTCCACCAATCGACTGCGCTGTTGTACTGCCATCCGAGAACAATTTCCGGGGCCTGATATTGAATTTCATCGGCAGGTGGGATGGTGGAATGCCCTCCACCTCGAAGCAATGTGTTTCCCCGACGGATGCACGTCGCATTGTCAAAACCGGATATCAAGATGTGCCCGTCTTCGCCAATAAGGATGTGTTCAGGCTTCACAAGTGTATGCACAATCCCTGCCTCGTGGATAGCCGATATTCCAGCGACCTGTGAACATGAGTCAGGAAGGTGTTCAGCGGCCCTATGCGACATACATACCAGTTCTGCGGCGCATAACAATGCTTGACTACGAGCCAATGGTCCTTCCCGCAGAACTGCATCCTGCAGATTCCTATCGCCCATGGGATCCTGGTTTATAGCGATCGGACTTCAGTCTCTCTGATCAAGCCCCCCAAGAAGTGAAAGACGCACCACAACAACATACATTGCCCGCTCATCTTCAAAGCTCCACCACAACCGCAGAACGAACTTGGCCCTGCTCTCCGCCAGCAGCTTCAGCGCAGCTTGTTCCCGCACCATGCGCGCGCACCCGTCCACCCCGCTACACCCCGACTTCCGCGACAGCTTCACCGCGTACACGCCGCCCTCCGATTTTCCAATCTTGCGAGCGAGAATGACCTCTTCACCCGAAGGACCAGGGTCGAGTGAGCGGATGTACTCGAAGTGGGTTGCGTTTACAGTCGGTACCGTTTTCCGCTTGAGCTGCATGGCATTCATCAGCATCATATGTGTTAAACATATGATACTGATGCGTACCTTCATAGAAGTCCGGATGTTTGAGTAACCTTCGGACGCTTCCACAATCGCGCTTAATGGCCTCCTCCTCCTCTCCTTCTTCTTCACCACCATGATTTCCTGTGACGGAGCGAGGACCAGGTGGTCAGGACGCGAGAAAATAGCAAGCATGTATAGCGCATATACCCACCTCAATATCATCGTCCAGCCATCCCGAGTCCACATCCTTGATGCACCCAATATTCTAGCTTGTCGTCAGCCCAACGCAAATACACGTCACTCCGCATGCCCATACCTCAACCTCAAAGCTTGCGTCAGGCAGCAATGACCCCTGCCCAGACGTTGCCGCCGACAACAGCGTCAAGCCCGTGCGCCGCTTGAAGAACGACTCCTGCTCCATCCTCTCAGCGCTCCCCATCATCGACGCTCAAAGCGACGCTCACCGGAATCGCCGTGAACTGCGTGCGCGGCGGCGGGACGGGCGACGGAGAAGGCGCGCGCGAGCCCGCCTCGCTCCTGCTGTCCTTCGGACGGGCCCCCGCGCCGAAACCGACACCGAGCATCGAAGGCAGGTGCGGCTCGGACCTGCTGGCCGCGGCCACCCCGCGGCCCTCGCGCCTGAGATCCAGGTTCCGGCCGAGGACGGTGGTCTAGACATGGCCAAGAGGACAGTCAACGGTCCGGCTTGGGATGCATGGCGTCACGATGAAGTCGGTGGAGGCTCACCGGGCGCGGGGTCACGGCGTCGCTCCAAGAGACTGGCATGCGCGTTCTTGTGCGTAAATATGGGGGTAGATGTGAGGGGGAGGAGGAGGCGGGTGATTATGTACGGAGAGAGGACGTGGGGGACGAGAGCAGGGCCAGACGCGAGTCGAACATGCGTCGCGGCTAGATTGTGCTTCTCGATCGCGCCCCGACGCCCGGATCTCCGATAGTCGATGACGAGCGCGGGGGTGGGGAAAGCCCCTGACTCTGAGGCCTGAAAACTGGTCGACAAGTTGAGGGCTTTCTGCCAGTCGATCACGAACGTTGTGTGTAACGATGGGGTGGGCGCGAATGATATACAAAACGTCTCTAGTCTACAACATGCAATGCATAGCACTGCGAGATTTATGTTTGTGGTATGGGGCGCAGCAGCGGGGCGCCGCACATAGGTCATGACATCCATCGGGTAAAAAGTCATAAATATGCTCTCGACTTTCGCGTATTGCGAGACTAATCTTCAAAGCTGGGATCGCTGAAGCCTGCACGGTCTCGCATGCCGGACATGCCGCCTAACTTGCCCTTCCCGCGAGCTTTCCGCCCGTTGAGCTCCTTGTATGCCTCTCGCATCTCAACCTTCGTGGGACGCGAAACAACCTCGGCCTCTTGGCGCCACTTCTCCTCCCGGAGTTCACGCGGAGTCTGCTGTCCAGACCGTGGAGACTCGTAGCCGGATATCGATCGCGGACCGGGAGATTGGGGAGGGGAGCGACGAGGGATGGCGTTAAGGTAGGTAGTACGCTGCGTCGCAGAGGAGTCAACACGAGGACGGTTTACCAAAGGACCACCATTACTCACCCAGTTCTGCTTCGACTCACGCTTTGTCCACTTGCCCGGCGGGAGACTATCGTCGTGGAAGTTCTCCTTCCGGTAGTGCTGGAACCAGACTGACCAAGCCATAAGCGAATGACTCATTTTGCAGGAACATACTACTCACCATAGTTCAACGTCTGACTCTTGCTCCACTTCTTGGACACCCTTGAGCAACGTGAAAGTTCCCTAATCGACAGCTGGGAGAAGATGCGCTGGGCAACATCGGTGGGCAGTGCTCGGAGCGGATCTCTTGTGGGGCCCCGAGCAATTTGCAGAGGGCTCGAGCGGCTGAGGCCACTGAAGCCGTTGCGTGTGGGGGAGTGGGGGCGGGAAGTAGGGCGGGAAGCGGGACGAGACCTCCCGGGGCTCCCAGGGAGGGATACCTGCAGATGGAGGAACTTAGGCAGGCCCGCGGGACGAAAAAAGGAGTAGGCTGACCACATTGATCAATTCATAATCGTCGTCGGGGGAGGTGCGCCCGCTGCCGAGTGCTTTGTCAAGGGAATCGAGAGTTTGCGTGCGGAGGACGTCTTGCAACAGACTCATGGTGGGGGAGATGGGAGTGGAGGGTGAGGAAAGGTAGAGGTCGCTGAGAGCGCGCTAGCCGTCCTCTTAAGTCGGTAAGCGACGGACTAGCACGTGCATGACGTCACGAGCCGACCTCAGGGCCGATTGTCCGGCTGTCCTCACATGGGAAACAATGGCGGCCAGCCGACAGCAGCTCATTCTGGAATGCACAAGTCCGTCGGGCAGGGGCTCGGATGCAGCAGCCGCAGCAGAGCATTCGCATCGGGTATCCACCAACGAAGTTGCGGAGTATGCGCTCGATTCAAACGTAAACGTCTCTAAATGGATGTAGAGTGCAAGCAGAGCCACCCCAGACTTTCCTGGGAGTTGCCATAACGCTCAGACTGCTTTCTTGCTTCTCTGAGAAACCATAGATACCCCCATAGAATGCGGGCTGCCTAAGGGAGACTAAAATGCTCCAGGCAGTGTGTTCGCTGGTGGTGGCGAGAAGGTCAACCGGCCCGCCTGGACCGCGTTCACCAGTGGGGGAAAACGCCCAGCGCGATTCGCACAGTCCAGTCCATCTCAATCCCCGACGCACGGGCCTCCCAGCCTCGACCCAGACACCCAATATTGTGGTCCCAGGCAAATCTCCTCCGAGTCCCGACCACACCGACCTCGTACCGCATACATCGACTCCTCCTTCAACGGCGATCGAACGCGTCCCAGTGTCTCCGTGTCGACGTCCACGCGCCCCTCTCACCGCCTCCTGCCTCCTGCCTCCACCTTCCGTGCCTCCACATCGTAACCAAGGCACCCTCGAATCCACTTAACGCGTTCATATCCGCCTGCACGATGCCCAACCCAAACAGCCACCCACCATCCGGCCTCCCCTCCTCTCTTCCGCCTCCCCCACTGCCGGCATCCGCCCCCGTGCCCCGCGCCCGCGCACAAGCCTCACGCAAACGCGCCGCGGCCAATGACGACGCGGCCTACCACGCCGCCGCGGGCACGAAGCGCGGCGCCGCCGAACGTGCAGAGGGAGACCGCGAGCGGACGAAGCGCAAACGCGTCGAAGCCGCCGCCGCCGCCGCAGCCGCGAACGCGCACGTCCCAGAGCGGGACGAGAGGACCAGTCTGGTGAGCACCCTCGTCCTGCGTTCTTCGACTCCTTTTTCTGTTCGGGTCTGCGTCGTGGCTTGATAGGATGGTGTTTGCGGTGCGAGAGGGGGATGAATGGGAGTTTGCGTTTGCGTTTTCGGCCCGCGGTGCAGCACGGCTCGTCGGGAGCATCGGAGGTCTGTGTGGCATGTGGTCGCTGAAAAGCCCCGGCGTGCCGTGCTGCGAGCCGAAATGACCGACGTGTCCTCGTGCACGGGCGGAGGAGGGAAGCCCAATGACCGCGAAGGGGTTTTGAGCCAGTTTGGCGGTCGCCTTCGATCATGCCCACCGTGGGACGACGTTGGACTCATACGCCCGCATACCGCCCCTGCGACGGTTCCAGGACCGTCAGCGCGGTAGACACACCGCGCACCGTCGCCGCCTGTCGCGGCATGTCTGCGCTCTCCATCCACACCCTGGATGGCCGTCCCGTCATGAAACTGTTCGACGGTCTTTGTCGAGCTCATCGTGTGGCTTCAACAGCCGTCGAGTATTCTTGATTGTGCTGTCCTGCCGGCGCAAACCTTGTGCCTTGCTGATGCTCGGGGGCACACATCGGGTGTCGTAAGTGGCAGTAACATTGTATCCGCTTGACAGGTTCAAGGCGCGCGCGGTGGTACTTGGGAAGGCTTTGTGTAGCCTGCTTTCGGGGAGGCTGGTCTCTATGCGACGCTCCACTGTCCGCGGTCTGCCCCCCGGCCGCCTTGACTCATACAGCGGTTGGTCCAAACGTCGATTCACGCCGCAGTGGTATTCTGTTGCCACCTGTTGACAGATCTACCACATATCTACGAGCGTATTTTTAGGCCTCCAGCCGAATCGAGGGCACTGCGGATATACATCGCCAGCGGGGCGGAGCTACTGCTTACTGGCTGTTCCGCGTTCTTACTTCCGGGCACTCCGATTCCTTGCAGGCGAATCCCCTGGTTCTCGCCTGCACAGATCATTTGTTGCGCACATCACCGGGCGGTCATCAGCCTCTATATGCTCCTCCAGGCGGGAGATGCTTTTCTTGTGGAGCGTGGTCGTCTTGCGATTGGTGCACGACTGACGTTCCCTTGAGAGCGCATCACTCGCTGCGCCAATTGATGTTTTTTTCCTGCTCGGATCTGCGGTGTGACAGCCTCTGATACGGACTTCGCTTCCGCCACAGGTCGACTTCACCGCGCTGCCCACAGACGCGCTGCACCGGTACCTAGCGCTATTCGACCTCATCCCCGACCTGGACCCGTCCCCATGGGGCGTCGAGGACCCCGGTCCCCCCAGTGCGTTGCTGAAGCCAAAGAGCCATGTGCCCGGGCACGGGCACGCCCTCCGGCGCACGTCGACGGCAAGCCCGGGTCCGGTCGGCGTTGGCACGTCGGCAAACGCGAACGGGCGATCACGACGCGACCCCGGGCGGCGGCGGAGTGCGCGACTGGTCGACGAGGAGCGGGTGCCCGCGCCACCGCCGGTGTACGGAGACATTGGGGACGTGGACGGAATGTTGGCGACGATCGCGGAGCGGCACTTCCGGGACGTGCAGGTGAAGGAGGTGGACACGCTGGCGGAGTTCATGTTCAAGGTCAAGACGATTGGGCGGGTGAGGGACATCTGAGGCGTCGAGCGCAGGGTGGGCTGTGGGGAGCTCGGGCAGGCATCGGGCGCGAGGCGTTGGAATAACGAGAGCGCTTTCCCGATATAGACCAGAACGATTGCTTCCTGGCAGAGGTCCCAGGGCTCTTTAATTTTAGGTGGCCAGTGGGGAGTCCCCTTGGCGACAGTGCGAACGCTCGCTGCTCGCGCTCCGCCTCTCCCATCCACCCGCCCCGCCCAACGCCATCCCTGTCAAGCCTGCGCCACTGCTATATATACCAATCGAGCACCCAGATGCCCTCACGCTTTGTCCCCCTCCTCCCTCCACCCCTCGTTCCTCCTTCGCAGCAGTGCTGCCTGGTCCTGATTTCTTGTGCGTTCTCCTCCTCCTCTCCCGCGAACCATGCTGATCCCCCTGCAGTGGCCGGTTCCATCCCGTTCTAAGTCTTTCGCACATTCCAAAGCCAGCTTCGCGTCGACCCGCAAGTTCCCACAGTCTTTTCAGCCATGAAGTTCGCCACCTCCCTCGCTGCCCTTCTCGTTCTTGCCCCGGCTCTTGCCTCGGCTACCCCTCTCGTATGTACCGTCACCGTCGATGGTCAATACCCTGCTCACGCTTCGCGCAGGGTGCTCGCGCCAACAACTTCGGTGGCTTCAAGGGTGGTAACAAAGGCGGCAACAATGCTCAGAAGGGCGCGACCACTGCCAAGGCTGCACCAGCGCTGCTGCCTCGTCGGCTGCTGCCTCGTCCACCGCTGCCTCCAGCGCGAACAGTGGCGACGCCCAGTCCTCGTTGAGTGCGTGGCTATGTTGACATCATATCCATATGTCCGATTGACACGTGCCCGCCTCTTCAGCCCTCCTTCAATCGGTCATCGCCACCGGGTTTGCGAACAACGGCCAGAACCCGCCCGTCGCCGGCCAGGCCGCCTCTACCACCTCGACGAACAACTACATCAACTTCTGCGCGACGGTGGCCAACCTGCCAATCACGAACGGCCTCCAGGTCAAGACCGGCTCCTGCAACCCCGCGCCGATGGGTGTGATCGCGGCGACGACCAACATGCCGTCCTGCAAGTTCACCTTCCCCAAGAACGGCGACACCGTCCAGCCCAACGTCAACTTCACGCTGACCATGGCCATCTCCCACCTCAACACCGGCACCTTCACCAACCCGGACTCGACCTACTTCGCCGCGCCCCAGACCGTCGACTCCGCCGGGGACATCACCGGCCACTCGCACGTCGTCATCGAGCAGCTCACCTCCCTCGACCAGACCACGCCCACGGACCCGAACCAGTTCAAGTTCTTCAAGGGCCTGAACAGCAAGGCCGAGAACGGCGTCCTCAGCGCCGTCGTCGCCGGCGGTCTCCAGCCCGGCTTCTACCGCATGGCCTCGATCAACTCGGCCGCGAACCACCAGCCGGCGCTCGTCGCCATCGCCCAGCACGGTTCGCTCGACGACATGGTCTACGTATGTTCTCCGCCGTCCCTCACGCCACATGTCGCTGACGTACGTTCCTCGTAGTTCACGGTCTCTGCGAGTGGCGCTGCGTCCGGTGGCAACAACGCTGCGTCTGGCAACGCCGCCGCGTCGTCTGCCGCTGCTGCCACGACCGCCGCCGCCTCGACTGCCGCGCCGCGAAGACCACGACCGGCGCGAAGACCGGCAAGGGTGGCTTCAGGGGCGGCGCCAAGGGCGGCTTCCGCAACCGCGCCCTCTTCAACTAAGCGGTAGTGCGCCCTCGTGAGCTCCTGCGAGTCGCGCCGTGCGGTAGCCGATACCCCCCTTCGTTCTCGTCGCCCTTGATAGAGGCCGTGCCCCTGCGCGGTCGTGTTTGGAAAACCCCCGCTGCCGCCGGCGTTGTGTCGTGTGTTGCTCGCACTTCATTTGCTTATTCACTGTCTTGCTGTGGCTCGTGTATCGCTACGCTTTGTGTACATTACTTATTACGGTCGATGCGCTGCTGTGCAGAAAGGCCTCCGTCTCGAATGGATGGATTGGAATCTGGAATCCCCAGTGATCACTGCATAATTATCGTGTGCGCCTGGATGAAAATGGGCTGGCCTCGGTGGGGACAAAAATTGATGTAGAGCTATGAATGCGTGACTGATCACAACAGGAGCAAAACAGATGCTGCCCCAGTGAGGCTCGAACTCACGACCTTCCGATTGCAAATTGGTAACAGTCGGACGCTGTAACCAACTCAGCCATGGGGCACATGGTTGTAGTGTAAACGTGACATATATGGATAAAAGAAAAACCTGGAGTCGATCCCACGAGCCCGCCGCAAGCGAGGGCTCCGTACAGGCATCTGTGGAGGGGAGTGCAGGGACGGTCTGAAGTGATCAAATCAGGTGGCTGCAAGTTTGTAGAACATCTCGCTCTGATTCCCGACACCGTCCATGCTCATACCAGCGCGCCCAGCCTCTCCCTCACCGTCTGCACCGCGCGCTCCTCCTCCTCCTCGATCCGCGACGAGTGCACCCACCTCATCTCCTCCTCGATCGTCCGCCCGATCGGCTCCAGCTGCACGCGCGAGTACCCCCCACGGGCGCATTCGTCCTCGCTCACATCCTCCCACCCGAGCCGCTGGAAGTGGTAGAGGCGGGTGCTCTCGCGCGACCGGCGCGCGACGTCCTGCGCGAACGGCCGGCGCACCGCGTCGTACACCGCGAGCGCCGCGGCGAGGGTCGCGCGCGCCACGGCCGGCTGCGCGAGCACCGCCGCAAGCACGTACCCGTCCTCGATCGCCTGGCCCGCGCCGGAGCCCTGGCTGGGCGTCATCGCGTGCGCGGCGTCGCCGAGGAGCGCGACGCGGCCGTGCACGAAGGTGGGGAGCTCCTTGAGCGTTTTCACCGCCCAGTCGGTCGGGCCGTCATGTGCTGGCGACGCGGGCCGTCAGCACCGCCGGAGAGCGGATGCGTGCTGAGCGGAGGGGACTCACGCTGAGGATGCTCCTGATCTTGGGGTCCCAGCCGGGGAAGTGCCTCAGCACCTCCGCCGCCGTCGACGGCGCCGACCAAGGCCCGTCGTACTGCGTGCCCTCGCCCCCGGGCGTCTCGACCATCGCGGCGACGTTGTACGCCTGCCCGCGCGAGATGGGGAAGCAGACGACGTAGCGCCACTTGCCGAGGAACTGCGTTGCTCGTTAGTTGGCTCGAGACGACAGCAGGGGCGCAGTGCGTGCGCGGGGCTCACGATGTTCATCATCGGCTTCGCCAGGTCCTTGACATCTTGCGTGAGCTTGTCCGCGGGCACGACGGCGCGGTACGCAACCATGCCCGACCACACCGGCGGGATCACGTCCCGCAGCGCCGCAGCGCCGTCGGCGTCACCGCGCTTCTCCGCTGCGTCCGCGAGCTCGTTGTACATCTGGTGGCGGATCGGGCTCTTGATGCCGTCGGCGCCGAGGAGGACGTCGCAGCTCGCAGTCGTGCCGTCCTTGAACGTGAGGACGATCGGGGCGGTGAGGTTCTCGGGCTCTGCGTAGCGGACGAGACGCTTCGAAAAGTGGAGGGTCTGCTCCGGGTTCTTGAGGTGGTGCATGAAGACTTGCTGTATGTGCGCGCGGTGGAAGGTGCGGATCGGGGACGTGAACTCGAGGATCTCGGCGGACTCGTGCTGATCGCCCTTCAGGTAGCGCAGAGGCACCGCTTCAGAGTCAAAGATGTGTCAGCCGCTCCGAAATATGGTTACGGCACATCGGTGCTTACTGCCGCTGTCCGTTGTTCCGCTTGCCTCGAGCAGAGCCCGCTCCAGGCCGAGGGATTGGAGGATCGCCCAGACGCGAGGGGCCACACCGATACCGGCGCCGACCTCCGCCAGCTGGTGAGCACCTTCGTAGATGTCGAGGTCAAGGTCGGGCATGTTCTTCTGCAGAGCCAAGGCACATGACAGCAACACGGAACTTCTTGTCGGATGCAGTGGTGGCCATTATGCTATACAGTCCTCAAGATAGATGATATGTGAGTATGTAAACGAGAACGGCAGATACTGGTGAGCCTGTCCCCCGCAGGGTAGGCTTATATGTAACCAGCGACGCCGGCATCGAGCGATTCCTGGTTCGATGAATGAAGGCAGAAAAAGCACGTCACAGGACCGTTCATGGGCCATGGCACACAAGTCTAGGTGACCAGGAGGAAGCCCGAACTGTTTGCTGAACCATTCTGTGACCATTCATTCCGCTGTAAGCTGGAGGGTGGGACTTACGTCAGGATGGGTTCTGTGGTCCCATAACGCCATGCGGCCTCGTGCCGCGAAGAGCGGACAGAAATTGAAAGTGCAGAGGATGACTGCACCGCTCACGAAAGACTGGCCAACGCCGTGTGTGCCCGTACCGACCAGATCCCGACCCGTGCGGTGCCGTCGGCATCTGGTTCGATTCGCCCTGGCACTGTGTCTCCAAGCACCTATGTACCGAGTCGAGGCCTCTCGAATGCGAGAGGAGGGGTTGAGGAGGGGTCGAGGAGGGGGTCGGGTTTGATCTGATGTCCCGTGGAGAGACGAATCCAGACTGCTTTGTCATCTGGCGCCAAGACATATCCCTCTGACCACGCATCCACTGCCCGGCATGCCTACCGCTGAGTATTGATTCAAGCGGGGTCGCTTGTGACGCGCAGGGGCATATCAAGAATTCCCAGATGGATGACTCCAGTAGCAACTTTTCTGCTCAGCAGGCTCGGATAGCGGTGCGCCTTTTCTATAGCTCGATTTCGGGACTTTCTTTAACTTATATGTTTGACAGAGAGTGAAGCACATATGCGATCAGTACCCTCCAGTGGTGAACCTCACTCAGAATGACGTTCCCCGTGGTACGGAGTACATCTCCCCCAGCACCAACCTCAACCCCGACTTCGTCTTCGCTCAAGACCCGGAATTCGACCCTGTCGCCCGCGGGCCCTTCCTCCGTAACTACGGATGGGTTTTCACCGATAAATGGGCAATCGAATATGCAAAGAACCTCAAGCTCACTGTCGACATTGATGAGGATGAGGATGAAGATGAGGAGGAGCTCGTCCAGCTTTTGGGTGGAGAGACGACGGTCGATTGCGCGTCCATTACCGACGACTCGGTGGTCATGCAACACAAAGGTCTACGCCAGGCTGTGTCCCTCGCGGTCCAAGATGATATCATCTCGGATATCGAAAATCGGATGGGCTTCAGAGTCTTCCTCGGATATCCGGTCTCGTTCGACTATGATTTCATGGTCGTTCTCTGCACCAACTACAACATCGCGAAGCGGCAATGGATCATCGAGCGCGTCACGAGGAAGGACATCGACGAAACTATCGCGACTCTCAGCGAGATCATGGCGGAGCCTGGCGAGGAGTCGAAGGAAGTGATGTGGTGGTACGCTCAAGAGAACCCGATCGTGCGTATGCGCTCATGGTTCGAGTTGAGCGAGTCTGACTTTACTCCTTTACAGGGTTGGTATTGACCTCGTGGTGTCTGCGGGCCAGTCCGTAGTCTTGTTTCCAGAGCGCATTAGTGGTTTCACGCTTGTTCATTCGCATTTCTCCATGTCTGCACCTGCTATCGCTCGCTATCGATGTACATCGCTCCGCGCATATGTACTGTACGCTACGTCTCTTCAATACCCCATGTCCATTTAGTCCACCATCTCGGCGGTATAAGCATCAGATTCCCGTGAGAGGCGGAACGCGGCGATGGTGGATCTTGTTCGAAGCTGTACGGCACAAAGCGCGGATGGGGGACGGTGTTGGCGTCATCCCAGCGTTGAAACGGATCTGTGGCCAGAGTGTGGCGGAGGGGCGGCTCGATCGGAGGCGGCCCGGGCTTGGCGGCGACGACCACCCGGTCCTCAAAGCCTCAAAGCCTGCCACCACCTCCCTCCTCCTTCCGCACACACCGATGGCTCAGCTCTCGAGACAACCTCCCCCGCCCTCGCCCAATGTCTACGAATCGTCCCCGCTCGTCTCCCTCATCCGCCGCACCTCCTCCCGCCGAACCGGCCACAGACCACCGGCGGTCAAGACACGCACCGGGACTCCTCCGCGCTCTCCCTCAGGCACCGAGGACTTTCAGCTGAACCCCCCTGCATCCCCCATCCTCCACGCCAACTTCCGCGCGTCCACCGCGTCCGCCGCGACCAAGTTCAGCGATGGCGCGAGCACCCGCACCCTCTCCTGGGACGCGCGCACCGACCGCTCGCCGCCTGAGAGCCCCTCGAGTGGTCAGGGCACCTACCGCGCACCCCAGTTTGGCGGCGGCGCACACGAGTCCGTCGACCTCGACAGCTTCGGCGACCGCTACCGCGAAACCTGGCGGTCCTCCAGCGCGATGGACCCGCCTTCGATCTACGAGTCGTCGACGATGCCCAACATCCCCACCGTCGTCGTCTCCGAGCCCGAGATCACGCATGGGTACGACGAGTACGGATACCCTGGCGACCCCCGGGTCAACGCCAGCGGCAGCAGTGGTATGAACTATTCTCGCCCCGTCGTCGCCCCTGTGCAGGAAATCGACTGGGACCAGTCCGAGTCCCGCAAGCGCGACGTGCTCCTGCGGAACGCGAACGCACGCGGGCCCCCGTCGCCCAGCCCCACCCAGAGCTCGTCCTCGCAACGCGCGCCCAAGAGCCCGCGTCTGCACGGCTCGAGCCCGCTCTCGTCCCCCGCGCTCCCCACACACCCTGGCTCGCGCCCGGTGTCACCCGCGTCGAGCGTCGGCAGCTTCCCCCCAAACTCCCCCATCTCGCCGCTCACGCCCCCCGCGGCGCTGGCACTCGCGGGCACGCAGCGCGTCGTCTCGGCCTCGAGCGTGTACTCAGACTACTCCTATTACGAGCTCCCCGCGACGCCCACAGGTGGCTCCTATCCCGTGTCCGCGCCCTCGCCGCGAACCTCGCACGCGAACGCGAAGCCACAGAGCGACGCGCTCGCCAACCCACAGACGCCGCAGGACTTTCTCCAGCTCGGGATCAAAGCACACCTCGAGAACCGGCTCGAGGCGTCTGCGCAGGCATTTGAACGTAGTGCGACGCTCGACGGTGGGTGCGGCGTCGGCATGCTCATGTGGGGGCTCGCACAGCGGCACGGGTGGGGGTGCGTCCAGGACGAGGCGCGCGGGTTCGCGTGGCTGAGGCGTGCGGCGGAGCTCGCGGTGGGCGACCTGGAAAAGGAAGGGAAGGAGGGGGATATGGGCGCGGTCCGGGTGAGTGCGCATGCGGTGCTTGTGAGGGTGCGTGGGCTGATGGTGGACAGTCGGAGCTGGTGCTTGCGATCTACGAGGTCGGGCAGAGCTTCTTCCGCGGCTGGGGTGTGCAGAAGGACAAGGAGATGGCCGTGGTGAGTGTTTGTATGTTCACTTCCTCCGCGTGCCGGGGCTGACACGAGATGTCAGCAATATTACCGGGTCGCAGCACGGCTCGGGGATCCGGATGCGCAGCAGGAGCTCGGGTTCTGCTTGTTGAATGGGAAGGGGTGCAAGAAGGACAAGAAGGAGTCCGCGAAATGGTATCGTGCGGCGGTGGGTGCTTTTCCCTCGTCTCCGGGCCTTGGTCCTAACGGGTCTACTCAGGTCAAGCAAGGGGTCAGCGATATTGGCCTGACCTGGATCTATAAGGAGAAATACCAATGATGGATTCTGTATACTCACTCACCCCGTGGCGGACACTGCCTCCACTGGATCTTTATACCCAACCCTCACACCCACTCATGCTTTTGTAGTTTTACGACCCTCGCATGCTAGTCCGTTGGTGCGTTCTTTGCTGTATCCTTATTCAGTTTTCAAGTTGGATGTCATACGCGGTTTTAATGTTCCATATGGAGAAAGAACTGCTTGGCTCGGACGTACGCTATATACAACCCAACGTGAGTCTTCATTCTGCTCAAGCGGCTTGTAGTAGCCGCGTTTTCGCATCGCCGAAACGTCGATTTGAATTTGGGGTGTCACGACTACCGCCGACGGAGATAAAGCTTGCAGGTTGGAGCTCCAGCGGTGCGCCATAAAGGCGGAGCTTTTGGGGCACATACTCTACCTGCCCACCATGTCGCGCTTTCTTGGATTGGGATCGTTCGTGAGCGTGCTCGCAGCTACCCCCGGTGTCCTCTCCGTCCCGGTGAGTCTACAGCTCTCTCCCATAGTCCATATCCTTACACCTTCGAAGCGTGCGGCTGCACCGACGATCGAATGGGCTCCTTGCGAGTCCACCATCGCGGTCTCCAAGTTCCCTATCGACTGCGCATTCTTCCCCATCCCGCTCGACTATGCGGACCCGTCCGCCGGCACCGGTCGACTGTCGCTCATCAAGATGAATGCTACGGGCGAGCGCAAAGGCACGCTTTTCACCAACCCCGGTCAGTGGACCCCCTCATGTCCCAGTTGTCACCAACCCTCACACACACCGATGGCAGGTGGCCCCGACGAAGGCGGCGTGAGCGATCTCGCGTTCAACGGGATGCAGTACATGAACGTCACAGGGGGAAACTACGACCTCGTCAGCTGGGACCCGCGTGGGGTCGGGACGGCGACCATGTACGTGTCGACACCTGTCTCCCCGCTCGGACGTGTTCCTGAGCGAGCTCGACGGCAGCCCCAGCAGCGTCTTCTGCTTCGACTCGTTTGACGAGTGGTCCGCGTTCTTCAACGGGACGCTCGAAGTGACGGGGATCAACTACTCTGGCAACCTCACGGACCCGGGCGAGGTCGCGGGGCTGATGGCGCAGGCGCGGACAATGCAGGACAAGTACGTGGAGCTCGGCGGGAGGTGCGCGACGGCGGACATCGACGGCACGTACAAGTACGTCGGGACGGCAGCGAACGCGCGGGACCTGGCGGCGCTGGCGGAGGCGATCGACGGACCTGGGGCGGCGGTGAATTACTGGGGAATGTCGTATGGGACGCTGATGGGGGCGTGGCTGGTGAACAGTGAGTGCAACGAAGTGTTTGGGTCTGAGTCGGGCTGAACGAGGTCGACTGTACAGTGTTTCCTAATGTGGGTGCTTATCCCCTGCGTCTCTCCTGATGCTGATGTGCTGTGCAGCGGGTTGGGCATGTCATCCTCGACGGGGTGGTCAATGTGCTTGACACGGCAGAGAAACAGAGCTACTTTGTGCGTTCCTTTCTGCACTCACGTTTTCCGAGCTGACCCCCGGTATCAGTCTTGGGCAGACAAAACGAAAGACAGCGAGAAGGTGTGGGAGGGGATGGCGACCGCTTGTGCGCTCTCAGGCCCCTCGCACTGCAACCTCACGACAGAGGGGGGCACCGGCCAAGATGTCATGGCGTTGCTCTCCAAGCTCCTCGACGTGAGCGCAGACCAACCCGACGCAGACTCGTGATGCTGATCGTCGTTTGTGTGCAGGCGGCCACGGACGCGCAGAAGCACAGCAGTGGGCCCGTCACCATCCAATCTAGCGTCACGCGTGGTGAGTGAGCGGCTCCCGGACGGTCTAGGACGTGCTCTGAACAGGATGCATTCAGGGAGCGTATTCGGTGACCTGTACTTGCCCGAGTCCTGGCAGGGCGGCGCAACGCTGATCGCACGATTGGTCCCGCTCGTGGAGGCGGAGTCGGGCATGACCGTTCGGCCTACGCGCAAGTGTGTGCTTTCCGATGACGCCGCTGCTCCGCTGACGAACGCTCGGTTTGTAGACGGCGGAGCGAGACGGGGATGGAGTACGGGATGACCGCCATCTACTGCGGAGACAGCATCGATGCCGACGAATCGACCATGGAAGACGTCTTCGACACCATTGTGACCGCCGTCCAGAACGGGCCTTCGCCCACTTGTAGGTGAAAGTCGACCCTGCGCGTTCCACGCTTACAACCGTCGTAGTTGCCGGCCTGTTCCCGTACGTGGCCTACTACTGTCCGTGGTGGCCCGCGCGCGCCGTCGAGCGGTACACGGGGCATTTCAACAAGACGCTCTCGAACCCCGCGCTCATCATCGGCAACACTGTGCGACCCCTCCTGTCAGCTTTTCGAACACATCTCATGCTGACCGACGCGCCCGCGCAGTTCGACCCCATTACGCCGTTCTCGCAGGCTCAGACGCTCGCGGACCTGATGGGCGACAGCGCGACGCTTGTGCGCCAGAACGGATTCGGGGTGAGTGGTCCAGTTGGGGCGGGGGCGACGGGTGCGTCGGCTGACGGCGTCGTACCAGCATCGCAGCCTCGCGCAGGCGTCGGAGTGCACGTCGAAGATCATCCAAGACTACCTGAACAACGATGCCGTGAGTCTGCGCCGCGCTCGCTGTGGGTTGCTTAACTTACGTGTGGTCGTTTCAGCTGCCCGCCGGAGACGCAACAGTATGCGAGGTCGACGCGGTGGAGCTGTTCCCTGGTGTTGTTACGAGCGATGTGGTCAAGATGATCAGTTAGCCGCGCCCCTTGCGCCACTTCTGGGTTCCGAATGGTAGACTGGGGTAGTCATCGTCGCTGCGTCGTGAACAGTTGTTCATGCGCCATTTAATTTCTTACACCCTATGAACGATCACTGCATGCGCTTTGCTCCAAGTTCCCTCATTCTTCATTCCGGTCTTAGTTCTTTCCTACGCCCTTCAACCCTTTTCTGCAAGTCTCGTGCCCCCGACACGACAGCACTCTTTAGCTATGCGTGAGCCACCTGCATGTGTTGCGGCCGTCTCGAAGCGAACACCCTCGGCTCGCCAGAGTCTGCACCGACATATTGAGAGGGCATGAAGGATGGAACCCCCGTCGTGCTATATCCGCAACATTTTGAAGACCCGCGTGGTTTCTGAACCGGTGCTGTAAAAACAGCACATCAGCTTATTGGGCGACAAGTTGTACAAATGAGCATGAATCACAAACGCATGAACAAGCTCGGCTCATCTCGCGAAGAGGTGTTCTTCGCGCCGTCTGTTCTCCAGATAGAAACAAAACAGATGCTGCCCCAGTGAGGCTCGAACTCACGACCTTCCGATTGCAAGTCAGTAACAGTCGGACGCTGTAACCAACTCAGCCATGGGGCATATAAGCATTGACTTCTAGAGTATATATGTAGCTGTAGTAATCTGTGGATAATGCGGGAGTGGGTCATGGGAGCCTATGGAAGCCGGCTCTGAAATTACGACCTCAAAGAGCAACCACAGCCAGGCCAGATCATCAGACCTATGTTACCTCACCGGCAAGGCCCACCTAGGCTGTAAACTAGCTCACCAGAAAGTCGTCTCCTGCAGTAAGCCTTGCCTTCCGCGGCTGCAGTCTCCATGATCCATCCGTCGTGAAGCCATGGACCTGGGGAAGGGCGTGGGCGGTCCCTATGGCCTATTAACGCGCGCTAGCCTCAGGAACGCTTGTTCGCACAGGGAACGATGGCATGTAGAGACTGCTGCTTGCGTGCATGGGCCAGATTGTCGTGTGAAGCCGTTGCGATGGAGTTCGGTTCCGGATCGGACTCATAAGGCTGCTCGGACAGACAGACAGACAGACATCTGCCACCTTAAGGCCACATCCTCGTCCTCGTCCTCGTCCCCATCCTCCTCCATCGAACAGATCACCATTGTGCCCAGATATGAACGTCGCTATCCCCGACAAGAAGCTTCGCGTCGCTATCATGTACGTCCAGCCGCTTCCAAACTATAGACTTGTCCTCATCGTGGTGATTCTCCAGCGGTGCCGGTCTCGGCGGTCTCGCCCTCGCCCTCGCTCTGCAGAAGAACATGCCTGATATAGAGCTCGACATATACGAACGTGCCAAACAGCTCGCTGAAGTCGGCGCCGGTCTCGGTGCGTCGCCTCGCGTCTGGGCGATCCTCCAGTCCCTCGGCCTCGAAAAGGATTTGTTGGAGGCTGGCGGCACGACTCAAGTCAGTGGAAGTGAGTATATGCGCCCTTATCTCCTTGAAATACGGCAGAGACTCATTTTATCTACGCTACAGCGATGCCATTGCGCTTCCTGAAGGGCGACCAGCCCGAGGTGGCTGAAATATGCGAATTCGGGTCCCCAGTCCGCACTTTCCACCGGGCGCACATACAGCAGATCTTCACGCGACACCTGAAGAACTCCGAGCAGATTCTTCACTTCTCCAAGCTCCTTGTTGGCTACGCAGAGCCCGAAGACCCTACGGCCCCGATAGTTTTGCGGTTCGGGGACGGGTCGACGGCCACCTGCGATCTGGTCCTCGGTGCCGACGGCCTCAAGAGCGCGGTTCGCCACCAGATGTATAACGACATGGCGGACGTGGCGGAGAAGAAGGGTGACCTCGACATTGCCGCGAAGCTGCGGGACGTGATTCCCCCTGTGTGGTCGGGCATGGTCGCCTACCGCGCCGTTGTTCCTACGGATAAGCTCACGCAGGACGTCAAGGACTTGACAAAGCCGATGATGAACATTGTGAGTCTTCAGCGGGAAACTTGGATAGATATCGATTGACAAGTCAACTAGCTGTTTGGCAAGTCACGCTATCTGATATACTTCCCTATCTCGCGCGGGCAGGCATACAATGTGGCTGCCATGGTTCAAATGCCCGGGGCCGCGGGCACACAGTACAACGGTCCGCCGTTGACGGCAGAGGGGATCCTGAAGCTCTACACCGACTGGGATCCCAAGATCAAGAGCATTATCAGTGTAAGCTTCTCCGTTACCATCTCGTCACTGGCGGCCGCATTGACCGTACTTTTTCGTCAGCATATGAGCATGCCGCTCGACTGGGCCGTACACACCGTCAAAGATCTCCCCACGTATGTGAAAGGTCGCGTTGCTCTTCTCGGTGATGCAGTGCGTTCTCCTTCCTGGCCGTTGTGGCTACCTGCTTACTGCATCTTCCTCAGGCGCACGCAATGACCACTAGCCAAGGCTCTGGCGCAGGCCAGGCGATCGAAGACGGCTACATACTCTCCGCCGTACTCGCCCATCCCCTCGTCACGAGCCAGAATATCTCCGTCGCGCTCGAGATCTACGACACGGTCCGCCGGCCGTTCTCGCAAGACATCGCGCGCCGCTCGCGCGAGAGCACGCGTCTGTACCTTCTCGACCGGCTCGGGTGGGAGAACGTAAGCGAGGCTGAGTGTGCGCGCGGCGGGTTCACGCACGAGCAGCTCCAGCCAATTGGGCGGATGATAGAGGATGATATGGGGTGGGTGCATGCTACCCGCATCGAGCACGACGAGGAGCGCGCGATGCAGATGGTACAGGAGAGGCTGAGCGCGCAGGCATGAGCAAGGACACAAACTGTAACACAAATGGGAGCAAATGGACGGACCACAGTTATTGTAGAAACATGTAATTAATCCCCACTTCAAGCTGTATAGTTGAAGCTCCTATAGTTCGAACTGTTGGGTATGGTTGTGGAATGTGGCGCAAATTTGTGCACATGCGCCACCACGTATCGGTAACCATATGCCCCATGGCTGAGTTGGTTACAGCGTCCGACTGTTACTGACTTGCAATCGGAAGGTCGTGAGTTCGAGCCTCACTGGGGCAGCATCTGTTTTGTTTCTATCTGGAGAACAGACGGCGCGAAGAACACCTCTTCGCGAGATGAGCCGAGCTTGTTCATGCGTTTGTGATTCATGCTCATTTGTACAACTTGTCGCCCAATAAGCTGATGTGCTATTTTTACAGCACCGGTTCAGAAACCACTCGGATCTTCAAAATGTTGCGGATATAGCGCGACGGGGGTTCCATCCTTCATGCTCTCTCAATATGTTGTGCAGACTCTGGCGAGCCGAGGGTGTTCGCTTCGAGACGCCGCAACACATGCAGGTGGTCACGCATAGCTGAAGAGTGCTGTCGTGTCGGGGGCACGAGACTTGCAGAAAGGGTTGAAGGCGTAGGAAAGAACTAAGACCGGAATGAAGAAAAAAGCTTGATGCAAAGTGCATGCGCGAGCGCATGATAGGGTGCAAGCAATTAAATGGCGCACGACGCAGCGACGATGACTACCCCAGTCTACCATTCGGAACCCAGAAGTGGCGCAAGGGGCCGGCTAACTGATCATCTTGACCACATCGCTCGTAACAACACCGGGGAACAGCTCCACCGCGTCGACCTCGCATACCGTTGCGTCTCCGGCGGGCAGCTGAAACGACCACACGTAAGTTAAGCAACCCACAGCGAGCGCGGCGCAGACTCACGGCATCGTTGTTCAGGTAGTCTTGGATGATCTTCGACGTGCACTCCGACGCCTGCGCGAGGCTGCGATGCTGGTACGACGCCGTCAGCCGACGCACCCGTCGCCCCCGCCCCAACTGGACCACTCACCCCGAATCCGTTCTGGCGCACAAGCGTCGCACTGTCGCCGACTCGCCCATCAGGTCCGCGAGCGTCTGAGCCTGCGAGAACCGCGTGATAGGGTCGAACTGCGCGGGCGCGTCGGTGTGTTCGAAGAGCTGGCGGGAGACGTCGCGCAGTGTTACCGATGACGAGCGCGGGGTTCAAGAGCGTCTTGCCGAAAGGCCCCGTGTACCGCTCGACGGCGCGCGCGGGCCACCACGGACAGTAGTAGGCCACGTACGGGAACAGGCCGGCAACTACGACGGTTGTAAGCGTGGAACGCGCAGGGTCGACTTTCACCTACAAGTGGGCGAACGGTAGGCATGATGCGAGGGAGCTGTAGACTTACCGGGACGGAGAGGACACCAAGGGTAGCTGCGGGCACGCCCACGAACGATCCCAGTCCAAGAATGGTGGGCAGGTAGAGTATGTGCCCCAAAAGCTCCGCCTTTATGGCACACCGCTGAAGCTCCAACCTGCAAGCTTTATCTCCGTCGGCGGTAGTCGTGACACCCCAAATTCAAATCGACGCTTCGGCAGTGCAAAAACGCGGCTACTACAAGCCGCTTGAGCAGAATGAAGACTCACGTTAGGTTGTATTTCTGGACGCTCCACTCGAGCCCAGCTTTTTTCTCCATGTGGAACATAAAAACCGAGCATGACATCTGACATGGAAACCGAATAAGGATACAGCAAACAACGCACCAACGGACTAGCATGCGAGGGTCGTAAAACTACAAAAGCATGAGTGGGTGTGAGGGTTGGGTATAAAGATCCAGTGGAGGCAGTGTCCGCCACGGGGTGAGTGAGTATACAGAATCCATCATTGGTATTTCTCCTTATAGATCCAGGTCAGGCCAATGTCGCTGACCCCTTGCTTGACCTGAGTAGACCCGTTAGGACCAAGGCCCGGAGACGAGGGAAAAGCACCCACCGCCGCACGATACCATTCGCGACTCCTTCTTGTCCTTTTGCACCCCTTCCATTCAACAAGCAGAACCCGAGCTCCTGCTGCGCATCCGGATCCCCGAGCCGTGCTGCGACCCGGTAATATTGCTGACATTCGTTCAGCCCCGGCACCCGAGGAAGTGAACATACACACTCACCACGGCCATCTCCTTGTCCTTCGCACACCCCAGCCGCGAAAGAAGCTCTGCCCGACCTCGTAGATCGCAAGCACCAGCTCCGACTGTCCACCATCAGCCCACGCACCCTCAGAACAACGCACGCGCACTCACCCGGACTGCGCCAATATCCCCCTCCTTCCCCTCCTTCTCCAGTCGCCCACCGCGAGCTCCGCCGCACGTCTCAACCACGCGAACCCACGTGCTTCATCCTGGACGCACCCCCACCCGTGCCGCTGCGCGAGCCCCCACATGAGCATGCCGACGCCGCAGCCGCCGTCGAGCGTCGCACTGCGCTCGAACGCCCGCGCGGACGCCTCGAGCCGGTTCTCAAGGTGCGCCTTGATCCCGAGCTGGAGGAAGTCTTGCGGCGTCTGTGGGTTGGCGAGCGTGTCGCTCTGTGGCTTCGCGTTCGCGTGCGAGGTTCGCGGCGAGGGCGCGGACACGGGATAGGAGCCACCTGTGGGCGTCGCGGGGAGCTCGTAATAGGAGTAGTCTGAGTACACGCTCGAGGCCGAGACGACGCGCTGCGTGCCCGCGAGTGCCAGCGCCGCGGGGGGCGTGAGCGGCGAGATGGGGGAGTTTGGGGGGAAGCTGCCGACGCTCGACGCGGGTGACACCGGGCGCGAGCCAGGGTGTGTGGGGAGCGCGGGGGACGAGAGCGGGCTCGAGCCGTGCAGACGCGGGCTCTTGGGCGCGCGTTGCGAGGACGAGCTCTGGGTGGGGCTGGGCGACGGGGGCCCGCGTGCGTTCGCGTTCCGCAGGAGCACGTCGCGCTTGCGGGACTCGGACTGGTCCCAGTCGATTTCCTGCACAGGGGCGACGACGGGGCGAGAATAATTCATACCACTGCTGCGCTGGCGTTGACCCGGGGTCGCCAGGGTATCCGTACTCGTCGTACCCATGCGTGATCTCGGGCTCGGAGACGACGACGGTGGGGATTTGGGCATCGTCGACGACTCGTAGATCGAAGGCGGGTCCATCGCGCTGGAGGACCGCCAGGTTCGCGGTAGCGGTCGCCGAAGCTGTCGAGGTCGACGGACTCGTGTGCGCCGCCGCCAAACTGGGGTGCGCGGTAGGTGCCCTGGCCACTCGAGGGGCTCTCAGGCGGCGAGCGGTCGGTGCGCGCGTCCCAGGAGAGGGTGCGGGTGCTCGCGCCATCGCTGAACTTGGTCGCGGCGGACGCGGTGGACGCGCGGAAGTTGCGTGGAGGATGGGGGATGCAGGGGGGTTCAGCGAAAGTCCTCGGTGCCTGACGGAGAGCGTGGAGGAGTCCGGTGGTGTCTCGACCGGGGTGGTCTGTGGCCGGTCGGCGGGAGGAGGTGCGGCGGATGAGGGAGACGAGCGGGGACGATCGTAGACATTGGGCGAGGGCGGGGGAGGTTGTCTCGAGAGCTGAGCCATGGGTGTGTGCGGAAGGAGAGGGAGGTGGTGGCAGGCTTTGAGGCTTTGAGGACCGGGTGGTCGTCGCCGCCAAGCCCGGGCCGCCTCCGATCGAGCCGCCCCTCCGCCGCCACACTCTGGCCACAGATCCGTTTCGACACCGCCAGGGATGACGCCAACACCGTCTTGACTCTTCTATCCGCGGTTCACTCGGCGCGCTGCGTACAGCTTCGAACAACATCCAGCATTTCGTTCCATCTCTCACGGGCATGTGATACTTATATCCGAGGTGCTGCATTAAATGTCGGAGGTATAACGTACAACATGAGCCTAGATGTACAGAGTCGACCGCGAGCGACAGCAGGTGCAGACATGGAGAAATGAGGATGAACATGGAAACAAGGATGCGGCCGGCTACCAGACACCGTGTACGAGATGCGCGGTCAATACCAATCCTGCAATGGAGTAAAGTGAGACTCGCTCAATTCGCACCGTGATCGTAAGCATACGCACAATCGGGTTCCCTTGAGCGTACCACCACATCACCTCCTTCGACTTCTCGCCAGGCTCTGCCATAATCGCACTGAGAGTCGTGATAGCCGTGTGGATGTCGGTCCTTGTGACGCGCTCGATGATCCACTGCCGCTTCGTGAGGTTGTAGTTGGTGAAAAGAACGACCATGAAAGCATAGTCGAGCGAGAGTGGGTATCCGAGGAAGAGTCTGAAGCCCACATGGTCTTCTATGTCCGAGATGATATCATCATGGACGGCGAGGGACACCCACTGGCGTAGCCCTTTGTGCTGCATGACTACCGAGTCGTCGGTGATGGACGCGCAATCGATCGTCGTCGCTCCACCCAGGAGCTGGACGAAGTCGGGCTTATCGTCATCAATGTCGACCGTGAGCTTGAGCTTTTTAGCATATTCGATGGCCCATTTATCGGTGAAAGCCCATCCGTAATTGCGGAGGAAGGGCCCACCGGCGGCAGGGTTGAATTCTGGGTCCGGAGCGAAGACGACGTCGGGGCTGAGGTTGGTGCTGGGCGAGATGTACTCCGTACCAAGGGGAACGTCATACGGAGTTATGTTCGCCACTGGTGGGTACCGATCGCATATGTGCTTCAGTCTCTGTCAAACAAATTAAAGCAAGTCCCGAGATCGAGAAGAAAAGGCGTACCGCCATCCGAGCCTGCTGAGCAGAAGAGTCGTCCATCTGAAGATGCTTGGTATCCTCCTGTGCGACCTCGCCGGGATTGTGGTGTGGGGGAGATTCGGCGGTAGGCATGGGATAATACGTGGATGGGTGGTCGGGCAGCGCAGGGGCCGTGGCCCATGTTTCGGCGCCAGATGCAGGGCACGCGTATGCTCGCACGCCACAGGCTGAGCGCTGAGGCAAGTTGTCGTAGTTGTGCGCTCGGTCCCCTCGACTTGACGACGAGTACTGCCCGTTCAGTCCCCAACCTCTCACGATACCGATTGACTCCACACTCCATGGATCCAACCCCCCGGACCACGTCCAAAGAGGTATCGCAGGAGGAGATCGACAATGCACTCCGCGTTCTGAGGATGTGCGGCAAAGTACGTTCTCTGAGCTCTCGCTTCGGAAGACGAAATTCTTTTCAACTCCAGTTCAGTTCATAACCATTGCCAAAGAAGAATTTGAGCGTGATTTCTCGATTTCGATCCATCAAGCGATCCATCGTCAAGCCCTTGAGAGTGACATCTATGGCATCCTCAACTCCGTCTCCGTCTTGTCTTGTCTAGCTTCCCGACCCGAAGCCCGCGCTGAAGTCTCCTTGATTTCGTATCCTCAGTACAACTCTACTTACAACAAAACAGCCAATGCGGTCGAAGTGAATACGTCCACCCAAATCCCTGATTTCGCCCGCATCCTCCTCCGCCCCAAGACAACCGATCGAGGCCCAAAGCCCGAACTCCTACCCACCAAGCTGGTCGCTGATTTCTGGGAAGCCAAACGACTCGATATGGAAACGACGCCATCAGCGGATGGGAAAGTTGCCGATTGGTGGTCTGACCTTGCGAGTCAGCGCGCATACAAAAGTGCAGTCTTCCACTACCCCCAACTTTGTGATCAGGCGGCAGCAATCTTGCGCGACAATCCCTCTCAGGATTCAGTGGACGGTATCATCGTCTCTGGTATCCACTTCTCCCATTTCATCTTCGATCGGTCTAGCGCACGGGCTCATAGACCCGACGAGCCCGACATGCAGACCCCACCCCAGGACTTCACTCTGATGGTCATATCAACAATGGACTCACCGTACTTGAGCGAATCGAGAACATGGAATTCCCGAAGGTTGTCGCTCTGAATCAGCGCATCGCCGTGGTACGCTCTGGGGACAGAAGCGCGAATGAAGTACGCTATGGCCTATCGCCCCGATTCATCGCGTCTCTCTCGCGACCTTTCGCATCGGAGCCATTTGCGGATATGAACTTCACCCATCAAGTGAACTGGTTAGCGCTGCCCTCTTCTAGCATACAAGAGGTCAGGGAACATTCTGTTTTGTTATGTTCAGACAGGGGTCTAACAGCGCTCCGAAATCAGGTTCCTAGGGAGAAGTGGACCAAGTTCAAGGTGGCTGTTCGGGAACAGCTCTCAAAAGGGTTTCGAGAGTCCGTAAACGCCATCCAACACGACAATGCGGAGGGGATGCCAAACAGGACGTACCTGAACAGTCCTCCTGTGTCCCGTGACACACCGTTCTATGCCCCCTATCGGCCCGTCGAGTCCAAGAGGCCGTCACTACCACGACCAGGTAGTTCCAAAGGCATAGAAGCCATCGTGAAGGCCAAGCGTCCTCAGACGTTACATTCGCAGAACCTTGCCATTCCTACCAAAAGCCGCCGGCAAAAGGCGGCTGAGAAGGAGCGACATGACATCGATGCAGGGGTCTCTTCGGCGGGTGCTCGAAGCGGCTCTGAGCCAGATGAGGAGATTAGGGTGGAAGGAGTTCCTGGTCACACCGGTCCGCCTGGTTCGCGACAGACTCGTGCGAGCACACGTGCTTCAAGTCGGTCTGACGGGAACACGTCGGCTGGAGCGGCGCTTTCCGGCGAGGGACCTGATGGAGAAACAACCAATGCAAAACAAATCAAAGGCAAGGGCAAGGGCAAGGAAAAGGGCGCGGGGAAAGATACGAAGGCCGCAGGGCATGGCGGATTTCCGGACCCAAGACTCGCACTCGTGGCGGGCATTGTCATGCCACCTGCCCTGAAGATGAGGGACACTGGCTCAAGGCGGCGGGCAGCCGCTCGGTCGCGCTCTGAAGCCACAGATGATGGCCATAATCCTTCGACTCTGCCCTCCTCCACAGAACCCGTTCAACCGCGCCTCGGACGCATCGATGTTGGCCAGTCCTCCGAGACTTCTTCCTCTCGCGCCATCAGACTCCTGACGGAGCGATACTATTCACCGAAACCCAGTTTCGCAGTCGTAGAAGACACGGACATAGAAGGGGTGCAGTCAATGGGCGACGATGACGACGACGACGACGACGACGACGACGAAAAAGAAGACGAAACCGGCGAAGACGGCGACAACGAGGACGAAGACGAGTTGTAGAAGCATCGCCATTGGAGTGGCAGAACGGCGCGCGTGCGTATAACGCCCGGTGAGACTAGCAAAGCGGGATTCAGGGGAGATCACTGCGTAGGATCATGCGATTTGCGAGAAAATCTACAATAGCTACGTACGAGCGACCTCGAACCAGAGGGGACGAGTCGAATAAACATTGCATATAGTCCCAGTAACGGTCACACCACTTACTGGCACTGGCAGTCAAATAAAGTCGTCCGAGTCCGTCCAAAACTCCGCGCCCTTTCTCGTACCTTGTCCACGTATTCCTCCGCAGACGAAACTCAAACAATCCGACCGCCACCTCTTTTTTCACTAGCTCCCGAAACTGCCCCGCGGTCGCACCCTCCACTTCCGCCTCCAGTCCGCCAATCCACTCCCGCTCCGCTCATCCCAGGCTCTCGAGCCTCGTCCCCATCGCCGCCCGCCGCATGAGCACCTTCGCGAGCGCCGTCTCGTCGCGCACCCGGAGGTGCATCACGATCTTGTTCAATGAGGTTGTTGAACCGTGTCGATGGGTGGAGGACATGGACGGGCTTGAGATTATTATTCCGTGCCACGTTGCGCCTACTTCTGTCTTCGCTCGTCTTCCGGCTCTGCACTTTTTGCTGATACTATATTGCTGTGCGTCGGCGTGTACAATATCCACCCAGAATCGAAACATACTTTCAAGCAGCTCGCGCCACTGTCGGCACACGGCGAGTGGCCACATGTTTGCATCCTCGGTTTGACGTGCTTCGACGAGGATGCCAGGATCGAGGCAGGAGGCGGTCGATGGGCGCTGTGGCGTTGTAGATACACAGGAGAACCAAAGTGCATCGCCGGTACTTAGTTGCGCGGTCCAGATCGTCTGTTTGAGAGAGAAGAACGGTCGTCTACGGGATGTGGCGCTGCGAGCTGCGAGATCCACGTTGGATAGTCCAGAGAGTCGTTCATGATAGCCGTTGATATTCGATCAATAGCCATCTGTTGAGCGGAGCGTCGTCGTTGGTAGCTATATGCAACTCACCTGCCGTAGAGCGCGGAGTGCGACTCGCGAGACGACCTCATCGCCCCTTGTTGAGAGACCGTACGGCGGCGTAATGTGAAAGGCTGCGACCGTCGAGGAATGATTAATGTCAGTTGTAAGACTTCCAGTAGAGACGTTGAAGTTGAAGACGCAGCGAGCTGTGTAAAGTCGGCTCTTCGGAATTCATGGCCCTCCAGAGTACCGCCACCATACCTACCCTAAACGTGGGCCTCGACATGCATGTTCCCACCAAGCTTATGCTCCCATGCTCAGGTATGACCCATGCGCATAAAGCGATGAATAGTGTGCATGCTAACATTAGAAGTTGTATTATAGCCACGAAGAGCACTAAGCTCGACCCCATATCCTCTACATGTACTTTTTCTTCGCCTTGAGCTCCGCATAGGGATCCGGCCTCGGCATGCGCCCGTACCGTGACTCGGACTTCTCTGCAAACACGCGACACACGCCCCGTCAGCACATCCGGAACGACATCCACGACTGCGCGGAGACTCACTGAGCACGTTCGCGTAGATGTCCGACACCGTCTCGTTCCACTCCGCGCGCCACATGTGCGCCCCGCCTCCAAGCGCACCGTCGAACCCGTGCTCCTCCGCAAACGCGCGGTAGTCGAACCCTTGCCGCTGTTCCTCGGTGAACACGGGGATGTCGAGCGGCGCCGTCGCCGAGCGCTGCGGGAGCATGAGGACGACGTAACGGTGGTAGGGCGTGCCCTTCTGCGGGTGCGGCGGGACGTAGGGTGTGTGCGCGTTCAGCGGCACGGGAGGGGTCTTGGTTGCCAGAGAGAGCGGGATGTTGGGCCTGCGGTCGTCGGTCACGTCATTGCGAGCGAAGAAACGAAATGTGAGGGGACGCACTGGAACCAATGCAAGTAACTCGTGAATGACGCGCTCTCCGGGTCGGGCACGTCCAGGTCGACCATCATGAGCGTGTACAAACGTGTATCGGAATGGTAGATGGTCATGGATAGCTCTGGGGGCTCCAAAGTCTGCGACCACGGGTCAGTGCCCGCGTCACATGTATGCGGGTACAACGTACGTCTTGGGGGCGGAGGAACACTCCGGGCTCAATGACCGACATCCTAGGTTCGACGGGTGCACGCATACGCTTGCCCGTAGAGGAAGGCACTTGAAGTGCGTGAAGACGAAGGTCGAAGGATGGGTGAAGCTCTGGAAGCATATCCGGGACAACTTTCATCTGGTGCAGTCGCTCCATCTGACAGGGGACGAGAGACACATGAGAGGCTACCCCCGAGGACGGAGACAGCGGTCAACACACCAGCAAGTCCAGATCGCCCTCCTCTCTCCACCTCTGCTCAACGAGCCTCCTGAATACGGGCTTCGTCAAGTCCGCTGCAAAGACCCTCGCGTTCAGCACCTGCCGCGCCTGCACACGACACCAAACGACTCACCCATCCCGCTCCTCGCCTTCCACCGCACCTCCGGCAGGTTGATCTCGCTCTGCACCTCCAGGATCCCAACCTTCTCCCTCAACGCAGCCAGCACGTCCGCGTCGCGTTCGCCCTCCTTCTTCCCCTCCTCCGCCGCCAGCACCTTCCGCACCTCCGCGAGCTCCTTCGCCAGCGCCGCGGCGTCGTCCAGAATGTACTGCAGCGCGAGGTCGTACGCGGGTTCGACGCCCTCCGCGATCGGTCGGCACCACTCGCGCGGGTTCTCTAGGCTCGGCCGTGGACGCATTGTGCGGCCCTTCGTCGCTGGTGAGCCGTCCGCGGACGTGTCTGCTGGCACCGGGCCAGGTGCGGACGCAGCAGCAACAGCGGCCTCCGGGGTTGCGTATGCGCGGACGGTCGCCAGGCGGGGCACATAGCGGGGTAGGCGGCGGAGAACGAGCATGACCGTGGAGGGATACCGTGACGTGAGTCCGCAAGGGCGCAGGCGGCAGAATGTGGGACGCGTTCGGCGCCTTTCCTACATAGGTTAGCGCTCTCTCCGTATGAAGACGCCAAAAGAAGAGTTACTATGGCTGCAGCCATGCACTTTCTCACTGCACCTGAAGCTGATTGAGCCCGAGTAAGGTCCTATCACACGTTCTGTTTAGCTGAACGGAGTCAAAATATACTGCCCCAGTGAGGCTCGAACTCACGACCTTCCGATTGCAAATTAATAACAGTCGGACGCTGTAACCAACTCAGCCATGGGGCATGAAATGGGTAGCCCAAGGAATATGATTCGTTGTGTCTGCAGAAAGGATCCAAACTTCAAATCATCCAAGCAATGAAAAGGCGTCAGTTTGAAAAAGCCTCGGAGTGACATGATACATCGCCGGATTACATAGAGATTTGGTATGAGAGTTATCAGTCGAGTCCAGGGAATGGATGCACTATTCGTTGATCACAAGGGATGAGGCGCTGACAAACGCCCGCCGCCTTGCGCTTGACCAAAAGTATGTAGTATATGGTAAGAATTCATGTCAGGTCATTAACATAACAATACAGTGCCAAAGAATCAACAGAAACGGGCCGAGAAGTGAAAAGTACAAAGCAGAACGATAGACGGCATTATCGGAGAACGTTCCACCTCCTAGTCTTCGAAATCCGAGCCGTCTTCGTCGTCCCCGGAGGATACCTCCACGTACTTGGACTTGCTTGCAGCCGTGCGTGCCGTGCGCTTCGGTGCTGCTGCTGCTGGCGGCGACGGTACCTCAATCAGCTCGTCGTCGTCGTCGTCATCCGACACAATCTTCTTCGGTGCCTTCTTCGCGGCAGCCTTCGTTGCAGTGCCAGACGCCTTGCGCGCTGTCGCAGCTGGCTTCTTTATCGGGGCGCCGGGCTTGCCCAAGAAGTCCGCCATGGACGTCTGCTTGCCATTCTTCTTGGGCGCCGGGTCAACCTCCATGGCGTCATCGTCTGAGTCCAATAGGGACGCCCTCGACTTCTTGGTTGCAGGCTTGAGCGGAGCATCACTGTCATTGGCGTCCGTATCGAGACTGGGTTCGCGATGTTAGCACCGATACAAGCCGCGAAAAGTACTTCGACTCGCCTCTTCCTCTTCGCCCTCGGAGCGGCCTTCGCCTTGCCTTTGCCCTTTCCTGCCGACGGCGGGTCCTCGAATTCAGACTCTGAGTCGACCTTCTTCGCGGGGGCCTTCTTCGTGGCAGCAGGCTTCCGTGGAGGCTCGTCGTACATTTCGATATCTGAGTCGTCTTCGACCTTTGCCGCCTTCTTCGCGGGAGCACGCTTCTTGGGCAGGGTAGGTACGTCGTCGTCGCTGTCGGCCTTCTTGACTACGACGTCTGACCCAGAGGCAGCAGCAGGCTTCTTGGGCTCGGCAGGCTTCTTGGGCTCGGCAGGCTTCTTGGGCTCGGCAGGCTTCTTCTTGGGTGCAGCCTTGGGCTTGAAGTCGTCATCCTCTTCGTCCTCGTTCTTGGGTTTCTTAAACGCGAGCTTGGCCTGCTTCTTCTTTCCCTTCTTGCCCGTGTTCTCGCCCTCTGCAGCACAGAGTTTCGCCTCCCAGTTTTCGCAAGTTTGCTATAAATGAACAATCAAAACATGATTCGTTCGGGGTTTGGGAGCTTCGTACCTTCCACTGCGCAAGGAAAGCGTCTAGGTCAGTCTGCCAGATCTGGATGGGGGTGAGCGCGAGGAGCGCGAGCAACTCGTCTTCCTTCTCTTTGGCCTGCGAGAGGAGCTTTTCGATCTGGAACCTCGCCCATGAGTGAATGCACGACATTGAGACGCAGGCACACCAACCTTCTCCTTCGTCAGGCTCCAGATGGCCATACCAAGGAGGTAGTCGAAATCGCTAAGTCCCTTGCCGGCGCTCCCAGCATCGTCGTCGTCATCCTCCTCAACGACTGCTTCCATCTCGCCCGCCGCCTTTGCCTTTGTGACCTTTGGGAACGGCCGGAAGTCGTTCTTGCGCAGCTCCGTGACGATGTCCGCCTTGCGCCGGTTCGAAATGATGAGCTGGCGGTCGATGATCAACTTGATGAACCGCGCCTGGTTGGTGAGCCGGTCGAGTTGGATCTGGAGCTCGTCCGCGAGGTGGTCCTTCCGTTTCTGGTAGAACGCGAGCCGGCGGGGGTAGAAGTCCTCGATGATTTCCTCGGGCGAGCTGTACTTCTTGATCTTGCCGTCGAAGTCGAAGCAGACCATGTTCGAGGTGTTGATCTTCGTGGTGAGCTTGAAGTACTCGTGGAAGCCCTGCTTCTCCGCCTTCTCCATCCCCTTCTCGGACATGGTGACGACGAAGTGGACGTTCATGTTGTTGTGGTACTCTTTGTAATCCTGTGGGGAAGCGGTCAGTATCTGCTCGATGCGTCGTGCAACTACGACTTGCCTTGACGTCGCCGTCGCCCTTCTCGCCGCACAGCGCCTCGAGCTCAGCCTTGAAGTTCTGTGTCCACCTGTGGATGGGCAATTCGGTGATCTCGACAGTGTTGTCGTCGAGCTTCTTGATCGTGCCAGTGACGTCGTACTTGTTGTCGCTGACCTTCTTAATCTCGCCGGAGAACCCACGCCACCAAGGCAGTATCGGTACTTGCTCTTCGCCCTTCATGAGACGAAGGATGTTGTTGATGATATCCTCAGGGTTGAACGAAGGGACTGAAGTACTCCAACCTAAACAAAGGTCAGTCAAATGGCATGGCACAATATCACGGGTTACTCACCAGTACCAATACCCTCGGCACCGTTCACCAGAACCAACGGGAGGATAGGCATGTACCACTCCGGTTCGACCGTCTTGCCGTCGTCCTGCTGGCAGGTGAGAATGGCGTCGTCTGCCGGGTGGAGCACGGTGCGGACGACAGGCGCCAGCTCGGTGAAGATGTAACGAGCCGCGGCGTGGTCCTTGCCGCCCTGGTCACGCGTACCAAACTGACCGTTCGGCATGAGCAAGTTCATGTTGTTGCTCCCGACAAAGTCTTGAGCCAAGTTGATGATCGTGGCCATCAAACTAGCTTCACCGTGGTGATATGCAGACACCTCGGAGACATAACCGACTAGCTGGGCAACCTGTGCGAGAGTAAGAGATGGCTCATCGCAAAGGATCATGGAAACGTACCTTGATCTCGCGCTTCAAGTTACGCTTGAAACAAGACCAGATGACCTTACGTTGACCGGGCTTGAGTCCATCGGACACGGACGGGATCGATCGGATGTTGTCCGCCATCGAGAACAGGATGAGTTCCCGATTGATGAAATCAGACATGGGAATCTCCCGCTGTGTGTGATCGAGGAAGGTTCCCGGCTAAATGTACGGAACGTCAGCATATGAATGCCGTGGATTTCAAGTAGACGTACCTCGAACTGGCGCAACCATTCCTTACGATCGTCTGCCTTCTTCTTGCTGAAGGCGAGCTCGATGAGTGAATGGTCGCCCTCCTGTGTAGTGGAAAAGGGAATCATATGACGTTTCATATCTCGGAAATAGTCCCGGGCGTCCTCGTCCTTGCTCGTACCAAGACCCTGAGGATGGATCAGAACTAGACTTAGCAGAACGATATAGTCATGCGCACCTTGAAGTATTTATGCTGCCACTTGTGCGAGTCAGGAGTCTCTTCGAGCCATATCTCGTACTCGGGGATCGTGTAGAAGTTGATGATCTCCTTGCCCTTCCACACCTGTAATACATTGGTCAATGTCTTTCATCGATTAGGGGGGTAATCAAAATACGTACACGGACGACGGGCGTAATGAACTCCACAAGGAACTTTGGGACCTTGAGTAGGGACGGGTAGAAGTGGTCCAAGTAGTTGATGAGGAGTCCCTTGATATGCGAACCATCGTGATCCTGATACACATTGTCAGCAGTGAGATCAAGGTAAAAAGGAGGTAATATACCTGATCAGTCATGAGCATGAGGCGACCGTAGCGCAAGGTCGTCACGTCCGAATACTCCTTGTTGTGCTGAAGACCCATAATCTTCTTGATGGCCTGGATTTCCTCGTTCTTCATGATCTGGTCGTGCTTTGCGTCGCGCACGTTGAGTAACTTTCCACGCAAAGGGAAAACGCCGAAGTTGTCGCGACCGACAACACCGAGACCAGCGATGGCCAGAGCTCGGGCGGAGTCACCTTCCGTGAGGATGAGAGTACACTCTGAAGCTTTCCTCCCGCCAGCGTTGTTAGCATCGGAAAGCTTCGTCATTCCAGTGAGCCTGGATGAGCGTGTCAGGAACATGATTCACTGGGTTATTCAGGTAGTCGCAATACCTCGTTCTCCGATTCCCATCAGTCTTCTTTAGTTGCTGGTCAGCCTTGAACTTTGCCCAGTTCAAGACATGGTCCACGATGCTCGTCTTAGCCACTACAGGACACATCAGTATCGTGGTTGGCATCAGATAGACTCACTCACCTTTCTTCATGAAATCCTCCGAGAGGTTCGGCTTCGAGCCGAACTTGCTCGCGGGCAAGGTGAGTGTCTCCTTCGTCTGACTGTCGAATGTCGGATTTTCGATGAGCGCGTTCACGAAAATCCACATGTGATTCTTGATTTGTGCTGGCTTCACCGTCGCCGCCTTGTTCTTCTTCGTGATGGACGTGATGAGGCTCTTCGCCAACTGGTCCGCGATGTAGGTCACATGTGTGCCTCCCTTGACAGTCGAGATCGAGTTCGCGAACGAGACTTGCTGGAATGACCCCTCCGAGACTGCGAAAGCGACCTCCCACCGGTGGCCAATCTTCTCGTAAACGACACTAGGCTTTGCTTGCGCCGCGCCGCCCGAAGCATCCGCGGCCTGCTCGGCAGCAGAGTTGATGAAGAGTTCGACGTAATGCTTGAAATTCTTGATCTTGAGGCGTTCCCCGTTCAGAAACACCTTCACGTCCTTCACCGTGCCTGCCAAGTCGTGGACGCGCTTCTTGAGCAGAGAGACCGTGTCTTCGTCGATGCTCTCCATCCCGAATCGCTTCAGGTCGGGCTTGAACGAGACGCGGGTATACTCCTCACCCCTGCTGTTCTTCGTGATCTTCGCCTTGCCCATCTTGCTCATGTTCTCCGTCCACGTCTGCGCATATTTCTGGCTCGAGTTCTTGTCCGCGGTGTCGACGGTGAATTGCGTTGAGTAGATGTTGGCGAGCTTAGCTCCGTAACCATTACGACCACCGGTGAGCTTCTTCTCGTCATCGTCGTAGTTGGAGGAGGAGAGGAGGTGGCCGAAGATGAGCTCGGGGATGTAAATCTTCTCCTTCGAGTGCATCTCAATGGGGATACCACGACCATTGTTGTACACGGAGATGGTGTTATTCTCGACGTCGATGTCGACCTTGATTGTGTCCATAGTGGCATCATTAATCTAACGAGGTGGTCAGCATGTAGCCACACGAGCATGAAGCCACGGTACGCGTTTCACGTGAAATAGGCTCGCACCCCCCACTCGTGCATTTTCAGAAGCATACAGCCGACAGTAGGGGTATGTAGACATGCTTTTCCCGCAACGGTTGCGCACCACAAAACGCGCCGTCTGGGGCAAAGGAGAGGTAACACACCTTATTGTCCGCAGCATTGACAAGAATTTCGTCCACAATCTTGAAGAAACCCGGAACGTACTTGATTTCTCGGTGAACCATCCGCTTGTTCTCCGAGTCCCACGTCCACATCATCGCAGTGATGGTCTCCACGCTTCCAATGTAGGAATCGGGACGCTTGAGAATATGCTCCAATTGCGAGAGCTTCGCGCGCCAGATGTTAAAGGTGCGCACGAAGTCAGAGAGAGAGCATGCGTACCTTGGTGTATGTCTCTGAGGCTGTCTTCTTCTTAGTGGGGGCTTTCACTACGGGAGAGGAGGAAGGACCGGCCACTGACGGGCCCTCGTCTTCGTCTATAGGGTCTTCGCGGTCACTGTCCGCATTGTCGTCCTTGTCCGCGAGCACCTTCTTCTTCGTAGTCTTCGGCTTCGCAGCAGCCTTGGGTGCAGCCTTGATGGCGGCCTTCTTGGGAGCAGCAGCCTTCTTCTTCGCGGCGGGGGCGTAACCTTCGGAGTCGGACCCGGAGACGTCCATGTCGAAATTCTCGTCCGAGTCACTCATTTTGATGAGAGACAGAAACAACCGTAAGCTCGGAGTTTGTGAGGCTGTTCTTGAGGTCAAAGGGGAGGGGGGCAGGTGGCTGGTGGGGTGTTGGTTGGTGTGCACTGTGAAGGTGTTCAACGCGACGCGATCGCTCTTTCGACGCGTCTCGCACGTGACTGATGCACGCTTTCTTCGGACTCTCCGAGCGCTCCGTGGGAGCGCTGCCAGCGCCAGCCTGGCTCACTACAAGCAACCTCCTTGTCCTCGGCCAGATTGCCACTCGGTCGACCTCAATTGCTCACAAACGTCGTCCGCGCCACCCAGTATGCGGCCATCATTACCAATTCTGCTTTCAAGCCTGGTCCAGCTGCCGCGAATCATCACGCAAACGGGCGCGCCTGAACACAGTGATCAGGATACTACCGCCGACATCAACGTCTACCCATATACGTAAATAGGCCCCGGGCGGCTGGATGTGGGTACGAACAAATACGGGCAGCCTACGGCATTGAGGGTCAGAAGAAGACGCCATGATGTTACGCAATTCTGCCTTCGGAACGCATGGCGTTTGCATGCGGACGCATCCCATATGACAACTGGAGTCCTTCGAACATCGGATCCTGTCTTCTTGGTTCCGCCGTCTAGACATATATAATGGCCCGCCCCTCACGATGTCCGTTTCCTCCTCCGTAACCTGGCGCCATGCTCCTCGGTGCATCTCAGCTCGTCGGAACTGCTCTCCTCGCCGCCTTGAGCGGAGCGCAGGCTTTCACTCCTGTATCACCTCTAGCAATCAAGCTCGCGGCCAAGCAGCCCAAGTCCTCTCTCTCTCGGCGACAGAGTTCGGAGTTCCCGCTCTATAACTTCACCCAACCTCTCGATCACTTCCAGGACACCGGATTCACGTTCCAGCAGCGCTACTGGCTCAGCGACCGCCACTACAAGCCAGGCGGTCCCGTCATCGTCTTCGAAGCTGGTGAAGGTCCCGGGGACGCTCGCATCCCAATCCTAGACACGGGTATTGTGGACATCCTCGCGAACGCTACCAATGGCTTGGGTATCATACTTGAGCATAGGTACTATGGTACGTACACTCACGCGGCGTCGTGACTACGTTGTTGACCTTGATGGTCACTTCTCAGGAGAGTCCATCCCCGTACTCAATTTCACCACCGACTCGTTGAGGTACGACTGCATACAGTCACGTCATGGCACATATGCTGATCGTATCTCGTCGTGTGCACAGGTGGTTGAACAACGAGCAAGCGGCCGCAGACTCTGCCAACTTCATCGACAACGTCACATTCCCGGGCATCGACGCTGACCTCACGGCACCCGGCACTCCATGGATATACTACGGCGTCAGTCCTCCTTTCTTCCTTCCTTCTCGCATTCATGCTCCACATGGCTCTCGCCAAAAATAACCCGCACCACATGTACCCAAGCGCAGAACGCCAGGCATCGCATGCGCGGCCCTATCATCTCTGTATTCGCACGTCCACTACTAGCACGACCCCAGTGATGAGAAATGTGAGCGCCCGCGAGATCAAACCATGAGAATCTCAACCATTACTGCTGCGATAGTCTTCGGATTTTGTACACATGCTGGCAGTGTCGTAAGAAAGCGATTTGCAAAATTTCAGAGGAAACGGGTACGTATTGCGCCCCCAGTGGGCGAACCGGCCGCGGACCCTAGTTATGAGAAATTTCGCCGAGGCTCAGTCACGGCACGGGTCACGCAGCCGACATCAACTCCGCTCGGCTAGCCCGTCGGACGCGTCCAGTGATGACAGCATCCTCCCTGACGGCAACGTCGGAGACTGAAATTCACTCACGTTCTGTGGCCGAAGTCACGCTTGAACCGACCCAAAGTGCGTTTTCGCCCCCCTCCCGCAGATATTGTGCCGGAGAATTCGAATTAAGGCAGCCATCGTTCATCCAACACCCCTCGCGCAGCTTCAACCTAAGCGCTGTTCATGGGATCGTAGCCGACGGGTATCAAATCCTCGACTTTTCTCATTCGAGAGATGTTTGCCAAAGATCGGGCTTGTTTCTGCACGGAACGACGTCGTTCTTTTTGCAAACGAAAGTTAACACATACTCCTACCAACATGTGAATTTTCAACATTATCGGACGAGGGACGGGACCGTCAGACCAGATTTCTCAACACTGGGGCCTTTCTCATCACTGGGGTCGTGATAGTAACACTCCTACTCACAGGGCTCATACGGCGGCGCTCGGGCCGCGCACATGCGCGTGCTCTACCCCGACCTCGTCTTTGGCGCAATCTCCTCGAGTGGTGTCGTGCACGCGACCGTCGACGACTACTTCTACTTCGACATTATCCGCCAGTTCGCGCCCGCGCCGTGCATGGCGCGCGTCGCCGAGGCCATCGAGGAGGTTGACGCGCTCCTCGAGGCGAACGCGACCCATGACGCGATCAAGGACGTCTTCGGTCTCTCCGGCCTGTCATACGACCCAGACTTTGCGTCACTACTGTCGGTGAGTTGAGATGTACTGTAGGCGCGTGGAGTGCGCTGTGGGAGTATCCGATGCCAGTCGGAGGCTACACTAACGACGCATCGTTTCGTTTTGTCACAGTCGCCGCTCGGCGGGTGGCAGAACACGAACTGGGACCCATCGATCAGCAGCTTGGGCTTCGCCCGCTTCTGCGCGGCCATCGGCCCCGTCGACAATGCGACCGTGGCCACCCCGCAGGGTATCACCGTCAAGAATTCTACGTTCGCATACGCGAAGTACATCATTAAAGTAGAGCGCTCACTCTTCTCGCGTTTGACAAAATTAGCTGACCTTGTCGCCAGGAGTTCTCTTCAGCTTGCCCTCCAGAAGAACAAGACCAGGTGCGTGTACTGACCTAGATGGATTCCGCTCCGACGCTGATATCATGGCTACAGTGCTTCGGAAGCATCACTGATAAAGAGTTTTACGAGCAGACGGACCTCTCGCAGACCTGGCGCACATGGAGCTTCCAAGTTTGCACCCAGTGGGGCTTCTTCATGGTGCGTCCCAAAGTCCCACTTGCTGGTACTTTCTACCATCTTATGCCTTCTAGACCCCGCCTCCGGACCCTTCGGTTCCCCGCATCATCTCTAAGCTCCTCACGATCGACTATGGCGAGCTCACCTGCAAGCTGGTACGTACCACTGTCCATCTGTTCTGTCTCTGAACCTCAAAACCCCATCACACTCGCGCAGGCCTACGCTCCCGGGGAGTTCTTCACCGTCCCGCCTCTCCCCGACGTCGAGTCGGTGAACAAGCTCGGCAGCTACAACATTGCCGCCGACCGCCTTGCGATCATCGATGGCCAAGGTGGGTCGCTCTTCTTTTTGCGAAGTTGCGTGAACTCATGCTGTCTTTTCTTAGCCGACCCTTGGCGGGGCGACTGCCCGCACAGCCCTGACCCCGCTGCGAAGCCTCGTCCTGACACGACCCTGCGCCCCTTCAAGCTCATCCTCAGTACGTCAGGGCCGGCTTTGTCCTCGTTTCCACACATTTGACGCCGGCGTCAATACAACAGACGGCTCTGTACACCACTGGGACGAGAACGGCCTGGCTAACCCGAGCGCGGAGCCTCCCTTCATCCACGAAATTCACCAGGAAGAGATCGCGTTCGTGAAGGCGTGGCTTGAGGACTTTGTGCCTCCTTCGTAACGACGTCTATGGGGTCTGAACAACGCGTATAAGACATACTACAGGTGTTCGGTCATGTCTAGAGCCGCCACTTATATCCGAAGTCAGAGAGCATGGTCCGAACTCAATCCGGAAGGTTGAACTCGGACATAACCTCGAAGTGAGTTTCTTATCAGCCAGACGATCGACTTCCCTGTTCTTCTTCACTGTCAATATCGACAAAATTTATGGCTTCATGGAGGGCCACATGCAGATTTCGTGGGTTTGATGCTGGCTTCCGAAGAGCATCCACTGCCATTGACCCCGTGCTGCCTCTCAAGCTAACCACATGCAGAACTCTCTCAACGCTATGCTTGAAAAGAACTAAAAGATATGCACCACAGCACAGCCGCCATTCGTTAATTGGCTTCCCCACGCACCCATCAACACCTTCTGCGGTCCTTCCAGCCAACGCTCATTGGACTTCAGTGGGCGCCCACATGACCTAGTAGAAGCACAACACTCGGGTCTGCTCCGAAATCGATCGTTGGCTGACCACAATCACACCGGCGAGAACAACGGCGAGAGGCCGAGACTCCCGGTCAGCCCTACTCGCTTTCGCGGAGCCGAGTCTGAAACCGCCAGCCTCCGTCCTATATAACGCCCCCGTCCGCCGAACCTGCTCTCTCCTCAGAACCACCACTATCGGTGAGCCTTCCTCCTTCTTCCCGTCCGCGTCACGACCACTCATCCTCGTTCTCGTCTACAGTGTGGTGGGAGGTCTGGCTGTCCCTGGAATGTGTGCGTCCCTCGGGCCCTTCTCCTCTCCTCGATCTCTCACTCATGTGCCACTCGCACTCGCCACAGATGGGAAACAGCAGACTTCTCGGCAGGCGGCATGCGAACCTGACCCACACACTCTCGCCCAAGCGGGAGGGGGAGGAGGGTACATATCCCAGACCCATGTGCCCCGGAGCCAGGCTCTGGGGTGCGCCGAGACGAGAGTACCTGAACCGGCACCGGGCGTCGCCTCGTACGGCGTCCGGGGCTTGAGGGGGCCGTCGGAGACGGCTACCCAAGGGACGGGGAAGCGCAATGTGGTCAAAGACTAACGCCTCCCGGACGTGTCGACTCGACTGTCCGCGGGGTGGGCGGCGGCGTACGCACCTTGCGGCCGGGCTCCTCCCTCTCTCGCGCCGGGAACTGTCATGGGCGAAGGATGCAGGGTTGGAGGGGCTCGTCACCGCTCGGTGTCGCGTCGCTATTGCGGGGGAGGACGTCGTGACAGTGAGTCTTTCGCCTTGGTTTCACGTACTCGCGAGGCTGACTCTTTGGCGTGCAGCCTCCCCCGGCGCGCGGTGTGAAGTTGTTCACAAATGTGACGCATCGCGTGTCGACCGGAGTGGGCAAACGCTCTCTTCGGTTCCTCACCCTCGCGGCGCCCCGTGCTTCACCCTCATCCTCGCACGTACGGACGCGCTCGTCTCGAGTCGTCCTGGGGCGCCGCCGTCACAGATAGTAAGTGATTCCTCGTCGCGCGCGCCGCGGTTTCTGACCACGTTGAGCTTGCAGAACACCACCCCAACCACCCCCGGGGTGCATGAACACGCCTCACGGCGCATGCATCCCCACAACCCACCCACGCCGCCACGGCACATATCTTTCTTTTACACTTTCTTTCTTTCGCAGCGGGTATCGGGGAGCGCGACTAACGTCGCCTCCCGGAATCAAGAAGCCCCCGAGGAAGGGTCGGTCTTCGTCGCGCACGCGGCGGGGTCGTTCCTGGCGCAGGCCTCTTCGTGGCCCTCGGGACTAGTACCGCTTCGGCAGGGAAGCCAACTGCGCCGAAACGGACCTGGGGATGGCATCCTAGGTGGCAATTATATGTGTCTCTGAGTGCTTCGTTCATGTAGCGGGAACCCGCACAGTTCCCGCCGTCTGATCTTCAATGACTGACACTCTGCCCCCACATAACCGTGCAGTACAGACGAACCTCGCGGCTGCCGATCCTTTCTGTTGGGCACGCTCCGGTGAGCAAGTGTTTTGTTCTATTGAACCTGCGGCGAGCTAATCTGCCTGCTTACAGAAGACCTACCACCAACCCACGCTTTAAGACCCGCGGGGTTGTTTGTACTCTCTCGAGCGAAGTCGTCTCCCCGTCTCCCACTTCGGCGCACCGTGGCTTGTAATCCCGTAGATCACACCATTGTGTAAACCACTGTTCAAGCGACACCTTTCGTGCCCTTCTCTGTGTGCCCATGCTCGCGCCCTACTATCGATGAGAGGCACTGTGACTCCTGGCAAGGCGGCCGTGTGCCCGGATTCCAGTATGCTCCTGGTCAGACATAAACACATACGGACATGGTCCCAGAAACTCACCGTTCATGTATACATGCTGTCCTCGTCGCTATCCCTCCACTCTCCTCCCACATCCATGTCCTCCGCCGCCCCGTCTCCATCCCCCGTCTCGGCTCTCGCGCCCCTCGCCTCGACGCGCACGACGAGCCTCCACGGGACCATGACCTGCCCGACGTACCGTGGGCCCGCGCCCTCCGCGCCCGCGTCCGGGCCGACGCGGTACTCGTCCGTGTTGACGAGGAGGACGTTGAGCTGCTTGTCGGTGCCCGCGAACGTGCCGAGGAAGACGCGGCCGTCGGCGACGGACACGCGCAGCGGTGTGCGGAGCAGCGCGGCCACGTCGGCGACGCTCGACGTCGGCGGGGACGTGCGTGGGCGGGGTGGGGCGGTCGCGACGGGAGGCGAGGACATCGGTAGTCGAGCTCAAGATGGGTGTAGGAGGAGAAGCTAGAGACGGGGGTGAAGGCCTCGGAGCGCGCGCTGGGCGCCGTGGGCACGTCATGCGCAGTGCGAGCGTTCGTCGACCAAGGGTGCACGCACGACTCTTGAGACCATACACGACGTGGTTGTGCACGAATCTCGACAGTGCCGCCTCCACATTCGCCCGTGGCAGCTAGCAGTGCCTCCGATCGACCATGGTCCTTGCATCCCGCCCACCACCTGCGCACCGGCATCCACGCCTGCTGAAATTACTGTCGACTCTGCTCTAGACGCAGGGCTCCCCTTCAACCATGGCCTCACTCCCTACGACTACTCAATCCCCCGACCTCCCCATAAAGCCTCCAACAAGATCTTCGACGGAGCCACCAACCGAGTCACCCGAGGCCGTGGCGCGGGAAATCCTCCCTCTCTCCACTCGGGGTACCCGACCCATTAGTTCTATCAGCACGAACATGGCGTATGAACACGCAGAGAATGCAAACAGGGTCAAGGTATTGGGAAACATCTCCTTCATGATGTCCCCAGGTGGCCCAGAAGACGCGAGAACACATGTTGTTGGAGTCATCGGTCGCATAGACCGGGAGGGTATCCACGCAGTCATCACGTCGGGCAACGCACGTCGTGAAGATATAGATGGCAACCAAAGCTCGCTCAGTCTCATCGCAGCATCTGATCAGAGGGGCGCCGATCTGTTGGACAGCTGGGACCAACCCTTTAGGTGCGTTTCGTCGAACTGCTTGATTCCTTCACGGCGTAGTCATTGATCCCAATATGCAGGGAATTCGACGACTATGATGCCTACGTGGTTGACGCGACCTCTGTCATCCAGCATTTCTGTGCCGGTGTCTCCGATCCCACCATCCATTCCTGGAAGGCGTTCATGTTCATCATCAGCCGCTGCTACCACAAGTTGCTTGCCCGCCTGGAGAATGGCGACAAAGTCTGGGGTGGGCCGAACGGTACTGAGCACGACCATCCGGCGAGTTACATCTATCGAGCGTACAACGAAGGACCAGCGCCATTGGTCTCGGAGGCGTATTTCGAACTCAAACTGCCCCCTCCTCTCATTCAGAAGACCCTCATTCAGCGGTGGGGCCTTGAGCCATCTTCCTCCGCACCAAGCTCAGCCTCACACTCACCTGGCAACGCCGCTGCAGCTGAGCGCCGACATTTCAGGGTCTCGAACGACAATGCGCCACGATGGTCGCAAGTAGTCCACGATGTGGTGCAGGATATCAGGCAGTTCCTTCATGCGATGGTCACTAGGCAAACCCCATACGAGCCCAAAGACTACGTCACGTTGTACGACTCCATGTCGGTTTTGAAGGTGTTGTTATCGGCAGGCGTCGTGGCGCATCTCATCACCGCGAACATGGGGGTTCGCTTGTCCACTTCACGCGACGCAGGGCCGAAAGGTCTAGATCTCCGCAGTGAGTCGCTGTCTGCGACAGGCCTGAGTGCAATGTCTGATCTATACGCAGGCATTCTCGAGCCGATCAAGGATGCCTCGAAACAGCTCGACAAGGAATCGGACCAGCTCGATATCAATGATATATTTTCTAAACTGTCCCAAGGTGTGCTGCGCCTACACTTCCTATCTGTGTAGCATGTTGCTCACGAGCCGGGCAGAAACCAACCCCGATGAACCTACGGACACGGAGGCCAGTGACGGGGACGACACGGACGACGACGATGACTGTGATTCTGGTTTGTTTCTGTTGTCTATGTAGCACCTCGACCACGTCCTGAACCTTTTTCGTGTAGGTCTGGCGGATGCACGTATCGAGCGGGGGGAAACACCGACATCCCACGTCATCAGACACTTCAAGACGTTAGTGGCTCCCCTCAACACCCTCAACACCCTGCGTCGACTGCGCAGGGCGCATTCAGCCGCAGTGAAAGTCTACCATTACAAGGGTGCCGCCCTCGCGTCGACCGGGTCACCGGCTGTATTCAAGGACGTTTTGGAGGCAGCACAGAAGATCGGCTTGAGCGTACCTAAACAATCGCGCTTCAGTGAGGTGCTGGAACACCCCGAGAACGCGAAGCTCAATGGCGCACTGCACGCTGAGGCAGAGCTCTTGACCCTCGCCTGGTCTGTCCGCGCACAGCCTGAAGCTGTCAAGAGACTGTTCAGTGACGCCTTCCCCGACCTGGAAAACATCTCCGAGGTGCGTTTCGAAGTTCCGAAGAGTTGGCAAGTTGGCATTCGTCGACGGCCACTAACGTCGTCACCGCTCGCAGGGCGACGCAATCCCGATGGGAGTATGCAAGAAACCCTGCTACTGCTGCTTCCTCCTCGCACAGAAGCTCGCCTCGACGGCACTCACGGGAAACAATGCCGTCAAGTTCATCCTTCCCGGGACTCATGCGACAGTCTATCCCTGGGTTCCCCCCGACGGTCTACCGTTGGCGGTCCTCCAGAGTATCAGGGGTGACCTGAAGGTGGTTCTGACGCAAGCTATCAACGAGGCTCTACGGACGACCGGCTCGGCGCAGAGCTCGCCATTCAGCGATGACTCTGAATTATACGACCTGTCAGATATTGCAACAGACGACGTACTGAAGCAGACCGCAGCCGAAGCTGAGGCTCGCAGGACAAGAGATCTGATGGGATCGTAGACGAACAGCTCGCTGCCTCCGAACCAGAGGACGAAGATATTGCAACAGATGACAGACATACTGGAGCAGACCGAAGCCGAGGTGTGCGCAGAACGGGAGATCCGATGTAATCATGTAATCGTAGCCGAGGAGAGTTGTGTATATTAGCGTAGACGGCTTATGAGTCTCTGTCGCTTGTACTCTCAGCAGCAGCAGTTTATGAAATCGAGGGTATCGTCCACTTTCAGGATACTATACAACAGTGTGAACAGTGCGAGGCAACACAACACCGATAGAGGGTGGCAGAGCGATGGAATCAATCCACATCGGAAAGCAAGGCGGAAAGGAGGGTCAGAGTTCCTCGTATTCGTCTTCGTCGGAACAACAGCACATGACGGGCTCCATATGCCACCACCACCACTGTCCGAAACGCACAGCGTAAGCAGAGAGCGGGCGGGGCACGGGAGGGGGCGAGACACCACTCACATGTCTGTTGAATATCCGCCACGGCCACCGCCCAAAGACGGCCTCCTCCTCGCGCCGGAGCGCGGCCGCACGCAACGCCCGCTCTGCCTCCGGCATCCTCGCCACCTCGTCCTCGTCCTCTTCCTCGTCGCCGTACATCTGCCGCCACGACGGCCGGAGGAGCGCGCCGCGCTCCCCGCGCCCGTGCGCGCCCGCGCTCCCCCGGACCCCGCGCATCCCGTGGCGCGTCATCGTCCCCTGCGCGCCCGCCGCGCCGTACCCGCCGCGGCCGTTGGACAGGTGGTGTATCACAGGCCGGCCCTGTGGCTGTTGTTGTTGCTGCTGCTGGCGGCGGGACCAGGAGCCGGACGAGGCGTACGCGCTCAGCCGGCGGCCGATGGGCCCCCACGCCGCGTTCTCGTCCGCCTGGTAGCGGAGCGGCGCCGAGATCGAGGACGAGGGCGACTCGGACGTGCTCGAGCCGGGCGTGGACCCGCCCGCGGCGGCGACGTGCGCGCGCACGCGGTGCCGGTGCACGCCCGAGGTGATGCGCACGCGGCTCCGGAAGCGGACGCGCGGGGCGGGGCGGTCGGCGCGGTCGGCGCGGCCGGCGCCCTCCGCATCGGACGAGGAGGAGGAGTCCGGCTCGGCGCCGTACTCGGACTCGTCGCCGACGACGATCACCGACGGCGGCGTCGCGGAGCGCGGCGCGGCGGGGTCGTCGTCGATCAGGTGGAGGGCGTTGCCGGGGACGATGCACGGCTTCGGGGAGGTGCCTTCGAGCGCGAGCTTCCGGTCGGCGTCGAAGAGCGAACTGAGGGGCGAGCTCGGGGCGGCGCTGAGCCCGAGCGCGACGTGCCGTGGGCGCGGCGCGGCGGGGACGGACATCGGGGAGCTCGCTGCCGGGGTCGAGTGGGGGTTCTTGGAGGCGGCCGGGTCACTGAGAGCAGACGGGGGTGTGTCGGGCGCGAGGGAGGGCGAGGATGGGGAGGAGCTGGAGAGGGCGGTCGCGGCGTCGACGTAGGCGTACTCAGGGATGCGTAGCTGGGCGGGATGGGGCGACCCTGCAGCAGGAGCTACGGGCGGAGGGTCATCTGCGGCGGCGTCGATTGCCCGTCGAGGGGGTAGAGGAGGGGGAATGCGGCTGGGCGCAGGCTCGGAGAGGGCAGGGGGAGGGGGAGGCTCGTGCACGGCGGGGGTCTTGTTGCCTGACGGGGCGTGGGGATCGGGAGGAAGGGAAGAGCGTGTCAGATGCGGGAGGGCGATGGACCCCGCAGGCCCTTGCGTGCGAGCACCGGGGACCAGGGAGCGAGGGCAAAGAGAACGGGGCACGCACCGGAGAGGAGGATGGACTTGACGGGACCAGGCTCGCGGGAGCTCGAGCGCCGCCTCGTGCAGGGTGTGCGCGTGCTGGGGGCAGATGGGAGTGCGGGGGATGCGACGGAGGCCATTAACTTGTGGACGTTGTGGACTGCAGGTGCTAGAACGTGCGGAGGTGGACGAGGGAAGTGGGCATGAGGAGAGCCGTGCAGGCTCCGACTCACAGCGGGCGGGCGAGGGGGTCGTGGCCGTAGCCGTGGCCGTGGTCGTGGTCGAAGGAGAGGAGCGAAGGCGGCCTAACCGTCGCGGAGTCGAGCCGACTGTGGCGGGCGCGATCCGCGTTCGGGCAAGCGCAAGAGTCGAGCTCAAGAGTGATTTCGGCGCAGCGATCTCGCGGCCTGCGACGTGTCGAGCTCGAGGTCCGCGCAGAGAGCAACTCCAAGTGCAACGGTGCGACGCCCGCCCCGTGTAGACTCTGGCGGGCTCGGTCTAGCCGTCGCTCGCGGTCACCGGACCTGATGCCACTGCCAGATCTGCTCGCACGCCCACTGCCGTCGCTCGCCGCGGCTCCTCCCCTGCGATAACCGTCCATCCCAGCCCGCATGGCGTGCTATTCTCGGACATTGGGCGCGCGCATGTCCGCTGAGGTCCAAGGAGAAGGAGACAGCGACAAGTCCTGAAGGCACGAGTCCATAGATATGTACAAAGTAGCAGTAAGCCCTCCGGAGTCTGGATTCTTCAGCGATCCTCAGCCACGCCGTCCAGTATTTCCTCCACGGCGCGGTGCACGCATGCAGCATCAAACTGCACCTGCTTCGTCTTCTCGTCAATGGGGCCATCGACCGCAACGCAGCGGACTCCCAGAGCCTGGAGGAGACTGAATGAGCATCCGTCGTGGATCCGCGCACAAGCCGGGAGCACGGACCGTGATTTGGCGCACGTCCACGGCGACTGCGGTGCCTTTGAGGTAGACGAGGTGGGTGATAAACGCAGAGATAGGGTATCGCGTATCTGCTTTGCTCAGGCCGCCGTACGAACGGACGTGGTGACCGTCATTCAATGTCTGCGCAATGGTGCTAGAGAGGAGCTAAGCCAAGGGCGACCCGAGAAGAGAAAGGAGCTGACCGAACGTAGTCCACCGCCGTGTACCCATCTGTCTCCCTATCGTTGACTGAATTCACTGCCCATCGGTCGCGTGAGCAAGAACGGCGATAGCGAGAGCAGGCTGCCACTCACGTAGAAGCACCTTTGCCTTGAGCTTGCGCGAGCCAGCGATTGCGTTCGCCACACCCTTCAGGGCCAAGCACGGCATGATGCTAGGAACGCCATGTCAGAATTGGCGATTCCATCATGGACCCGGGTGCACTTACCTTGTCCAGAGCGATCCGCACGAGTAAATGAGAACATCATGGCACGACAGCGCAGAAATGTAATCTGGGTTTGGCGTGGGATGGATCTCGTTGCCATACGCGTTGATGTAGTACAATCCTAAATGTTTGGTCAGGCCAGGACGAAGCGTCAACATATGTCTGGTGCGAACGCACTGCTGATGGGAGCACTGAGTGGCTGGAACTTGTGCTTCTCCTCCGCCTGGAACATCACGTTCCGTGCACGGGGAAGCGTTCCGTCCAAGGGATCAACGGGGGAGGTAGGATCGGATTCAAAGGAGAAATCGATGCGCGGGGCGTCGCGAACGGGATGCGAGATCTCGCACTGGCCTACCAACCTCTCGCCGTTCCCCTGGGGAAAGCAGCTCAGATCTACAACTTCAGCCGTGAAGTGTTGAAGCTCACCAGCTCGGCGGCAATGGTGACTGTGTGGTTAGTGACAATGACTGGAAGTATATTCGCCTGACGATTATAAGTATATGCTGCACTTCGTAAGGGGAAACTGAAACAGACCTGGCTGTTTGTCATAGACGAAAACAAGAAGATGGCCGAAGGCAAAGACCGGAAGAAAGCTTGTGCCGCAGACAAGAAGTAATTCCCGATACTGCAGCATTCCGACATGAGCGACACCCTCGAGAAACTCAAAAACAGTGACGCACCTCCCATTGACGAACGAGAAGTTCTTGTGCGCCCGCGAGAGGATCTCGCTCTCAAAGTGCACGAGGAACGCTGCCGCGCACGCATCCCATGGATCCCGCGCGCGCAGGACGAGACGGCGAGCAGAACGCACCTCTGATCATCTCCTTGCGGTCGCTCGGGATCCCCGCCCAAAGCTTGCTCCGGCCCTCGACGATGTCCCGCCACTCGTCGCGCGCCTCGCGCTCGGTGCAGCTCGCCGGGAGCCGGTACGCGAGCAGGGTGCGGATCGCGTCCAGCGGCGAGCCCGGGTCCGCCTGTGGTATGAGGCGGATGAGGCGCGAGCGGATGTCGCCTGCGCATGCGTACCCCGGAGGTGGACTGAGCACATCGAAGAAGCACAGGGAGGAAGGACGAGAAGCACCTATGGACGGCCCGCCAAGCACGCGGATGATCTCGCTCGAGGACCCGCCGTCGTCGGAGACGGGCAGGATGTAGCACGCCGTCCGGCCGAACGCGGCGCAGATGGAGTTGCAGCCGGTGCCCCCGGAGAGGACGACGAAGGAGGGCTTGCCGGCGAGCGTGCTCGGGGTTTCGGCGAGGAGGGTCGGATGACGGTCGGGGGGCGCGGGGATGACGGGCTGCGGCTGAGTGGGGAGGTCGAAGACGGAGGACCCACTGGGGCTCCCCGGAACAGCGTTGGGGGAAAGGGCGAAGAGGTTGCTCATCGTGGAGGGTGGTGAGTCCGTGGACAGCGCGTCGAACGTTGAGACGTGGAAGAAGAACGTCGAGGGGAGGCGGTGATGCAGGTCGAGTGATGAAAGGCAGCGGCGGGGACCATGGTGGATCGGAGGCAAGCAGCGCACTACGTGCGGGCGTACGTGGACTGTTGTGGAGTTCTGTGCAATCTCGCCGGCGAGACCGTCGCGAAGCGGGATGTTGTGCGTGTGCCGTCGACGATGAAGTTCGCGTTCATGCACGAGCTGGGCAGCCAGCCAAGGTCGCCGTCTCAAACGTCGAGTGTGCTCCGCGCGCGCTCCGAGGCACCAGTACTGGCGCTTATGTAGGCGTCCCTGCACACTTGAGTCTCTCTTGTCGTCCCTTAATTCGTCGACTCATCCATGGCCTCACCCCCAGCGACGACTCGGTCGCCTAACTCTCTGTGATATCCAAAACGGAAAACCTGATGGCGTCCTCCTCCGACTCTGCTGCGAAGCCCTCGCCGACGTCGCCACCCGAGTCCCTCCAGGTCGTGGCACAGGATATCCTCGTTCTCTCCATCCTCGCTCGGGATGTCCGACCCATCGATCCCGTCGGCATGCGGACTACTGGAGGGACCAAAGACTTGGGTAACCTCTCCTTCATGATGACTCCGGGCAGCAAACAAGAGGCAGGAGCGAGCGTCGGAGTCATCGGGCGGATGGACGGGGAGGGCTTGCACGCAGTCGTCATGTTGCGCAACGCACATTGTAACGACCCAAGCAAATCTGATATCAAACCCATCCCGGCCTCCACTCAGAGGGGTCGTGAACTGCTGAAACGCGGCTGGACCCGACCACAGAGGTGCATTTTGTCGGGTGGCTCGTATCGTTCCGGAGTTACTGATCCCAATGTCCAGGGACTTTTCCGACTATGATGCGTACATGGTCGACGCAACCTCAGTCATCCAGTACTTCTGTACTGGTAGCAGCGATCGAGAAGATATTACCGCGGACTCCTTTACCACTTTCGCATTTATCGTAAGCCGCTGCTATCACAAGTTGCATGCCCGCATGGAAAACGGCGACAAAGTCTGGGGTGGGAAGGCGGGCACTGAGTACAACCATCCGTCGAGCTACATCCGTCGAGCATACGAGGGAACAAACCCACCATCGGTCCCGGAGGCGTACTTCGACCTACCTCTACCCCTTGACATTATCAAGAACATCCTCACTGGGCGGTGGGGCCTTAAGCCATCCTCCCCCTCCGCATCGAGCGATTCCCCCCTACCTGGCAACACCGCTCGGAGCCGACGGTTCAAGGTCTCCAACGACAATGCGATACAGTGGTCGCGAGCAGTGCACGGTTCGGTGCAGGATATCAGGGTGTTCCTAGATTGGTTGAGTCGACGGATGATAAGCCCTGCACGGGGGACGACTATTTGGGTCTGCTGAACTCCATGATGGTCCTACGGGCGTTGTTATCGGCCGGCGTCGTGGAGACACATACCGCCTTATCCGGCAGGGAAATTCAGTAAGACTGGGAGGGTGTGTCCGGATGTCGCCGCCAACGACCTCAACCACTCCGTCGCGATCAACGATGCGCTAACGCTCGTCGCGGCGGGCACGTTCGCGTCGACACCGACGTTCGCCTCCTTGGTGTCCGCGATCAACGACGCGCGACTCGCCACGGGAAAGACTCCCGTTGGGTGCATCAACCATGCCGTACGTGATGTTCCGACCGTGTTGTGACTGCTTTTTGGTGCTGACGGGACGTTTCATACGATAGCTGGACGAATTTGCGGACGCGTTTAATGACGTTGCCCTCGGCGGCAACCTAGGGTGCAACACGACGGGGTTCACGGCCTCGGGGGGATGGGATCGGGTGTCTAGCTTGGGTACGCCGGACTTGTGAACGGACCAGTATTGTTATTTACTTCCGCAACAAGGCAGCCCAATGATAGCAAAGCCTCTTATCAAATGTATAGCACGACCCACGCCGAGGCCTCGTAACTAGAATCCAAACACAGTATCTGAATACATGACTAGTGATTCTGGGTGGGCTAGTAGCGTCTGAATGTCAAATTTGTTCTCCAAACCTGTTAGGTTGAATCACCCACCAGAGGTGGCCAAAGTGCTGTGCTCGGTGGCGCCACAGCGAGATATGCCGGTACGGTGTTCATAATCGGAAGGGGCGGGGGCTGATCTCGCCGTCATATCTCTGCCAAGCATACGGTGAAAAGTGACTTACAACGTATGAATAGCAGTGCCCTTCCTGCTCTCGTCTATGGAGCCAACCTAGTTGTTTTCGTCCATTGAAAAAGGCTCGCTCCAGTAACCCCCACCTGGCGTTGCGATAAAGGTACCCATCAACTGTTGAACAGGCCAACTTTGTGTTCAAGAGACTGAATATACACGTCGAAGGATCAGGTGAGCTCACCATCGGAATGCGGTCCACGATGGAACTGCACATATTTGACATGTTTAAACTCCTCGAGGTCGCGCAGCGAGCGTGGATACCAGTGATCGGCGACCTTCTCTGCGTCCTTGTCGAGAAAAACGTCCGGAGCGGGGTCACCGACGGGTACGAACGCGAAACGGCAGGCCAGCACCCAGCCCTGAGAACAACGGAAGAAATCTTGGCTGTCGACAGGGCCGTAGGGGACAAGATTTGGCGCCCTGAGTAGGAATTTATGGTCGAAGTATACCCGCGTCCGAAGGATTGTGGCCATTTCAAGCCCGGGAACGCCACAGGCCTTCGCGAGTATATGTTTCGCGGCTTCTTCGGAAAAAAGGTAGCCTCCAATGTAGGAGGAGAAATCGAGATACGAAGACATCGGAGTTGGAAAGTGTTGTAGATTGAACTACGAATGGTGACCAAGGGAGGTGGCTCAAAGACGGGGAGCGGGCTGAGCAATGGTGGGGTCTGCGCACTCCTCTTATACAAGGCCCCACTGGGATATGCAACCGACGAGATGATTCGGCGTCAGGAGGGGAAATATACCCAACTTGAGAGACACAGGGGACTTGAAAAGGGGCGCCACAACAGGGGGTTGGGTTTGTAAACCCCAGGAACCCTACAGTTAGATAGTGGTGGGAGTCGCCGCTCGGTCGCTCGGCGACCCCGGCTCGCGAGGATTTCGGCGCAAAGCCTAATGCGAAGGGATATATATGAACCTCATGCATCATGAACGAAGACCCGCGTATCGTGGGGATTTGCGAGCAGCTGGCTGGCGTCTCGCTGTGGACCAGTGCCATTGTACCGCATCCAGTCTTCAAACGGAGAGCAATGTTATGGCCTACGACCATCGCATCTACGCGGCACCTCGTTCCCCTAGTACTGGCTCCGGGGCACATGGGCCTGGGATATGTACCCCCTCCCCTTCCCGCCTGAGCGAGAGTGTGTAGGTCAGGTTCGCATGCCGCCTGCCGATAGGTCTGCTGTTTCCCATCTGTGGCGAGGACGAGTGGCATGTCAGCGGCTAGAGCGCGATGAAGGGGAGAAGGGCGGGGGCGTACACATTCCAGGGACAGCCAGACCTCCCATCACACTATAGCCTAAAAAGACGAAGATGACTGGGCGTAGCGCGGGGTAGGGTAGAAGAAGGGGAAGGCTCACCGATGGTGATGGTTCTGGGGAGAGAGCGTGTTTGGCGGACGGGGGCATTATATATGGGACGGAGGCTGGTTTCAGACTCGGCTCCGCGACAGCGAGTAGGGCTGACCGGGAGTCTGGCCCTCTCGCCGTTGTTCCCGCCGGTGTGATTACAGCTGTTTCCGAAATGATTGCCCGACCAACTCCGATGATACGCGAGCTCGCATCACACGCGAGCTGCACGAACGCACACGAGAAAATCGAAAAAAATCGAAAAAATCGTCCTCATCGTCTGCAGCGGTTTTGCGCCCTCCGCTCCATTCCTTTTGTCTCTGCTTCACATCTCATCATGCCTGGGTGCTATGTCTCGCGAGATATCAAGCTTCAAGGCTTGTGCGATCTACTTGCGGTCGGTTCAAGGCTGGTCGCGGGTCGACGTGGCTGAAGTCCTGGGAGCGTCTATACGTTCTATCCGACGATGGGAGGACGACTACAAGACATTAGAGCAGCCGGATTCTCTGTGGTCGCTGCCCTCTGCTTCCACCCGCGGTCCTAGAGGATCTGCGATATATCCTCTCCCACCCTTCGATGTACCTCGACGACGAAGTCGTCAAGTGGTGCATTGAAACCCACGGTATTCGCATCTCTCTCACCACTGCCCACCGTACCCTCGTCCATCTCGGGTTTTCGTACAAGAAAATGTGAAAGGAGGCAGCCCAACGCGACGAGATCACCCGGCATTGGTGGCACGCCCAGGACGAGTCAAACAAGGACAACCGAACTGTATGAGTGCGCTTTGAATGGGCAGCGTGCTGGCTGACCAGGGCCGACGCTTCTCCGTCCTCCCCGCCCTCACATTGGACGACATTCTCCCCGTGTGGGTGGTGCAGGATGGTGTGGAGTCCTACCGGCGATTGGGTTGTCACAGAGCTGGTATGTCGTGTCAACTCGTCTCGGTCCTCATCCCGTCTCAGCGGTCTCTTTGATAGCTGCCCAAGATGAACCCGTTCTCGAGCCCAAACAGTGTTCTCATTGTCGACAATTGCCGCACACACACGAGTGAAGCAGTTTGCGAGGCAGTGGAAGCAGCCAGTGAGTGCGGAACATGCTCTTTCGGCTGGAATTTCGCCGTATTAACGGTGCAAAGGGTGTCTGCTCATATACCTTCGTCGGCAACGGGACTACATGGGTGGAGACGACGCCTTTCCGGAGAACGAGCTCATTGAGGCCTGCTATGCTGCTGTCACCCCGGAGAAGGCTCACGGCTGGTACAGGCATAGCGGTTGCCTGTAGGTATGTAGTTGCTTCTGTGAATTCATGCTTCGGCCCCGACACGAACACCGTTAAAGCTCTCCCAGTCCCTACCCGTGCTGCTTCATACGTGCACGATGGCGTTGCATCTCGCGCTCGCGCTCTCAAGGTACCACATGGGTTTGAGCATGGTCAGTCTCACGCGGTGCATCATGGTGGTCGTTGTGTGGAATGTGCTCGGCGCGCGGGGCGACGGCGAGTGCTGTACGATCCTCGCCGTCATCGTCAACAGTGTGCTGCAGGTTGTCCTCTACGTGTCGCTTGCACTGCTGTGGATCGTGACGTGTTTCGTGGTGCTCAAGACGATGTCGCGCGTATTCCTCGAGACGTGCTTCGCCGCCCATGACCAGGCAGGAAGTTGCGACGTGCGATAAAACCGTGCGTCGCGCATCTCTCTGTTGCCTTCTGTGTCGTCCATGTGGCGGAAAGATATGTAGAGCCAGTGTTAGAGCAGGAAGGAGGTAAAAACAGAAGCGTACAAGGTGTCGCTGGCACGCTCTCGCTGTCCGACCCCAATTTCCATCATTTTCCGAATTTTCTGCGTCGCTCGCGTCGGCTCGCGTCAGGTCGTGCGCGCGCGGTGAGACTTTCCCGAATTTCTCCGAATTTTTCGGAGCATTCGTGCCTGTTGCCGCTCGCGTAGCGTCGGAGTTGGTCGGGCAATCATTTCGGCAACAGCTGTATGGTCAGCCAACGATCGATTTCGGAGCGGACCGTCCGAGCGCTGTGCTTCCAGTAGGTGATGTGGGCGCCCACTGAAGTCGACTCGGGATGATCGTTGGCAGGAAGAAGAGCATCAGGACCGCAGAAGGTGTTGATGGGTGCGTGGGGGAGCCACCCAACGAGTGGCGGCTATAGTTCCATCAATGGACGGCGTCGAGGGGACCTTGTACGTGGTCAGTAGCTTGAGAGCCACCAGAAGCTTTGAGTAGTTTCGGCAGCGGAGGGCCCTTGGAGCCGGCTTCACACCTGTAAAGGTTTCATATGCGGCGAGGAATCGTATTGGTGTCGATGACGAAGACAAGCGAACATGACCGTCCTGGCTAGACTGAATTTCGTAGTCCTAGCTCGCCCATATCCTATAAGTTCGCAGTTCCACTGCGTTAGAGAAGTCTGTTTTGGGAAGCGTTATGAACACGTACCACGCCGTCAACCGATGATAGTAGCCATGAAAACAGAGCTTGGCGTCATTTGCTTCTGGGAGGTGGGCATAGAGGATCGAGCAAGACTCCTTGTAGTCATATGTCAACGATGTTCGATGACTCTGAGGCATGCCAATGGCCCGCTTAAGCGTCTCGCCTTCACACATTGATAATTGCTGCTAGTAAAGATACAACCCGTTTCCTGTTTCTGAGTGCTCTTGACTTCCTTCCCCTCTAATGTCTATCGTCTCCTGCGCCCTCTAAGCCTCCTTCTTCGCCGCCGCCGGCTTCACCATCGTCGGCGGTAGCGTCGTGATCGGCGGCAACAGCGTCCTCGCCGCCTCGCGAGCGTTCTGGATCAGTACTTGATCCATGACCACCAGCGCCGCCATCGCCTCCACGATCGGCACCGCGCGGGGCACGACGCACGGGTCATGCCGCCCGCGCGCGGCGAGCTCGCCCGGTTCGCCGTCGTAGCGCGCCGTCGCCTGTGCTTGCGAGATCGTCGCGGGGCTCTTGAAGCCGACACGGAAGTAGATGCCCTCCCCGTTCGAGATGCCGCCCTGGATGCCCCCGGACCAGTTCGTGCGCGTGCCCATGCGCCCGTCCGGCCGCAGCACGAACGCGTCGTTGTGTCGCGAGCCCGGCACCTGCGTCCCGCGGAAGCCGGAGCCGATCTCGAACGCCTTCGTCGCGGGGATGGAGAGCATTGCGTGCGCGAGCTTCGCCTCGAGCTTGTCGAACACGGGCTCACCGACCCCGGAGGGCACGTTCCGGATAATGCAGGTAACGGTGCCGCCGATGGAGTCGTTGGCCTCCTTTGCGCGGAGGATGCGCTAGATTTCGGAGGCGGGTCAGTGCGATTGCGTGAGTAGGGAGATGTGGGCAGAACGGACCTTGACCATACGCTCAGACGTCTCGTCATGAGGGCAGCGCGTAATGGTCGCGTCGACCTGCTCGCGCGTGATCGTCTTCAGGAGCTCGACGAACTCGGGGCTGAGCACGTCCTCGACCGTGTCGTCGTCGTCCTTCGCGACCTGCCCCGGCGGCGCGACGTACGACGGCAGCTCAATCTTGCCGACTGACGATACGAACGCGACAATCTCGATCCCGTACGCCATCTTGAGGTACTTCTCAGCAATCGCCCCCGCGGCGACGCGCCCTGATCCGAGTGGGTATATGCGCGCGAAAAGGAATCGCATATGGAGACTCACCGATGGTCTCGCGTGCGCTGCTGCGCCCCCCACCGCTGCTCGCCTTCACGCCGTACTTCTCGAGATACGTCCAGTCCGCGTGGCTCGGGCGCGGGTAGAGGTCCGTCTCGGAGTAGTCCTTTGGCCGCTGGTCCTCGTTGCGGACGAAGAGCCCGATGGGCGTCCCGAGCGTGACACCATGCTCAATTCCCGACTGGAGCTGCACGAGATCCTTCTCGTCGCGCTGAAGGGGCACATATACGCGGTCGGCGGGAGAGCTGGGATGTGGTAGAAGAGACTATGCGTACGGGAGTGGTGAGGTTGCTCTGGCCCGGACGCCTGCGGCTGAGTTGCACTTGGACGTCTTGCGCGGTCAACGGCAGGCCCTTCGCTTAGCATCAGTGTGTACCCGCAGTGACCTTTGGAGCTGAGTACTCACTGGAGGGCAGCCGTCGATGATTGCGCCTACAGAAGCGCAGTGGGACTCTCCATAGGTCGTAACACGGAAGAGGGTACCGAAAGTCGACATCTTGCCTGTAGATATGCTATAGTCGTTAGAGGAGTGAAGTGTTTGGTATCAACGCGCTCTTGCCTTATATATGCGCGGTTTGGGGGAGATTTTGGGCGGTTTGCCTGCCAATATGCTGAGTGCGCTATTTGAAGGATCCGATCTCGCCGGTAATGCGACTATCGCTCACCGTGTGACGCTCTGCGCGGCTCTGTGGATAAAACAAAGGAGCGGTTGAAGGGAAGGGACGGGTGGAAGGGGCGACAGAGATGACTACGGGTGTGAAGACTGCGGAGTCGAGCTGCACGGTTTGGCCTTCACCAGTTCACCACAGTTCACCACCAGCCGAAGTTCACGCCAAAATCCAGAGTAGAGATAAGATTAGATCAATCCCATCGACCACGTGCCTCCGACTGCCCCCAGCGACGACTCATGCCGGACTTCGACGCCACGACCTCCCTTTCCCCTCATAACGCGGCTGGTGTTTCCAAGTAAGTGGGTAAAATGTTGTATCGGATGGTTCTCAATATCATGCACAGGAAGATGCCTCTCATCTCAGACTTTCCGGCCCTCCCCGGGATCTACCAAATGCTCTTTCTGCACATCGAGCCCAGTACGTATATTTTCTGATCTTAAGTATCTACAGAGGGCTTACCTACTCGCGCTTTTTAGTATTGACAGTGCTCCCTGCCGTGATGGCATGGATTGCTCCAGGAGCTGCGTGGTTCCACCACCAGCTCATCCCGGACGGCACGCCCGTTCCCACGTCGCTCGACAACGCACGGACGACCATGGCCATATGGCAACTTGGAAACTGTACGAGCGTACACAAAACATACACTCAGCCGCTTATTGCTACACTAGGCTACATGCTTCTCGGCCTTATTTCCACCTTTGTCTTCCGGGCGGTCCGCGACGCCCTGCCCAATGACCCGGTCGCACAAGAGCGTATCCTCGGCGCGAGCTTCACCGCCCTCGCCTTGGCAGACGTATGTTCCTCCCGCATGAATTCCGCCCCAGTCTGCTAAAACCCGGCTCTCTTTAGGTTACCCAGTGAGCTTCCTTCGTCTGCCCGCTCTTACCCAGCCTTCGACGTAGCGCTAACAGTAACCTTCCCAACCCTGCGCGTTCGCACGGTTCACTTTCCCGTCTCCCCCCGACCGCGCGCAGCATCATTTGGTCTTGGGTCGGCCTCCCCGACGACCTTAAGTACGCCTTTGGCCAATGGAACTCGATGACGCACGGGAACATCTCTTTCGTCGTCGTCCTGCTCAGCATGCGGTCCGCTCTTTCCCTCGTGCATCTGCCTCGTCTCCACTGACCGCTGTCCCCACTATCACCGGTACAGGATCGCGTGGTTTTTGGGCGTCGGCCGAAAGCGGTTCTACTTCGGGCAGCCTCAGGCGACGAAGCCCCCGCCCAAGGACAGGTCCGCCTGACCCCGCGCGCGTTCTCATGGCAGGCCTCCGCAACCTCAGGCTCAAAGTTCGTTCTCGGGGCTTTCCCCCCGAGCACCGCACCCTCTAAGTATGATGAAGCGCGTATTGCTGCCGCACCTGCGATCTATCTGTTCAATCTCGACCCGACAGCGACCCTTCGTGTCTCCCCCACCTTCGCCCCGGACGCTCCACCCCGGCTCGAACCGTACCCCACGCACAGCGGCATCCCCTCCGCACCCGCGCTGCCAATTTAGAAGGCACAGCGCCAGTATATGATGTACCGGTGCACTGCGCCATCCCTTTTTGCCCCCAGCTCAGGCCGCAGCCCCCGAGAATACACTCCGTCCGCTCCGCACGCACCTCCACCGTCTGTCCAGCCTGGACCCTGGCCACCCAGGTCCGCCGGCCGGAACAGACGGTCTACCTCCACTTCAGTCCCGCTACGCCCCATCCATATGGTACTGTTGCACCCACCCGCACCCGCCGAGTCTAAGTGTCTGAACCGTCTCTCTCTCCCACACCGTGCGTGCGTCCACCGCGGGCGGCACCGTCCCTGGACCCTGAGGCCTGAGCGCTGGCGCCGAACTCTCTTCCACACCTAACAGAAGGTATCGTGCACTCCGTGGCGTCCCGTCGGCGCCTCTCCGTCCTCAAGGCCTCACTAGTCACTGATCGAACACATCCACTTGGGGAAGCCGTTCATAGTGCGTGTGTACCCGGGGACGTCGGCCAGCGTCCGAACCGCCGCCGCCTTCTGCTCGCTCACACAAGAGCGCGGCAGGACGGTCTAGCAGTACCCGGCGAATCGGGGACGTGAGCGCCTCCCCCCACACGACGAATATTTGTGGAGTTCACTGCAGCGCACCGGCGGCCCACGGCGACTGAGTACTGAGTGGGCACTCTTGCGCACGCACGATTGAGCCTAGACCGGCGCGCCGCTGCCCCGCGAGCTCACTCCACGCTAGCCGTGCGGAGTCCGTGTCCACGTTCCACGCGACGTTTCCTAGTGAACACGGCGCAATACAACGACCGCACGCGGCCGCTCGTGCGCGATATTGACATCAACTTCGAAGACGAGAAGCCACGCTTGATCCTCCTCCGATCGCCGATCACCCACGAGTCAGACGCAGCGGTACACGGCAGCGAGGCCTGGATCGATTCTGTTAACTACTTGCGTGGGAGTACGATAAGATACACAATACACGACGGACCGACGGACGAGACGTGGTGGGGCCTGGGACATGCAGCTCGTATAACGCACATAGATCATAAGTCAGACGGGAGGAGCCGGAGCGGACTGACGCGATGAGGACCTAAAGCACAAGGGGGTTGAGCCGGCGGCGATTCAAGTGGCGACGGGAAACAAAAAGAAAAAAGAAGAGCGAGAAGGGGGCGAGAAGGACGACACGGGATAAAGGTATGGGAAAGGGGAGGAGGCGAGGAACAAATGGCCTCGAACGACGAGGCACCGTAATCAAACACGAGAGCAGACGCATGCAGCAAACACTAAGCGCACTTCCCTCGCTCCACCGCGACTTCGAGCGCGAGCGTAGAGCGTCCGCGCCTGTGTTTATCGCCCACGCATCCCTCCACCCGCTCTCGTCACTGAACAGATACCCGCACGAAGGCGGCCTCCGGGTGGTCAACTGACCATCCCCGCACCCACGCGTCCGGGCTCGGAACAAGTAGGCCGGCCTCGCTCGCGTTCGCGCGGCCCCGCCTTCTCGCGCGGGAGACGCAGCTTCTCGAACCGTAGTCGGCCGCGCATCGGCCCTGTGGAGCACTGCGAGGAGCATGTCCTAGATGGCGGTACCCCGTCGTGCCCCGCCCGTCTGAATGACGCATTCCGGGGATGTCCGCGGTGTCTTAGTCTGCTGCTGGCGACACTAATGCTGGTTGTGAATGATGATGGTGACGGCGATGCTCGAAGTCGATAAGAAGGGGATAACAAAGGTGATGTGATGTGGCGATGTTGTACGAGATGTATATGTGCGGCGCCGAGGAGCCGCTATGCAAATGGCGAGACGAGTGTCGCAAAGCCGGGGAGCTAGGAGAGCCGAAAGCGAAGCGAGGACGGGCGACGAAAGCTCGAGCACGGCGATGGCGAGAGCGACAACTGTATCGGTGACGGAGACGGGTGCGAGGACGAGGATGACGGCGCTGCGAGCAAGGCTTCGCCCGCAGCTGCCGCGTCCTCTACGCCTTGGTTTGATTCGCCGCCTGGCGCGCCGCCAGGGTCTCGATGATGTGGTGCACGCCTTCGGGTTCGAGGACAACCTTCGTGCCGTCGCAGCGCGCCTTGTTGGTGAACTCGGTACACAGCTCGTTAATGTCCACATCCTGGACCCGTTCAATCGCTTAGCCTCCTAGCTCGCACCACAGAACCCGAGCCACACACCTTAAACTGCGGGTTGGAGGTGATCGTCCGCCACGCCGTGAGCACCTCCACGTTCTTGTCGCTCTGCGCCGTCCTCGGGAACGACGACCCGCGGCACATCACGAACGGCGTTCCACCGCCCTCCGCGCCCGACGCCTTCCGGAGGAACGGCGCGAACGGCATCTCGCAACTAGGCGACTCGTCCGCGCCCCCCGCAGGGGACACCGCCGGGCTCGACTGCACGAAGCTCGACTGCCCGGCCTCCGCGACGGCCTTCGCGAGCTGCTCCTTCGTCTTTGGGCAGTCTTTGTGCTCCCCGTGGCCCGCCGGGCTGTTCGCGAGCGTGTGTGGGCTTGCGGCGGACCCACTGCCCGTCGCGGGCGAGCTTCCTGAGGACGTTAAGCTTGGTGTGCGATGCGAAATGGGCGAGAGCGCACTGGGCGTGCTCGCGAGCAGCGCCTGGAAGTCGACGCCGCCGTGCGACGCGAGATAGCTGCCACCAAATAACTGGTCGAGCGCGTCCTGGTTGTTGCCATCCGCAGGGGGCGACCAAGCGTCGCTGAACGACTCGAAGGACATCGGTTGGAAATGAGGTTGATTTGGCTGACCACCGAGCATCATCTGCGGGGCGTCGGCGGGAGAGGGCTCGGCGAACGACATAAACATCGGGTTCGACGCGATCGTCTTGTACTGGTTTGGGTTTTGGGACGAGAACGGAGGAGGGTCCATGTCCATGCTGTCGTTGAGCTCATCGGCCGCGAAGGCGTTCGGGTCGAATGAGATAAGCGAACTAAAGTTGAGGTCATAATGCGACGGTGGCGACTGCGTCGGGATGGGCGACTTGCTGGGGCCGGCACCAGGTGACGAGAAGTTAAACTGCATCGGCTGGTTGAATGAGTTCTGGGCATTGTTCGTCATCTCGCTCGGCCGGCCATTACTGGCGCGCGAGGCGGTGAACGTGAACGCGGCCTGCTTCAGCATCATGTTCTCGCTTTGTAACCTTGTGAGAAGATCACGAAGGTTCTCGTTCTCCTGTTCGGACAGTTGGTTCTTTGCTTCGAGAGCGGCGACCTTGTCCTCGAGCTGTATACAAATTTGATCAGGTCCATCCGCCGTGCCCCTAGCGACGCTGACTACTTACGTCTCTAACGTGCTTCTCCTTCCGCTCGCGGAAGGCACGTTGAGCAGCACGGTTCTGCTCTTTACGCTTAAGAAGTCGAGACTCATCCTGTGCGATTGTCAGGCCCCACCCACACCCAACTCCGAATCATATCCCACGCACCTGTGGGGCCCCAGGCTTGCGACGCGCACTTGCCGAGCTGACCGTCTTTTTGCTACGGTCTCCCGATGCTATTAAAGCATCCACGCGCATGAGCACGCCGCTCGCGCCACGATGAATCACTCGAAGACGTACATGAAGTATGCGCCGACTTGCTCGCGGGTCCGTCGTCGTCGTGGTCCGCCTTGCGCTTGTGCGAGACGTCGTCGAGACTCGACGGGGACTGCGTCGGACTGTCGCTCTCAGGCGTGCGGTCGTTGAACGCCCCCGATTGACGACGGGAGACGGTCGAATCGTGATGCGTGCTCGGCGGGCTGGGGCTGGAGTCCGACGAGGATGGGGAATGATTGGGGGGCGCGAAAGAGTTGATGCTTTGCGGGTTTATGCCATCGCCGGGCGCGACGGCGGGCGACTCGAATGAGAGCGGGGGCTGGTTCGCGCCGACGGCTCCAGGGAACTGTTTCTGGAGGAAGGCGAGGAAGTCGTCGTCAGGGAGGGCAGAGAAGGAGTCGGGCTGCTGTGGGGAGATGTCCCAGAAGGAGTTAATGTCGGCGGTTGAAAAGTTCATCGTGCAGGCGTGCGAGGGCGTGGATGAGCAATACGGGCGGGGGCGAGGACGCGGCCGACGGGGATGCGACGGTAGATCCTACGCGGCGGCTTGGGCTGAGTAAGCGGGTCCGACGGACAGGGACGGCGTTGAAGAGCACGCCGGGAGTGTCGAGGAGGCGATGAAGATTGGTGAGCGTGCTCGGGGAGAGGTGCCGGGTGTGGGGGAAGGGGAGGGCGATGCGGAGGGGTGGTGGAGGGGAAGAAGGAGGGGCAACGGAAGGGCGGTCAAGGACCTTGTCGCGGCGTCGGGGGGCGGGAGGCGCTGGCCGGGACGGGCGAGGCCGAGGGTTGCGCAAGCTTGGACGAACAGGCCGGCGCAGGCTGCTGACAAAGCCCTGCCGCGACTCCTGCCACCCCTGCCCCCTCAGCGCGCCTCCTCCCTCCGTCCCATCGTACCGCCCTTCGCCATCGTCGCGCGAGGCATGCGCCACATCCGACCCCAAGACTGCTCGCCGGACGGGGGTCGCGTTCCACTGCCATCCACGCCTTTCGACCCACTGGCCATCCCCATCCCATCGTCCCTCGCGATCCCCGCATGATCAGCGCTAGATCCCGCCCGACGCCAATCATCTCGCTGCCGCCCCTGCATTGTAAATTCCACTCTTCTTCTCTCTCGCCCATTTTTCCCTCGCCTCGCTTCTCCTCCTTTGCCGCCTCGAACCCCACTTCGCCCTTCGAACACGCTCACGCCCGTCTCAGCCTGATGATGGTCGAGCACCGGCCGATCCGCGCCCGTCGCACACGCTGTCGGTGCCCCGCTACTCTCCGAGATGCGCACGGCGAAGCTGGGAACGGGCGCATCTCGCGAAGTCAAAATCCGCGGCTACAGCTTCTCCAACCGCCGTCCGTCCTTTCCGCCTCGGTCACAGTGCCTTTGCACGTTTGATGTTGTGGATCCTGCACCCCCCTGGCTCACGCACATGGTTGCATAGCCGCCTTTTCCCAGAACCATTCACCACAACGAACTTAAGATTGAATCGTGCGCGGTGTGGCATCACGGGGCACGACATAGCTCGCTACGCAATGCTGTATGCCCTTTCCCAAGCACTGTATTGCTCTGGCAATAATGACGTTGGCGCCCATGAGCCTCCGCACCGACCGGAGTCTCTCGGGTCAGGTTAGCGCGCACAGATCGTCCCGTCACTGGCGCATGCGATACGAACCAACGACTGGAACGATCTCACAACGCCAACAGGGTCGAAAATGCGTAGCGGCTTGTGCCAGCCTGCCGAACTCGCGGCGAACTCGATCCGCACCCCTCCCTTCCGCACTCCGAGCACTCCTTGTTTACTTACAAGATACATGCGACAGACGCGCGCTCGAGGAAGAATGTGGGTCGAAGTATCTTTGGCAAGCTCCGAGGTCGTGTGTCCGAGCAGATCGTCCGACCGGCACTTGCAACCCTGCTCGTTTTCACGCCTTCCGAGCGCGGATAAGCGTCTTCCTGGGCAGACGCGGACTACAACGCCGTCCCCGCCAACCAACCAGCATGCAGCACTGCAAGACCATCCGCGTCCACGGCTCCCCGCTGCCCTCCTCCGTCCCATTGCCCGCCAGCAGTGACGTCATCACGCACTAAGATCACCCGCCCGGCTCGTCCACTTCGCGATCCCTGGCCAGCCAGTGCCTTCATCATATTCCATCCGCTACAGCTGTTTTCATAACGATAGGCCCTTCGGCTAATCGTCCTCGAATAGGCTGTTTAAAAGTTAAAACCCCGCCCGCTACGCGCGCACGGCCCGATGGCCCCATCACGCTGCCGGCTGCTGCCGGGCTGGCGCTAGAGCCTTGCGCAAGCGTTCTGCGCATGATGCTGATGGGTCGCATGTTTTGTTAAGACTCCGACTCAATTCGCTTATGCGTCTAATTCCCATCAAGGGCCCATCGTTATGAAAACAGCTGTAATCCCGCAGCGGGCCCTCATCACACCAGCTGCGCGATCCGTGGCTGTCGAGTCTCGACCGCGCCAAGCGCCCGCCGCCGCCGGACGCCGGGAGGAACGCGCGGCGTTCGGCAACGATCATTGCAGCCGCGGTGCCCGAGGGCCGCGCCGCCCCCCTTGATCAAAACATGGAACTTTGCGCTGGGGTTTTACCGGCGGTCGACGACCCACGCTCGGGTCCGCACCGCCGCGGATTGCTGCCGAATTTGACACTGACTCGACCGAGCGGGCAGACCTCGACGTCGGCCGAGATGGCGCAGTCCCATCGGCGTTCGGATTCAGGCCAACGTGGAGGGCTTGAGCGGCCGTACTTAATTGTGAGTTCTGGTCTGTGCTAGGGTCGCAGATCTCACCATCTTGTCGTGTTAGATGCCCGCGCTACGAGTCTGGTCCTGAGGTTCGGACCCTAGCACGAATCCAGTGAGATTATTTTCGTTTGGTCTGCGGTTCTCTACCACCAACCACTCGTTCTCATAACCAAGTCTGCCGCCGCAGGGACAGCAGAGGTTTTATTACCCTCGCCCTGCAGCAATGTTGTGGAATCGTGCCCAATTCCCTTTCTCCACGGGATCGACCTGGCCTGACAACAAAAACCTCTTTCCGTCGTGCAGCTTCTCTAAACATATACACGGATTCCCTTGCTGAGCCGATCTTTCTGGATACAAACCCGCCTCTGGAACCCCGCTCCATGCTTCGTTGCTCTATTTACCGCCTCTTCGACGTCCCACGAATCTCGGCGCGCAGCAACTACACCGTCCCCCACGTAAATTTGGTCCGTGAGCCTTCTCTCAACGCCGCTCCTGTCCACCCACCCCATTTCAGTTTCCAGAAGACGCGTTTTACCAAATTGCAAAACCATCCAGTGCTCGCGGGTCAACTTGACCCCGCACATCCCCTTTGGCAGCTGCGCGCGGCTCTCTCCGGCGCTGCAGCGCCAAACCACCCCGCAGCGGCCCTGAGCCCGCGCTGCACTCAGCTGGGGGCCGCCAGTTGAAAGTTCGGTCGGCGGATCCGCGGGCTGGCCTGCTTACGTACCGCGCGCCCAAGTACGTACGAGTCCACTACAGTGCACCTTCGGCGAAGTACTACACACTGTGTTCGGTGTGCCGTTCTTCCGCCACGCGCGAACCGTGCAGTCCGATAGAATCCGAATCGGAAGAAGGGTACGTCGGGCTGCCGCGAAGCGCACCGGGATGTCGTCATGACTTTCTATCTGCTAGGTCGCGTCCCGACTTCCAGCCGTTCGAAGTTCGACAGACCGAGGGGTCGCAGCGCCGTGCTCGCTTCCCCGTCTCCATCTGGCCCACGGCCGTTCAGTTCGTTGCGCGCTCTGCTCGAGTGCGTGCACACCGTCGCCGTACCGTCGCCGCCGCGCGGGCTTAACGGGTGCGTTCTACATTCAGTACTGCTGTATCGTACTTTGACAGATGTGGTTCCATTGGTACCAACACGATCACGCGTGGCCCGGGACGCTGCAGGGCACCAAGGCCGCACATGGGCGTCTGCGGGGTTCTGTACGTTCTATCTTCTTTTGTACGTCAAGCCGGAGGGTACCTTGCGGTCGATGCCTTTTTTGTTACGCAATGGAAGTCGTCGTTCTCCTTCAAGCACATTACTTTGGAGCGGGCGTTTCGTCCACCAGAAAAGCTCATCGAACAGACGACCCGCGCATCCTTTCCGAGTCGGTCCTCAACGATTTCTGTAGCCCGCGTTCCTCCACTTTGCCGCCGACCGCGCGTTGGGGGAAACCGTCTCTCTGCTAGAACCGCCCGTGGGGGCGCCGCATCCGACGCGGTGACGTCACCTGCTACCAACCATCCCCCGGCGGTGTAATGGTTCCACTCCCCTCTCCTGAGCCCACGCATCGCATCGCACGACGGCCCCGTCGGGACGTCGACGCTACTGCGCACTGGCGCAGGCCCCCAAGACCCCGGGACCCGTCCGGTCGTCATGAAATCGACGGCATCTGTGCATCTTCGTGTGCATCCCTCATGCCAGCCAAGCGGCCCGGAGTCCGAACTCCGGACTTTGGCGCATTCCTGGCCGAACCACTCCGAAGCGGCAGGACCGAACACCCCTCGATACGTACTAGTGCCCAGCGCCGCCCGGGCTGCCCTCCGAGCCACGGCACCCTGGGCCCGCCATATGTGGATGCCAGGCATACCCCCGTCGTCCCACCACCCCGCGCCCGTCACCTCCGGCGGCGCACGGGCTCCAAAGCTTCACATGTGCCCCGATCTCCAGCTCGTATGGTCGCGATCGCCCTCTCTCACCCCTCGCTCGCTCATATGTACACACCACAAACCCCTCGCGAACGCCCTCGCGCCGTCCTCGCCCAGCGTCGAACGGACGAGTGCAGGGACCTGCAGCTGGCACGCCGGACCAAGTACTGTCGGGACCTCGAACAGCGCCGCGCCGAGAACGCCGTGGTAACACCAGCACTTAAGGACGAAGTTCGTCCTTAGTCATCCCGGGGCCCGCGCCCCGCGCCTTCGACCCGCTGACTAACTCGTGCGCACACGCACGGATGGCGGCGCGAGCTCGTCATCGTCGCGACAGCGATCCCGCCCGAGTCATGATGCATGAAGGACGTCCCGGATCCGTGATGTGCGCACCGCGAAAGGCCCGAACCGAAGTCTGATGGACTCGCGGACGGACGTGCCGTACACGTCGACGCGCCGTACCGATGCTCACATATGCATCTTGGTACTTCTGTAGTGTACCACGCCTAGCAGCTCAACTCCTGCCTACGGTTTCGACTGGACAGGTCACCGCGGCCAAACCACGTCAGTGAGCATGTCGTCCGATGAGGTCCGACTCCCGAGATCTACACGCACGGGCCGCACGAAACACAACCGCCACCGGGCCGAGATCAGGCGCACCGAGGGCTGCCCGAGCCGGCGGCGTCGACGGATGTCCGGTCGTTCGGAGTCGGGCCTGCGTCGGCGCGTCGGCGTGCCCCCACCGTGACGTCCACGCTCGCGTCGAGCCCTGAAGATCTGACGGTTTCTTGGGTTATCACGAGTGAGGTGGGCCGGCCGGAAGAGCCGAGGTTGCGACGGAGCCTGACCCGTGGGGTCGACGTAGTCTCCCTAGGCATCCCATATTCTATAGGGTCGACGCGGACGGACGGAGAGAAGGGGGCCGGAACGAGATGGAATATCTGCGGACGAGGTACCGAGCTAAGCTAAGTGTGGAGGCGGGGCATAGGGAGGGTGTCGCGAGGAACTAAGGTGATACGAGAGGCCATCCGGGGGCTGTGTTCGTACAGACGGGGGAAAGCAGGGGAGCAGGGGGCGAAGGGCGAAGGGTACAGTATGACGGAACCAGAGATAGGGGAGAGGGAGTCGAGGGAAGGAAGGGACACGTCTGGGCGGTGTGGGAGGCAGGTGGGCCACGGGCCACGGAGATTGCGGAGGCGAGAAGGAGATGGACAGGGCGGCCACGGATCAACACGACCGCGTCAGCTTGTGTCGGTCATGAGGGATGCCGCGAGATACCGTACCTGGCGGCGTGAGGATGCGAAGTAAGCAGGGGAAAGGACGGTGCGGTCACTAGGCTCGACGGTCAGTGTGGTTGCGTACAGCGAGAACGGGGAAGCACGCACGTAATACTCAATCTCCAGCTGTGTATTCGGAAGAGGTTCTTGTGAGTCTGCGGATACGGCGAAGAAGGCATTCACTTACGAAAAGCAATGCGACGTCTCGTGGCCACCTGATGTGCAAGCCCACGGGGTTGTACATGTCGAGGTTCAACGAGTCGATGAGCGCGTGTAGCCGGTCCATTTCCTGCGGTGCAAGTTCAGTATGTCGCTTCTGGTCACATGTGCGAAAAACGCTCACCTTCTCGTAGTGTGTCTTCTTCATAGCTCGAGTGATCTGCAAGGTGAAGTATGCCAGCGCGTTGTCGATGAACGCGTGGCCGAGACTATGCGCAGAAAGCAGCATCTCATTGATTGCGTTGATGGTTTCGAGAAATTGTGTCGGTGTTATCTGGTTTGGAAAGGACCAGAACGACGAGAATGTCATATTAGCGTTGAGCCATGCAGAGTTCGCGAGTATAAGGTAACCCAGAACCCGAATTCCTCCGCCCTTCTCAGAGGTCCGTGAAACGTGCAAGCTCGTCGAACATGACAATGTTCGAGTCTTACCTCAAGTCACGACCACCAAACCCGACACGGATGTGACATCCAGGTCCGCGAAACGGGAAACGAGGGGGCAAAACCAGCAGTGAATCGAATGGGTCACGATGCAGAGCCCGATAGGAACGAATAGAGGGGCAGAAAGAAACAGAGGGGAGAGAACCACTCACCCTGCCCTCCAACTCCAACGGATATGTCGGCGTGAACTGCGGCAGTTCTCCGCCGGTGTAATCCCGCTCGACGCGCAGAACCTCCCTTGGATGGTGCACGCCAATCTGGCCGATTGGCTCGCTGCCGTACGCCGAGTCGGGCGGCGGTGGGCCAAAGTAGTACGCGGAATGCGGGATCAGCGGCCGACTCGAGCTGTATCGAAACAGCGACGGCACCCCGCCCTCGTCAGGCCCAGAGCTCGCGAGCAGAGAACGGCGCACGCACCTCGGCTTCCCCCCGAACTCATGCATCCGCCCCTTGGACCCCGCGCCCGAGAACTCGAACCGCCGCGGGCTCGCCCGCCCGCCCCTCCCCCTCCCCAAGTCCCCGTCCTCGTCCTCGTCTCCATCCTCATCCCCTTCCCCATCCTCGTCCCCTTCCCCATCCTCGTCCCCATCCCCGACCTCATCCCCATCCCCGTGCGCCGTCTCCCACGGCGGCGGCGACGGCGGGTGCACGTCCAGCCGCAGCGGGTGCTCCCGCACGCTCACGTTCACGCTCTCCGTCCCGTCCCCGTCCCCCTCGTCCCCCTCACCGTCGCCCTCTCCATCCCCGTCCTTGGACGTGCGCGTGTGCTGCTGGGTAACGTCCGCCTCGGTCGCGTCCGAGTCCCGCCCCGCGGCGAGCGTCGCGTCCTGGTCGTCCCCTTCATCCCCGTCCTCGTCGCGCTCGACGTCCGTCTCGCCCCCGTCCGGGTTCCCGATCACGATGATGGGCGACGGCGACGGCGGGCCCTCCGTGCCCCGGTTCTGCGACACGGTGGTAGTGATGGTGGTGGTGGTGGTGGTTGGCATTGGCGTGTGCGCCGCGGTGCTCGTGCGCTCTTCGAGTTCGAGTGCGTCGTGTGCGGGCGTGCGGCCGAGGCTCGAAGGCTGGTGGTGGTGGAGGCGAGATGGACGCCGGGGAGTCCGGCTCCGGCAGCTGAAGCTCTGAGGGCGCGCGGTCTCCGCGTGGGCGGGGGCAGAAGCCGGATCTGAAGGAGGCGTGGTCGAGCTCGGGTGGCGCTTTCGATAAGCTTCAGACTCGGGGGTAGACAGGCCGCGAGGTCGACGTCGAGGTCTGGCGGTGGTGCGAAGGAGGGAGGGAGAGCGGAAGGCAGACGGGGAGGTCTGCAGAGGTGCGGTGACCGTCGTGGTGCACGCCGTCGTCGGCCAAGGCTTCCGAGTCGCCGATCCGCGTGCGGAATTCCCGAGTCCCGACGCTGATGGTCGGGCGCTTCTCCTCCTTTCTGCTGGCTGCGACATACAATCAAGAGCAAAATGACTCTCGCTATCCTTGAACGACATCGAGCAGCGATCTCACTGGCGCTGTATTTTTGTGTTGAAGCTACGTAGGACGGGAAGTCACGTTCGACCCGGACAGACGCATTCATACACGTGAAGCAGCACGCAACAGAGTGGAATCTGGAAAATCAGAGGACCCTTCTGGACTCGGCGGCTGTGCTCTTCTTGTTCTGTTGTCCCCAGGGAACCGTACGGACCGCAGACTCTCCCCCTCAAAAAGGCAAGACGTGTACGAAACACCCCGTCTCGTACGGCATCCAACCTTGCTGGAAATGGGTCCCTCCCACACGGCATGGCGACGAGAACGACGCCCACCCACAATATCCGCGATGCCCGCGGGCCTCCAAACAGAGTAGGCTCGCTCCGACTCGATCCCATAGCACTTTGCGGCGGAGCTTTTCGGAGCTTTCCGGTGTCCGGATCCCCGCCAAATGACAAGACGCAAGACAGGATTCAGGCCTTCAGGAGCCTCCCCTCGTGTGCTGGCTCCTCGAAGTGGGCCATGATCAGCACAAGCTAGTGCGCACTGCGTCCTAGGCTCGATCATCCAGCCAAAGAGCCGAGGAACGACGAAAGCGGCTGGGCGAGCTGGTGGGGGAAGGAGAGCACGTGACGTGGGTGAATACGATGGATCGTTGCGCCTATTGATCTCCGCTCACTCAGGATGAAAGTAGGATGAATGACCGGAAAGTAGCTACTCTGCCAACGGTGTGCTCTCCTTTGATGGTGTGTCTGCCAGAGCCCTGACCAATTCGACCAGCCGTTTGAGGAGCCTAAACGACGAAAATGGATGCGAGCCTGCCCGCGCGAGAAGGATGTTGTGCGGTCTTCATTGACCCCGTGCGTTCCAGCAGCCGCTGCTTGTGCTCGTTGACAGTGACGGAACTTGTCAACAGATCTCAGAAGGACACACGCCCGACGCAAGACGGCTCGGCTGTTCGTCAAAGCCCTACTTCGCTTCGGAGGGGGGATCCTCATTGTAGGGTTCAATTCGCTCGTACGGCGAACGTCTGCTTACCGGTTGCGGGGCTGTCGGCAGGGGGACCTCGGCACACGAGTGCATGAGGCTGTCAGCCTAAACCATCGACTTTGGCCCTGAAAGCGTCCATTATGCAGACTCGCACGAACGCACCGCGGCCGGGTCAAAGTTCCCAACATATCAGACGCTGCGTCTTCGGTTCGCCCGCCCCGCCTGACAGCGACACAAACGTCGTGGCGCTCGCCTCCGCGGTCGCGGTGCGAGTGCTAACACCGAACCCGCCGCTTCCCGCCACGACGCCACGGTCTCGCTCTGCATGCCCCGGTCGATCGTGTCGACGACGGATTCCCCGACCGAGCGACGGATCCCTGTCTCGACGTCAACCCCGCCTTTAGCCCGCAAGTGTCGCAGCCCACATCCACGCAGCGCCTCGATCTCATTCCAACGCACAGCGCGTTCGACGTTCAACTTGGGCGCACCTCGATCGGGCGTGCGGACGGCCGGCCGGGAATGTCGGGATCGGACGTGTTTTAGGCTACGAGGCCACGCACACAAACATGTGACGTCGGCGGAGGCGGAGGCGGCGTGCGGCCACGGCTATGCAGAGGCCCGAGCTAGGAGCGACTTCGCTGCCCGCCCCCGCCTCGAAGCTCGTTTCCGACATGCAGCGGACGGAAGTGCGGCCGACGAGCGGCGTCACGACCGTCGCCCGACGGCAGGCAGGCACCCTTCCCCGCGGCCTGCGCAGAGGCAACGAGGCACGCTCGCCGCGACTCCGCCGACCTCGAGGCGGGTACCGCGCGCGGTGCGTTCGGTCGACGGACGGCCTTCCTCATTCCGGCGACATTCCCGCTGCCACCGCCCGCCGCTCGCCGTCGGCCCTCGGCACGCGACTGAGCACCATCGCAGATCCCCTGCGGCGGCGCCACGCTCCCGCTTTCTCGAGCAGAACGGCTGGCGGCCGATCGAGCCCACATCGGTCCCACGATCGCCTTTATGCGGATCCCCCACGCGATCCCTGTCCTCCAGATCGATCGCCCCCGCACGCCCTCGCGGACCTCGCCCTACTCGATCGAGGCCGCGACACGCCCGTTCTTATTCTCAGTTCTCGGCACGTCACGCCGCCGGGAGCCCCGCGCAAGGCCACTCATCCGCTGCCCCGGCCGGGGTGCGCACCGCGATCGAAGCCGACCCCCTGCCCCTGGGCTCGTCGTCCGCACGACGTAACACACCGCTGCGGCGTGCGCAATTCGATGTTCGTCGACGAGCAGCAGTGCTCGAGCGATCGACCCGCGCTGCGCCGCGCGGACTCCTGTGCAGTGCACACACGCTCCGTGTGTCGTACATACGTACGTACGCGAACGTGCGCGACCCCCATGGCCACCCGATGCACGAGTGCCCATCGCAGTGTGCACGATGGGTTCGCTGCGTTATAACGGCCGGGCCGGTTTCGTGCTTCTCCCTCGACCCTCGACCCCCCCGCAGCGACTCCTCGCAGCTCGATCGCACAGCGCGGCCTGCACATCGCTCTCGCGTACCTCGAGGGTGTGTACATACGCGTACGTCTTCAGACGCGCTTGGCCATTGCATACGTAGCGCAGTTCACTCATGTCCCTTCACAAGTACTGCGCGCGATCGACGTGAACTACGCACCGCACGCACGGCCGTCCGCCCCGCTCGACCCGGGCGGGCCTTCTTCCGCGTCCCTTCCCCTTGCAGCCTTCCGCGTTCGGCGTCGTGAGAGACCTCGGACCCCTGGGCCCGCGCACGCGACCCAAGTGCTTCGTCGACGCTTGCCCGACGTGGGCTTGGACTTCTCGCGTCCACACTAGGGCGCAACTCGGCCCGACCTTCGGATCCTCACACTCGCGCACGATTGAGAGAGTCAAGGTCGAGCATGTGTCATATGCGGGGAGGGGACCGGGGTACTGTACACTTTGTTGCTACTATAAGGGTGCTACTAACGGCGCGGTGGGGCTGCGGGAGGCGGACAAGTAATCGGGGTACTAGCTACACGTACGGGGGAATGCGGATGCGACGAGAGAGCGAGAATGGCGACGGTGGGGGCATAAGAGTCATAAGCGCCGCGTCCGCGGGACGGGCATGCTGCAGTGCAGGGAAGGGCGGGACATTGTACTATATGCGGGCATGTATGTAGGCGACATCGGGGGCTGGAAAACGCGTGAACAAGGCCACGGGCGGAGAGAGAGACGCACGGACTGGACCGGCTCAGTACCGAAAGCGATCGCGCGGGTACCCAGCCGCCGTGGGGCGTCTACGGGAAACGACGACGACGACAGACGACGTCGCGAGGACCGGAAAAAGAAAACAGCGCCCAGACGCGACGATGAACACCGCACGGTCAGAGAGGAAAAGCGTGCTCACGACGACGAAGCGGCCGGCCGGCCGCCGCTCGACACCGACGCCGCGGACCCAGGCGACGACGTGCCCTTCGCGCCCGCGGGCGACCCCGCGAGCTTCCCCCCGCGCGGGCTGCTCGACCGTCGCGCCTCGTCCCCAGGCGGGCCCGGCGTCGCCCCGTGCGACGGCGGCGTGCGCGCGGACATCGGCGGGAGGCTGCCGCCGCCGCCGTGCCCGTGCCCGGCGCCGATGGGGCGCGGGTGCGGAGGGAGCATGACGGGCAGCTGCGGCGACGTCGCGTCGCGCGGGTCGGGCGGGTACGCACCGCTGGGGGCCTGGCGCATGTCGGGCGAGTGCGACGTCGGCTGCTGGCGGAAGGGGATCGGGCTCATCCGCCCGCCCTGCGAGGGCGCGAGCGACGTGGGGGTCGGCGTCGGGCGGCCGTTCGAGGTCGACGACGGCGAGACGCGGGCGGGGGGAGCGCCCATCGTGCTCACGCGCGACCGCTTGACGTCGGGGTGCTGGTCGTCGGGGCCAGGGCTGAGCGGTCGCTTGTTGTTCGTGGGCGACGTGCGTGAGGAGACGGACTGGCGGCGGCGGTTGGGGTGGGCTTGCGCGGGGGAGATGCCACGCATGCGGCTGGGGTCGGCGGGAGCAGCCATACCGCGCGGGTCGCGGTACGTCGAGAGGTTGAGGAGGGAGTCGGCGACGCCCTCGTCGGCGATGCCCTCGTCGTAGTCTTCGTCGAGAGCGCGAGAGGGCGGCATGTGCGTCGAGTTGGTGGGGGACGGCTGCACCGAGCGGCTTGCGGATCCGGACCCGTTGGAGCTGCCGGGCTCAGGGCTGACGTTGGACTTCGAGCCAGGACCCGCGCGGAAGCCTTGCGACGACGGCGAGCCGTCGTACGAGCCCTCGGGTCGTCCGCCTTCCTCCTTGACACGCTTCTGCGGGGCCGGCTGCCGCCGCTTGCGCTCCTTCTTCGTCGACTCCCCGTTCACCGAACCGTTGCTCTCCGACGTGTTGTCGCGGATTGGTGGCGGGCCTCCTCGGCGCCGCTTGTCGCCCTCCTGCTGCGCGGCCAGGTGCGGGCTCTCCGACGCGCGGTTTCCGACGAGGTGCTGGGGTGGCGGCAGCGGCGGTGGCTGCGCAAGGGGGTGACGCATGGCCTCGGGCGACGCCGCGTACCGCGGGTCCGCGCGGGGCTCGAGCACAACCTCACGCTCGTACTCCCTCGAGTCCCTTGTGGGGTCGTATCGCGCGGCCGGCTCGCGCGCGGCCATGTCGTGGATCGACGTCGGGCGCGGCGACGGCCGCCTCGACTGCGACGGCGCGCCCGCGACGACCTTCGGGTCCCAGTACGCCCCGCCGGCGTAGCCGGGGTGCGCGGACCGTGGCGAGCTCTCCGGCGGGCTCCGGTCGCGCATCGAGCGCGAGCTGTTGCGGTGTTGCGGAGGCGAGTGCGGGCGCGCGTACCCGTGCGACGGCGGGCGGCCGAGGTCCATCGGCGGGCGACCGCGTTCGCGATCCCACTCCGGCGCCTCGACCGGCGGGCGGCGGCCCCACCCCGCCTCCTCGCGGGGGTAGTTCGGAGGGGGCGAGCGACGTCCGCTGCTCGAAGGCTGTCCAGGGCCGAGGTGCGGCCGCTCGGGGTAGTGACTCTGCATCGGGTGGCCGCCGGCGACGGAGCGAGGGCGGGCGTGCGGAGGGGGCGACGCGGATGTCGACGTTACGCGCATGGGGTGGAAGTCGTGCGGGTGGCCGGGGTGGCGCTGCGGCTCAGGCGGGCCTTGCGGGTGAGGGGAGGGGTGGAGGAGGAGGCTGCGCTCCCCGCGGGGACCCATGTCGCGAGGAGGCGGGAAGGGTGTCGGCTGCTCGCGGCCGTGGATAGGCGGCCTGTCCTCCATGGGCGCAAGCACGTGTCCTTGAGGGTGGCGCGACTCGTCAAGCACGACAGGAGGTGGCGGGCCGCCGCGGAACGGCCCGGGAGAGTTGCGCCCAGCGGCCTGAGGGGGGACCGGAAGGGGGAGGTCCGAAAGCGCGCGGGCATCGGTGGGGAAGAGAGGGCGCGCGCCGCCACCGCCCTGGAGCATAAGTGGCGGTCCACTGAGACCGTGTGGCTGCACTAGAGGGTTTGCGTAGGCGGTGGGGTGGACGTCCTGAGGACCTGGCGCCGCCGGAAGAGCTTGCCCGGTGGCTTGGGCGTTTTTCAGAAGCTGGAGGCGTGTCCCGATGGCTTGGTTGTTGGGGTCAAGCTCCGCGGCGCGCGCGTACGCATCGATGGCGTCAGATATCTGGTTGTTGCAACTCTCGTAAAGGCTTCCGAGATCGAACCACACTTCGGAAATGTAAGGGTTGATGCGGATGGCGCGGGAATAGGCGTCGAGCGCGTCGCGGTACTGGTTTATCTGGAAGTAGAGGACGCCGATAGAACACCAGAACGTAGGGTTGCGGCCGTCGCGGTAGACCGCTTGCTGATACGCTTCGTACGCCTTGTTGTACTTCTGACCCGCCATGTAGGCGCGGCCAAGAAGGTACCAGCTCTGCGCGTCACCAGGCTCAGCCTCTAAGCTCTTCGTCAAGTACTGGATGGCGAGCTCCTGGTTCTGGAACGAAGATCCGTCCTGGTGGTACAGCCAGCCGAGCTGTTGGAGCACCTTGGCGTGGTTGGGGTTCTCCTGCACCACACGCTCGTAGGCGTCGCGGGCGCGAACATGCTGGTAGATCAACTGTCAGATACGCATCCACTCAGGACAAATATAGAGACGTACATCACGCTGCTGCTCAAACACGTGTCCGATCTGGAACCAGATGTCGGCATGGGCGAGTGGGCTTGGGGGATTCCGGAGGATGCGATCGAAGCACTCTAGACTCTCTTGATACTTCTGCTGCTGTTTGTAGATGATGCCGAGGCGGAACAGGATCTCGTTCGCCTTATCAAAATCTTTGTCCATCTTAAGGACGGACGAGAACGCCTCTTCGGCGTGGTCGAGGGAGCCATATCGGTCGTACAAGATACCGATGCCATACCACAGCTTCGGATCCTCCTGTGAACGCGCGTCAGCTGCGTGTTGCGCATGAGGCCGAAGTCGCAACGGACCTTAGGGTTCGACAGGAAATACAACGCCTGCTGGTATGCCGCATACGCTTTCTGAAGGTCGTCTTGCATCAGATAGCAGTGCCCTGCAATGACAGGCGTGAGAACGAGCGCGGGGCAAGACAAGGCCGGGCAGAGAACGCACCGAGGGCGGACCAGACTTCGCCGTTGTCACCCTGCACCTGCAGGGCCGCCTGGAAGTATTCGACGGCCTGTGGGAAGCACGGAAGCAAGATGAGCGCCGGCGCCTTGCGGGGAGATAGATCGGGGCGGGGTGGGCGAGACGCCAATGACGTAAGACATCCGAACATGGGACGCTCCCGGTTTGGTAGGGTCCCACGAGCGCGCGTGGAAGTGGCCGAAAGAGAAGGCCACACACCTTTGGATAGTTTTCCTTGATCCGCGCGATCCCTGCGACCTGCGTGAGGCCGGGCAGAGAATGGATGTTGTGACGGAGCGCGTTCTCATACGCCGACAGCGCGTGCTCCAAGTTTCCCATCTGCTCGGCGACCCGACCTGGTGATCCGAGCGAGCGTTGAGCGTCTGTCTCATGCGGACGGGCGCCTGCCCGGCACTTAGCGCGGACGTAAGCTCACCAATCATAAGCCATGTTTGCTCGTTGGCTTGGTTGAGAATCTGAACGGGCGAAGGCTTGTCCTCGCCGTTGGCGGAACCTGGCGGGGCTGCAGACGAGTGTTGCGAGGCGAGTGCGGGCGGTCTTGAGGGACCAGTGTGAGGGCTTGGGGTGGGGATGCCGTTGCCGTTCATTTGTGGCGGGTGTGGGTGGGCATGAGGAGGAGGAGGGAGAGAATGGGAGAGGTGCGGTTCGTGGAGACGAATGTCTCGCTCTGGTTGGCGGGGAGTGTGCATATGGCGGGAGGACATGGTGGAGGGAGGGACCGCCGAGAGAGGAATGTGTGGGGGGCGGTGGGGGAGTGGAGGAGGGGCGAGCGGGGAACGACAGAGGCGATTGCGAAAGGGGGAACGAAGGAAAACGAAGGAGTATATAAGTGGCTGCGGGAAAGAGATCAGGGCGCAGAGGAAGGCGATCAGAGATCTCCCCAGGAGTGCACACGGGCGGCTAGGGAAAATTGGACGAGATCGATCGGGGAAAACATGCGCGCCCCCGCGGCGGCGCTGGGCAGCGTCGAGCCGCGTCTCCAGGGAAATGCACATGACCATATGCGGAATGCCAGCCGCCCGATGTATCGGGCGTCCTTCGGCAACTATCCAATCTTCCCGTGGGATCGAGATCGCCCCTCTCCGATGGGCCAGTGGCCCAGAGGACGGGGTCGGCGCTAGGGCACCGCTGGTGGCTCTCCTCGTGTCAAGTGCTCGCTTCCGACCGTGCCCGCCGCGCCAACGCATCTGCCGCGTCTGGGGTCCCATCCGTCCGTGTCTCCGCGCCGCCCCCGGATAGACAGCGACGTCGCCCCTCTAACGCACTCCGTTCCCACTCTGCAACCGCCGTCATATCTCGATGCTGCGTTCCCTGCGGCTCAGGGTGCATGTGGGCGTCTGGAGCCCCGAGCGCTGCTGATCGCCGTCGCCGGACTCCGGAAATCAGCCACGCGCGCGCCTGTGCGGATGCCACATTGCCACGCCCGAGCTTGTCCTTTCGTGGGGCCCCCGGCGGCGGCCGATCGCCATCGATGCGATGCGATGGGTCGTGCGACGCGGGGGCCTGCATCACAATTTAACTCTGCCGGATTCCGAATCTGCGTCCACGCTGGGGAGGGTCGCGAGGTCCGCATCCCTCTTCTGCTCTTCTCACATCGCTTCGCTCTCCGTTCAACCGCTTGCCGTCGCTCTCGCTGACGCGTCCGCGACAGCTGCACCTGGCCCCCTCTTATGCGAGCGTCCGCACAGCCGAGACAGGGCCACAAGCGCGAGGTCCGTTTGACTTTAGTGACACACGCCGCAGCGCCGCTAGCGCGCCTCGTGCGCAGGCGTACGGTAGCCTGCCAGCCCAGAACGGGCAAGCGTGCGCGGTGCACGAGGTACACGCAAACGCTGCACGCACCCACTCCAGGTTGGCGCAAAGACTCGGTCGGCGATGCCTCGCAGAAGAGGGATAGCGCAGGCGTTGCAACGTGAAGCGTGCGCAATGAACCAACCCGTGGCGTGCGTGGAGCGAGAGCTGCCGGCGATCTGCCGGGGGACCGTCGTGAGTCGCAGCGGGGCTGCAGCTTGGGCGACAGAGCACGACAAGGGCGCGAGCAAAAGGGTGAACAAGGCGGCGCTGCAGGTCCCTATTTACAGGAGAACAACAAAGGCGTGGTGGGCGCGATAAGATCAGCGCTGGCGGTGGCGTGCGTGGGCGTGCGTTTGGGGCGATTTGGGGGCGCGCGGTCGAGGCCTGCAGCTCGCCAGCCCGTCCTCGGCCGGCAGCCACGGAGGCTGTGTTGGCTCATTGGGAGCGCAGCCGGGGAGATCAGCCGCGACGGCGGGGCGCCCGCGCCCGCGCCCACGTCACCAGGGCTCCCTGCCTCGCCCACGCGCGTCGAGAACGGTGTTCTCCGCGAGCCGCCTATCACGCGCACCACCCCCGCCCGACGGCTTCCCCGGCGTCTCTCCACGCCTGCGGTCGCACCCTTTTCCCCCTTCTGGCGTGGGAGCCACGCCGGGCGCGCGCGGGGAAACACATCGCGAGATCTGGATATGCCCGGCCCCTGTGCCGCAAGCGACACCGACTTGGCGCGTGCCCAGGAGGCGCCCTTGCGATCTTGATGCACTCACGCGGGCGGCTGCAGTGGGTCGCGTGCGGAAGGGCCGCACGGCCGGGTCGGCTCTCCCCTTCGCGGGGCCCACGTCAAAACCGCCAGGGCATTCAACAAGAGGCGCCCGCGGGCGAGCCCTTCCGATCCGGGCGGCTTCGCGGGGTGGGGAACCCGGCGCTGCCCGTCCTGCCCCAGAGGCTGAACGCTGAAAGTCGAACGTTGGCCCTGGGCATGCCGCAGTGATCACCTTCCGCTCCGTCTCGGAGGATGAGCTGCTGCGACAGCTTCGTTCACGCGGCGCCGGCCGACGCAGTCCAGGGCGGGGCAGCCGATCTGTCATGCTCGAGCGGCGAGTCGACGACAGGGGAGCGTTGCGGCCCCGCGGACGGGCTGAAAATGCGACGATCGTGATTCGTGATCATGGCACGCTCCGGGCGGAGGGCGATCGGCCGCGCATCATCACCGTCGAGTCCGTCGCCGGCAGCGAGCAACGGGTGCCGCCCACGGCGTATGTCCGTCGCAAGTCGACGAGGCACGCAGGCGAGAAGCCGTCCGTGGAGCGCGCGCGCGGGGTGCATGTTCATCGGCGACGGAAGGGAACGCGGCGGTGCTGGATGAAGAACAGGGGGCAGGGAGCTCGAGGTGTGTCGCGCGGGGGCACTAGGGCCACCGCGGGCGGGGCCTTTGATCGGCGCAGCTGCCCGCGGTAAGCGCCAGGCGTTTCCCGTCCGTCGCGATGTTCGATCGCCATCGCCATCACGCATGCCAAACAGGCCGACGGGCGTCCCCCTGACCACATCGGGGTGCGCGATCTCGTCGCGCCGGGGCTGGAATGGTGAGATGGCGGCGGGGGGAGCGAGCCGGGGCGGCGCGACCTTTCCATGCCCGCCATCCTCGCGCTCGCCGAGGGCGGATCTCGAAGCCGTCCCCAGGGCCGACGTCGGGAGCTTGCATGGGCGGAAAGGAAGGACGACGTCCGCCGTGATGCTCACGTACACACAAGTACACAACTGGAGGGCGAGCGCCCGAGTCCGCGTTCGCATCCGAGTTCTATTCATCACTTGGTCTAAGTATATATCCTCCTACATCGCGTCCAGGTGTGGGCGCCGTGGCATGCATCACAACTTTCATGCTTACCACCCCCGCCTGCTATCTCCGCCTCTCCTCCCACAGGAACTCAACGAGCACGCTGACATGGCACCGACAAGCACCGAAACAAGGCACCGCCCGCCCTAAACACCCAACGCCTGAACGTTGAACGCCTGACGGGAGGACGTACGGATCGCGATGGTCGGGCTATATCGAACGCGTCATGCCGACATCTCGTCCCCCCCCTCCCCATCCCAAGATTCCAAGCCCCGCGGCCGCTCCCATCGACGACCCCGAAGTTACCCTGAGTCTGATGGGAATCCGCCTCCGCGTCTGGCGGACCGTGGCCCTGGAGAGAGCCGCCGGCCGAGCTCGCGTAGGCTCGCCTCCCCCCGTCTCCGCGCGACACGACTCCGAGCCGACGTCAACCGCCGTGGTCACTTCATTCCCGCATGAACACCGGGGCGAGCGACGAGCGACGACCGTCGTCCGCAGATTCGAATGCACGCGCGTTCCCCCACCCACCTTCGACTCCCCACCTCCACGACGTCAGCGTCGACTCCCAGCGTCTGCCGAAGCTCGGACGAGCGTCTGACATACATGACGGCGAACAGCACGAGCCCGCTGATGCCCGCGCGCCCCTGAGCGCCCCATGTGCCCCCGGCGCGCCGCCCTCCCATCGCACTCGACGTTCGTCCCGCAGCCAGCTCGCGCACGCGGCGGCGCCTGCCCCCTGGTTTGGCAGCAGGACGCCGCGCGCCCGGGACGGTCGAGCGTCGCGCGCCGCTAGCGTGCGCCCATCTCCGCCCGCCCTTGCTAAATTGCGCTCTGGTGCGGAAGGAAGGAACCCCGATGCATCACGTCGGACGGACGCGCGCGCGCCCTTCCCAGCCGGGGAGCCCTTCGAGCCGTCGGCGACGCCCATCACGATTCACGAGCGACGGAGGGGAAGCGCACGTAGGTGCGGTCGAGACTCGAGACGTCCACGGATGAACGGCGCACGCGCCGCACCCGATGTCATGTCACCACGGACGTGTGGCGGATGGCGGGCGCGCTTGCGCTTGTTTCCTCGACCCGCGTGCGCGAGAGGCAGATGCGGGAGGGCGTGCGCCGTCTCCGCCTTCCAATGCGATTCCGAGACATGGACACGGGTCGCGGGGCGGTCTTCGTCGACCTTCGCAGACCTTCGCGCGCGGCTTCGGCCGATCGCCAATCACGATGCCCCACACATACGCGGCGGCGCCCGCGTCGTCCTCGCACTCGAGCTCGCGTCGGCAGCCAACGCACGGCTAGGCGACGCACGGATCCGATGGGGCCTTGACAGAAGATCGAAACCCCCGCCTCCGCGGCGCGGCACGTGTCGCCGGGCCCAGCCGGCCAGAACGTACGTGAGCATCAGACGAGCGAACGAACGAGCGAGCGGGAGGCTCGGGGAACCCCGCACCGTCACGTACGCACGGTGCGCAACCGCACTCAGTCTTCTCCCTCCCGCGTCCGCGCCCCCCTTCTTATCAACATCAACCCGCGCCCTCGCCTTCTTCGCAGCCCCTGCGAGCCTTCCCACCCTCTCCAGTTCGCGCACGCCGTCTGACGCCGCCCGAGTGCGGCGCAGAAAGGCGTGCTAACGCACCAACTCATCAGCAGATGGCCAGCAGCGCGCGCACACACGCACACTTGCGCACGGCCGATGCCGGGTCGAACGCGTACGTACTCGCGTCCGCGCGCCGCGCTACGTAACGCCTCCCGCGGGCTCTGTGCGCCCACGTCAGGGAACGTGAAGAGGGCGGGGCCTGGAGGCCTGGCCCCGCGCACCGTCATCGTGCATTCATGGACGGCGTACGTCGAGCTCGCGGACTTGTCAGAGCGGCGCGGGGGCGGCTCGGGTGGCCGTGCGTGCGTCCATCGGGCCTCCGTTCATTGGCCTGCGCGCGGAGAGTCGCGCGAGAAGCGTGCTGTTCAAAGGAGGGGACGGTCGGCCACGTGCGCATGCACGCACTTGAGACATCCGAGAACTCGAGAACTCACTGCCAGACGCGCGCTCGGGCGTGCTACGTACGTGCGGCCTCTTCCGGGCAT